TCAAAGGTTAGCACTGGATTCTCTCGTGGACCTGACACGAATGCCGATTCTCTGCTGCGAAAAAATCATCGAGAAGCTGAAGATCGAGGATTTGTTGAGAATATGCAATGCAGGTGAAATTCTATCTAAGGAAAACAGATCTGAAACATGAGATGCAGGTGGAAAAAGTATTTTTTTCTCTTTCTTTTACTCTTTAAATGATAAATTCTTATATTGTGATTTATATTGTGTAACTATGTTAAGTTTGACAACATAAAAAATAAAATTAATAAAATGAATCGTGTTCTTTTTTTATTTATAGCAAAGAATTAATAGATAAGACTTGAGTTGTTTTTTTGTACCTTTCTCAACTGCCCAATTGAACTTAGTTTATTTTTAAAAAGTCGGTATGACCAACGCATGCTAACGTTAAACGAATGAGCTTAAACTCGACGATCGTCGATCGATTTACGGCACGCGTATATTCGACATTGACCTTACTATTTTCTATTACTACCCACTCTTCATTTCTATGAAACTAAGTATGTGTATTTCGTAAAAAAATTATTGCGTGTAAAAAAATACAGAGGAAATTCGAAGGAAGTGTAACGTAAATCGATTTTTTTTTCTAAACTTTTCCAATTATGAGACTTTTTCCTTCAAATTTAACACTTATTTCGAATTATGTGACCAAAAAAATTCAAATTTTTGATAAACATAAATAAAGTCATCGAAATACGTTTAAAATTCGTATCAATGATCGTTTAGCCAACAGCAGATGTTTTATTTGTCAATACATTGCGTTTACGGATATAATTTCAAGTTTCTTATACATATTGGTCAAGTTATTCAATCGATTAATACTCTGTACCGATGACAAAGTATAGGTGTTTCAGTGAGGAAAAAACCAGAAATTGTAGCTAAATTTAAAAAAGATGCGAAAAAAAAAATTATTCAAAAATTCACGCTGTCAACAATTTTAATTTGAGACAAAGAATAAAGAAAATAATATTGTTCTTAAAAACGTATACGTGGAGAGAGCATTTCTGTCAATTTGGAAGAAGCTGATGATTGGAAAATTTTATTAAAGGATATGATTTCAAACCACGAAGCGAAAGATATTTTCAATGTCCATAAAGGCACTTTATTTTACCAATGTGTTCTTAATAAAACATTGACATTGAAAACAAATCTATAATTATCGCACAATTCGGAAAAATTTGAATTATATATGGCTGCTAAATAATTCGAAATCGAATGGCGGTTCCCAGGACTTCGAATTACGTGATTTCCACTGTATTTACAACAGGTTTTAGTCAATTTAAAATTAGTAGTCGTTCTTGAGCGTAACGCCTTAGATAACTGAAATAAATGAATCGTTGAATCCTGTACAACCTGGATTGCAGTCATTTGTTTATCTCTATCGTGCAAACACCATCGCAAAGTTTCTTTTTGATGAGTAATTAAAACATCCGATTCTCTACGATTTTTTGCGCTTGATTGCAACTAATATGTGGGTCATATCAGAAATGAGTTGATAGGTCCAAAAATGACCTATCAACTAAATGCATTTCTTAAAAGTACATGAAAAAACAAAACTTTTCATGTGTTTAAAAAGTGCCATGGTTCCTTCCTTCAAAATCTACAGATGCTCAAAGTTAGAATCTGAAAACTAACTTTTTTCTCCATAGGCCCAATGTAGCTCTGAAAAATAAATCAAACACAGTATTTTTATGTATTTTTTGATAAGGAATTCATTGGTGATATGTAAAAAGTGATTCAGATACTCTTACACCATTAAAAATCAAAAAAATGCATTTTAGGCCCAAAATAGATGTGTTCGTCCTCTTGGATTTGCCTGAAATTAATAGAGTATCATTACAACATCAAAATAAAGTCCTCTACCAAGTGGCATTATCGGTTGGCCAATATCGAGGAAGATATACTATGAAATGCGGTCATCTTTCACTTTTACATCATGATAGACTGAATGTCGACTATCGATACTGCCTAGAGCAATGAACTGCATTAAAAGCAAGCTAGAAACACACAGCTTTAAAAAGATAAATTAAAGTTCAATCACAAGTACTTTCTGCACAGAGTTCATATTTAATACCACTGTGAATGAAAAAAACGCTAAAGTAATATTCAATCCAAACAGTGCATACTAGTATTACTTATCTAGCATAAATGAAGTTATTAATTGATTACATATGAATAAGGTGTAACTCTGTGCAGAAAGTACTTGTGATTGAACTTTAAAAAGATAAATTAGTGTTTCCAGCTTGCTTTTAATGCAGTTCATTGCTCTAGGCAGTATCGATAGTCGACATTCAGTCTATCATGATGTAAAAGTGAAAGATGACCGCATTTCATAGTATATCTTCCTCGATATTGGCCAACCGATAATGCCACTTGGTAGAGGACTTTATTTTGATGTTGTAATGATACTCTATTAATTTCAGGCAAATCCAAGAGGACGAACACATCTATTTTGGGCCTAAAATGCATTTTTTTGATTTTTAATGGTGTAAGAGTATCTGAATCACTTTTTACATATCACCAATGAATTCCTTATCAAAAAATACATAAAAATACTGTGTTTGATTTATTTTTCAGAGCTACATTGGGCCTATGGAGAAAAAAGTTAGTTTTCAGATTCTAACTTTGAGCATCTGTAGATTTTGAAGGAAGGAACCATGGCACTTTTTAAACACATGAAAAGTTTTGTTTTTTCATGTACTTTTAAGTAATGCATTTAGTTGATAGGTCATTTTTGGACCTATCAACTCATTTCTGATATGACCCATGTATATTAGACCGGAACTTGAAGAATAATTTTTTTTCTTGACTTTTTCGAATGACGAACGACGAGGATCGTTTCCGCGCGTTGCGGTACCTATTCATAACTTACACTCGTACGCGCGTGAAATAAAGCTCGTATTTGTTGTAGCCGATCGCAGTGACCAACGATGCATCTACTCATACGCTGATCGCTTCGAACTTGTTATTATGTATATCATTATGACCCGTGTAGAGCTACACATTTTTCGATAATGACAGAGCTTTTTGGACTGTAAAGCACTTGACTGAATGCTCGGACATCGTGTATTTAAGTATATTTTTCGGGAGCTTGACATTCGAAGTTGAAAATCGAGAGGAGGATTTGAGAAATTTCGGCTGACGCGAATGCGTGTTAACGAGCTTTTTTTCTGCACTAATATAGTCTCGGTAGGCGCGATAGTAATGTAATTTGACTTTTCGCTGAAGAATTACGCGGGATATATTTACCCTCTACACTTGAGTCGACGAGTGTCAGAAAAACATTAGATGAATAAATAAAAACAAATAAGTACATCCGATATCTTCGCCCGCTCGCTAGAAATCTTTGAAAAATCGAAACGATTCAATCAAACGAAATCGGCTCGAGCAATGTCGAACGGTCGTTTCCAAAGCTGCACTCGGGCACGCGGTATATTCGTCTTGGTATAATGTACGAAGCTTGGGCGATCAGCAACATCTCGAGCTGGCTCGACCGCGCGTGTACACCAACAAGTATGCAACGCGCGCAACACAGCGCAGAAATAACTTCAATTGCTTTAATTTTATCAGTCCCCCTCATATATACTCGTCGCGTGTGCGCGCCAACGAATGTGGTATGTATTACGCGATGATACGAATTCATGCGAATAAAGGCAACGATTGAGATGATTCAGCGCCGAGCTGGTATGCGTACACAATATCACAGCGCGAGATCGCGCATCGATCTGTATAGGATCGGCACTCGACAACTCGGTTTTTGTAATTTTATGCTCTTTTACTTTGAGAGCTACAGCTGCGTTAAAACCAGTCAAATTTTCAACGCAAATAATATATATTAAAAAAAAAAGTCAATGGAAGACGTTCACCTGCGTTGAAATATACGTAATGAATTTTCCTCGGTTTATCGCGTCGCAAGCGCACACACGCACGACGACCTACTACAATATTATTATACGCGCACCGAGAGGAGCTCACGAATTATCATTTTCACGCAATTGCGCGACTCGCGACTCGGCTCTTGCTCTCTCTCTCTCTCTCTCTCTCTTTCTCTCTCTCTGCTCTCGAAATAGAAGCTTTTCTATAATTGAAACGAAATGGCGCTAACGGCTTCCCTTGGGCTCCCTTTTGCTCTCTCTCTCTCTCTCTCTCTCTCTCTTGCTTCGGTTATATATAAATGCATCGTGGTGCAGTGCAGCGCGTAGAAAAAGTGCAAAAACAGAAGGGTTTAATCATGCGCGTGTGTCCCAGTAAGCCCTACGCATGTATACGCGACGCGCGAGGCTTTATACGTAAATATTGTATACTCGCGTTATAAAATAGCACTTGTTCGAGTTTTAAATGGGAATTTCATCGGCGACAGGGACGATCTCGTGACTCCACGTTACGCATGGAGCTTTTTTTTTTCAACAGCTCGCAATGCTATTCTACGTACGCAAAACGTTTCGTCTGGGTTGAGCCTTTTTAACGATCGTCTCGAACTATACGCACATACGCGTAATACGGTACAAGAGCTTGCGGTCAATGGCTTCTCTTTACTCGCACACACACACACACACACACACACACACACACATGCGCTTGCATGCTTGTGCAAGCTCTAGCACGGAAGTAGGGAATTGCGTGCGTGCGATGACGCGTGCGTAACGGCGCCTGCATTCATAATTTTATTATTTTCCTTTCGTCTCCGCATCGGGCGTCTTTCTCTTTTAAGAGAGAGAGAGACAGAGGGAGCGTAAAGTTTGGCATAATTTTGACGAATTCTAAGCCCTTCATTTTTCAGAATGGAAGAGAGATTCCCCGTTTCTAAAATAAAAATTAAAATATTTTGTGCACGTTTTCGGATGAAAGACAAAAAAACTTATGAGAGGGTAAAGGTATCTGATCGATATAAATCTCAGAAAATTAATACTTTAGGAAATTATTATTTTTTTTGTACATGTATATGAAAGATTTTAACGGTCTTTTTTCTTGTGTTACAGTTTTGGGAGGTGATTTCCGAGGAGCACGGCATCGATCAATCTGGAGTTTATCGCGGCGAAAGCGATCTGCAGCTCGAAAGAATCTCCGTTTACTACAATGAAGCAACTGGTAATAAATTATCACTATTCATACACCAATCATATTTCGAATCGATAATTGTATAAAATAATTGTTTTATTATCGATGTTGACAAAATATTACAAGAATGGATAATCGTTATTGCGCCTCATGAGTTTAACCCATTAAGTCCCAAGAGGACGTTTTTTCAACCCTTTATTCGTCCACTGTATTTTTGGTAAAAGTGGGGTCAAAAAAATATGCGAGTAACTATTTCTAATATAAAATTTAATGCCCTTTCAGAATCTGATCTAAGATTTCCGAAAAAATGATCAGGTCAAAAGTTACACTTGATTTTACCCAAAAAAACATGATTTTAAAAAAAAAATTTTTTTTATTTTTAGAATTTCCAAATGAAAACCATTAGAATTCTTAGGGGTATCGTGCAAATATCGCGTCCTCGATACCTAAACTAAAAGTTAGTGGGGTTTAGATTGAAAAAATTAATGTTTAAACACAAAAAATGGCGGTCGAAACTAGCAAAATTAAAGAAAACTTACAGAATTTTTACTCAAAAAACGAAGGACTTAAGAAAAAAGTGTATTTTTTAACTTTATTTTCTTCAATCTAAACCACACTAACTTTTAGTTTAGGTATCGAGGACGCGATATTTGCACGATACCCCTAAGATTTCTAATGGTTTTCATTTGGAAATTCGAAAAAACAAAAAAATTTTTTTTTAAAAATCATGTTTTTTTGGGTAAAATCAAGTGTAACTTTTGACCTGATCACTTTTTCAAAAATCTGAGATCAGATTCTGAAAGGGCATTGAATTTTACATTAGAATTAGTTACTCTCATATTTTTTTGACCCCATTTACACCAAAAATACAGTGGCCGAATGAAGTGTTGAAAAAACGTCCTCTTGGGACTTAATGGGTTAATACTATATAGCGGACGAGCTAGCAGTGTAAAAATGAAAATGTATTCAAAGATTTTCGATCAAACTTTCTTCCGCGTCATCCTTTGTAATTAATAATAATTAGACGTAACAACAGCTTCGAGAATTTATATACGTCAACCACGTCTTTCATCGTATTGGAGTATAATAGTTACTCGTCGAGTCGCTATATACACCGCTCTTTATAAAAAGGTTCGCATCTCGCCGGGCTAAAAACAGCAGCCGCGCGGAGATCGCCGAGATATTCCAAAAGGCCAAATTAACTTCTCTCGTTCTCGCTGCAAGGAGCGACTCGAGCTGCTACAAGTCCCGTGTATATAATATATATACACAATATTATACTCGCACATATGCCGAGCACCGAGTGTATAACATATATATAACGATGGCGTATGTGCGCGCGCGTGACAGAAATAAACGCTGGCAGGAATCTTTGCTTCTTCGTGTTTCCGAACGCGGAGCTTTTGCCTTCGTACGTGAAGATGTGTACTTTTGAACCGACTTCGAGGCTTTTGCGACGTTTGAATTTTTTTGTTAAGTATAGAGGCTCGACGCGGTCGTCATCTTTCATTTAGTCACATTAATAAAGGATGAGCAGGTAATTCACGCAATCCAACGTGAAAATTTTCAACTTTAGTTCTGCGAAATCAGGATTTGATTTACGATTTGGACTTGATTTACGAGTCGATTGAAGCAATTTTTTATTATTAAATTTTATAAATGAATTATTATTTTCTAATGTTTGTTCGGCTTGCCTGCGCAATTAAGATACAATTAAAGCTGAAAATGAAAGCTAATTCATTGGCCAAACGGGACAAAAGTCAAGAACTCGATTTTAGTTTTCTTTCACACGGTAGAAGTTTGAAAAATTGCTTTATTATCATGTATGAATAAAATAGAAAAGATAATTTTTTTATGAGTTAGCAGCTCTTTGCCAATAAATTGTTAGCGGTTCTACAGTGCTGATTAATTACGATATCAAATAGTTTTTGAATTAGTATTCGCTAAAGGAAGAGAAAATGTAAAATTATTTTATCGACATAACTATTCGTTGCCGTAGCCGCCGCCATCGGTGTTGCAGCTTCACGTAGAAATAATTAACAATCAGTTCAATGAAAAAAGTGGCGAGCGACAACAGGTAGCCCGCGAGAAGCAAAAAGAAGACGCTCCTGTGCGAATTGTCTGTTCGAATATTCTTCTCGGTTATTCCAACGCTATTCTTGTACTGTGTCCGAGTATTCTGTTCTAGGTGCCTTTGCCACCACCACTGGCTGATTCCCGACTCTTGACTGACACGTATTATTCGATCGAAGCTCAGTGTGAAGGGTGATCCCTGGCGCATGATTAAAACCCGATAGGCTGACCAGAAGCAGGGCTCCGCCTGCTTTGCCTGACTGCTATATAAGTCTGCTACCATTGATTGAATAACGAGCTGTCCCAAAATGCAGCTGACGTTGGCGTAGGTGGTCAGCCAGCTCAAGCACCGTCCTCCGTCATCCGTGAACATTGATTTTTTGCCCAATCTGCGCATACATCGTGTATTGCTCAGAAGTAGTAGTATTTAATGTCATGAGATCGATCGATTGATCGTGCAAAAAAAAAGAATGGTGCTTATCAAGTACATTATGACACTTGTATAATATACTGTTTAATATGCACCTGCGCAGCGTTGGATCGCTGCTGTATCCGAAAGTCATGTCGAATAAGGAAGGATTCATAATCGGTATGAGGCCCGACTCGTCCAGCTCGCTGTACGTCTCGAATCTCATGTAGGCATCCATGTCCAAATTCAAGCTGGTCAGGTGAGCGAGAAACGACGACGAATAGAACGAGGCCACCATCAAGATGCAGCCGAAGACGATCCGCTCCCGAAGTGTGGAGACTTGGGCCGACATCGACGATCCCATCATAAGCAAGCTTATGTCCAGAGGTCGCCAGGACGACAGTGGCAAAGAGGCACCGCCCCGACGAAGCAGCAGTAATGACGCCAGCCAGATAATAGCCACGAGGCAGACGATTAAAACCAGCGACCAAAGCATGCTGCCGCTCAGTTGAAATTCTAGCTTTCTTATTAGTGGTACCAAGGCGCACATTTTTTCCGACAAGATAAAGGTCGTTCTGTCTACCTGTATACATGTTAATTATATGGGCTATTCCACAACAGATGTTGCAGGCCCGAAAAATGAAATTGAAACTAACCATTTACTCTTTAAGAACCCAATGAAAAATGAAAATCCTCAACATCACAGCCCCCTAGGTCCAACCCTCATGGATCTACAGGGGCGCAAAGTTGGATTTTCATGGTATGAGGATATTCTGCTTGTTACTCTGCTTTTCTGGGGGTGCATAAGAAAAAATTTCTAAACCATGTTTTTTCATGTAAAATTTGATGCAGAATTCAAATCTGTACTCAAATAAGACATTCATAACCTCAAAACCCCTTGAAATTGAAAAAATGGTGTAATAGGACATGAAAGTCAAAAAATAAACATGTTTGTATGCCTCAAATTGGCCCATATTGTAATATGTTCATCGATACACTAAAATACAACTTCTGATTAAGTTTGGTAACTGAGTCTCCATTACAGACAATTTTGTAGCTTTCGGAAGCCCAAGAAACATGGTTTTTTCCTCATTTTTCATGTTTTTTGCCTCTTTGCAAGCTACCAAATTGTCTGTAATGGAGACTCAGTTACCAAACTTAATCAGAAGTTGTATTTGAGTGTATCGATGAACATATTACAATATGGGCCAATTTGAGGCATACAAACATGTTTATTTTTTGACTTTCATGTCCTATTACACCATTTTTTCAATTTCAAGGGGTTTTGAGGTTATGAATGTCTTATTTGAGTACAGATTTGAATTCTGCATCAAATTTTACATGAAAAAACATGGTTTAGAAATTTTTTCTTATGTACCCCCAGAAAAGCAGAGTAACAAGCAGAATATCCTCATACCATGAAAATCCAACTTTGCGCCCCTGTAGATCCATGAATGTTGTGGAATAGCCCATATGCATAGTATACAAATTAATACCAGTTATACCGTATTACATATTTTCTCCTTACGTTAGGGTTATCGCCATTTAGATAATATGGGTTAGCCACGACATCCATCCGACCCTGAGGGCCGATTTCGCCCAACAGTCCCGTTCCTGAACCGTTGCGTAGCAACCAGCCCACATCTGATCTGAAATCCAGCTCGATGCTGAAATTTAACTTGCGCACGATCAGGTCAAGCAAATAGATGATCAAGCCCTGGGTTTGTTGCGTCTTCTTGTAGAGCCAAACGAGGGGCGCCTCGTCGACAAATCCCACGCGCAGCCTGTGACCGTGAAGATCGTCGAGCCTCGCGGGAAATAGTTTGCTCGATGGGTCAAGTGCTAGATTCGTATAAACGTGCGTGAAGGGATTGTAATGATGTACCGTCTGAGCGTAATGCATCTCGCGATGTAGTGTCGCGATCTTGCGACGGTGTTCGGAGACTCTCGACGAGATGGCGATGATTGTCACGTCGACCAATTGCTCTTCCCAAAATTTTTGCAATAAATCCAGATATCCTGACGAGGAATTGTCTTTACCATTAAAAAAAAACAACAAAACTCGAAAAGGCGCGGCGAACTTCATCGTTAGGACCTTGAGATTTTTCACGAATTTAGTGTCGATGTCTTCCTCCACCCTAACGTAAAGAAAAAGACTATTCGTTTTTTTCAATAATACCGGTACACGATCCGTGTCGATATTAATCCAAAAACAGGGCAGTCGACTCGCAAAACGCGAGTATATCCAATTCTCCATGCCGGCCAAAGTTTCGCTGCTCCTGGGCTGCTTTTGGATGTCACCATTGCGCAAAAATAAAACTTGTCGAGCGTACAGCTGATCGATCAACGGCTCAATCGTGAGGAAATGCCGATGACTCGAGCTCTCGACGACGACACTTATCAGCGAGCACAAACAAGAAATCAGAACCACCTTCATCATCTATAGCGACCAACGGATGCAGCGACTTAGAGAGAGTGAAGGAAAGAGCCCGGTAAATAGAGCGCGCCACTGTGAGGGAAAAACTACGACGGTCGAATCGATTTGCCATAAAAGTGCGTTATTTACAATTTGATTAGTCGACGAAATTATCCCCTGAATAGTTTAGAGTGTAAAAAGTATGAGAAAGAATTTTAATGGACGCACTTTTGAAATTGTATTGACATAAAACTTTCTGAAAATTTTCAAATGTACTTTTTGATGGATATTTGCAATTTGTACTTGAAAATTACACAACTGAAATCTTATCGAATCGATTTTTCTTCTTTTAAGAGGGTGGGGAGTTAGTGCGCTTCATTTCAAATGTAATTTTAATGATTCATTCTTCGAACATAAACTTAATTGAATTAATTTCTGAATAATACACGTTAGGGTGGAGCTGAAAGCACATATTTTTGAAAATCGCTTAGTAATCATGGACAGCTGATCACGGACAATTAAGTCTTTCCGTGACAATTAAGACAATTAAGACATTATTTATAAAGAAATCAACAAATAAACACCAAGTCAAATCTATAATTTTCATTCATTTACACGAATTAAATTACACGAATTAAAACTGTCTGGTTCTCAAATCGAGTTTTTTTATTGCAATACGCATTAGACACGTAATCTCCTAGTTTCCTAACTCACTGGCCACGAGTTCATTATTATTTTTGCGATGCTCGATCTCGTTTAAAAAATTATCTTAGAAAAATTGAATTGCACGAGTCAAGTCGTTTCAATGTGTTTTTTCGACGAATTTTTTTTTCAAATTAAACATCGATTGCAGTTGCCTCGCTGTCCAACGGCGGCAAGTACGTGCCGCGGGCGATCCTGCTGGACCTCGAGCCCGGCACCATGGACGCGGTGCGCTCCGGCGCCTACGGCAAGCTCTTCCGGCCGGACAACTTCGTCTTCGGGCAGTCGGGCGCCGGCAACAATTGGGCCAAGGGCCACTACACCGAGGGCGCCGAGCTCGTCGACTCGGTCCTCGACGTCGTGCGCAAAGAGGCCGAGAACTGCGACTGTCTCCAGGGCTTCCAGCTGACCCACTCGCTCGGTGGTGGCACCGGATCCGGCATGGGCACCCTGCTCATCTCCAAAATCCGCGAGGAATACCCCGACAGGATCATGAACACCTACTCGGTGATGCCATCGCCAAAGGTCTCGGATACGGTGGTCGAACCCTACAATGCCACATTGTCCGTACACCAATTGGTCGAGAATACCGACGAGACTTACTGCATCGACAACGAAGCTCTCTATGACATCTGCTTCAGAACTCTTAAGGTATAATTAAAATATACATCACAGGCCCTAGTAAAAATTTTCAATAATTACCCAAAAATTACCACTTAAAATTTGTTATTTTATAATTCAAATAAACTTCAAATAATTAAAGAGAATTTTAAATGACCTTAATGATAGTTTAGTTCTTTCGTTTTGTAGTAAAAACATTACCAATTTGAAAATTCTAAATTCGATAATACTTAGTGCCTCCACCACTAGATGGCGAGTACCTTATTTATCTGTAAATCTGCAAGTGATAAAGTAAATGTAATTGTATAAGAAGTTGTATATCATGTACATAGTCATAATTAGATGGTCGAATATGATAATTAATGCGTCTGTTTTAAAGTACAATTATTGACGGTAAAGAAATTATATTCAATATAAGAAATTTAATTTGATGGATGTCTTACATTTCAAATGTATAGAATGAAAGATATAACTATTAAAAGTGCGCTCAAATGGTGATTTACCCGAATTTTTATACAGTCAAAAATGGTAACTAAATTACAAAACAAACGTGGCGTGACCACAAAAAGTTTAAAAACTCGTTCAACTTTTGATTACTATACATATCCACGTTCCTACCACGTTGTACATATTCAGAAACGAAATGCAGGGGTGGACATTTAAACGTTTCTGAAAGGTTCTACAAACGTTTTTTCGACTTTTTTCTGAAACGTTTTAAGGTTTCCAATTGAACGTTTCAATAACGTTATAAAAACGTATCGTGCTATTAGGGATAGAAATTGTATTTCACCAATATCGCATTGATCTTGCGCAGGTCTCCAATCCGTCCTACAGCGATCTCAATCATCTGGTCTCGCTGACGATGTCGGGCGTCACCACCTGTCTGCGCTTCCCCGGCCAGCTGAACGCCGACTTGAGAAAACTCGCCGTCAACATGGTGCCCTTTCCGCGCCTCCACTTCTTCATGCCGGGCTTCGCGCCGCTGACCTCGCGCTCGATGCAGCAGTACTCGGCCCTGTCCGTGCCCGAGCTCACCCAGCAGATGTTCGACGCCAAGAACATGATGGCGGCGTGCGATCCGCGCCACGGCCGCTACCTCACCGTGGCCGCCGTATTTCGCGGTCGCATGTCCATGAAGGAGGTCGACGAGCAGATGCTCAGCGTCCAGAACAAGAACAGCTCGTACTTCGTCGAGTGGATCCCCAACAACGTCAAGACCGCCGTGTGCGACATCCCACCTCGTGGCCTCAAGATGTCCGCCACCTTCATCGGCAACACCACCGCCATCCAGGAGCTGTTCAAGCGCATCTCCGAGCAGTTCAGCGCCATGTTCAGGCGGAAGGCCTTCCTGCACTGGTACACGGGCGAGGGCATGGACGAGATGGAGTTCACCGAGGCCGAGTCCAACATGAACGACCTCGTGTCCGAGTATCAGCAGTACCAGGAGGCCACCACCGACGAGGACTTCGAGACGGAGGACGCGGGCGACGATTTCGAGACGTGCGACCAGGAGTAGAGAGACGAAAACGAGAAGAGGGGCGCGCGCCGCGTAATTTCAACTCGATCTCGTTATACAGTCGAATGGAGAAGGAAAAAAAAATATAAATATATATTTATGGAGATTCGAAAATGCTATTTGAGAGTAATTTTATGAAAAAATCAAAATGAATGATTTGCATGTTATGCTGCGAATGGTTTAAAATCTCTGGAGAATAATTATCTCTCGTTTCGAAACTGGAGTATTTTAATGCATTTTCATCGTATATTATTTTATATTATTCAAAAAAAAAAGCTAATAGTCAAAGGTCCAACCTAAAGATTATCAAGTCAAACTCATCATTGACAATATTATTGTTGAGTGAGCTTAAAAAAAAGATAATTTATACTTTTTTTACTTAGATACCAAATGATTCAGGATGGTAAATGAAAATATTGATAATTGCGACAGATCTGTAAAAAAAAAATTGGACACTAATGAACTATTCGACAATCAAGTTATTAAAATATTATGAGATGATATAATAAAATTGAAAATTAATTTTGTTGTATGGCATAAATTTCTATTTCAGAATGTATCACTTTTTAAAAATTGTCGCCGATACCGACGATTCATATATTTATATTGTTTACAAAATGTTTCGTGTATGATAATTTTAAAATACCAAGAGCACATTTATAAATTATAAGTAAACTAGATTCTAGGTAGAAATAATTTCTAACAATATCAACAATCGAAAAAGCACGATTAAAATTAAACTCGATTAAATTTAAGTTTACTCATGAAATTTTAAAACATATATACCAAAAAAGCGTTGATAATTTTAATTACCTTATACATTAACGCCAAAGTTTGTAAACCAAATTTTTTTTTACGTATTATTGGGTTAATTTTTACACTCATGTATTTATGTATGAATTCGCTGATAAGCAATCATGACGTTTAATTATTATTTTAATAAATAATAGGAAATGTATTCAAGAGAGATGCTTATTTATTTTTGATTGTCTATATTTAACTTTATTACTTAACAAAAATTATTTGAACATGAATTATGTTTTAAAATTCAAAGATTTTTCTAATTTAAACTCGTTCACATATAAGGATAAGATCTGTAATAGTTTACCTAAAAATTGAGTTTGATTACTTACTTTCACACTTTGGGTTTTTGAATAGCTCGCAAAACTAATCGTCGATGAAGCGGTTGCAACATTTTTAATTGGGCAAAAATTGATTGAGTAATTATAATTGAATTATTGATTAAAACTCATTTTATTAGTAATTAAAATTTAATTCTTAATTAAACTGAGTTCACTTGAATTTTTCACCTATTACTTACAACTGAAGCTGAATCAGTCAGCCGAAGTTTGCTCAAACTAAATTTTTGAGATGATCAGAAATGAATTGTCAACTGGTCGTTGTGAACTCGAAATTATTGTTATGCAACTTGAATACAATATATTTTCATTGCGTAATATTGAGTTCGTAATTCATAATTACATTTGATAATACTTTTGGTCACGCAATATGAATATTAAAAGAAAATTATTATTCGTTTGCTGACAAATCGAATTTAATAATCATTACGTCTTATTAAACTACATTAAGTAATAATGCGTTTGACGCGCACTTGAGCAATTAAAAAGTTAAAACCATTGTGTAGTCGAAATTCAAAGACGCACTTCCTGTTTTCAGAATAAACTTTTACTAATGATAGTTGAATCATGATTTGTATATAAATAAACGTTATTGCTGACCAACCGTACAGTCGATATTTTTTGCTGATTTATAATACTTCGCAGTTCAAAATGTTCAGAAAGTCGTGCTTCATTGCGTTCGCGCTCTGCGCACTTGTCGCAGCTACGGTAAGCAATACAGAAAATTGAAGAAATTACATATTTTTTAATGCGATTTTCATTTAAGCTCGCCGAGGGACAACAATTACCAAGTGATGCACCAAGACGGGTAATTTTATCGTTTGATTTTCATTAGTTTCAGGGCAAAAAATATATTTACGAAAAATCTGCATTTACTCGTAGGTGGCTCGAGATTTGGCTAATCCTTTAGCGATACCAGTCGATTTTGCACAAATTGGGGGCCAGGCTGCTAAAGGAATGATGAACGTCGGTGGCGAGGCTTTTGGAGCAATGGGAAATATTCCGAATCATGTGAGTTACGATTTTTCAGTTAAAATTTAATGGAAAAATTCAGTAAATTTCGTTGTTCGCTATTGATTACTTTTTTTTAATTTTTATTTTTTCACATCGATCTCGATTAAAACTTTTTACTGTAAACTTTTTCATTAATTGTCTTCCAGTAGATACAGTGGCATTAATCTCGTATTTATTTAAAATTTCCCGAAAAATTCAACCTACGAATCGAAAAATTTTAAAATATATTAATCATTAATAAACTTCCTTTTCAGGCTCTCGGTGGAGGACCAGGAGGACCAGGAGGACCCGGTGGACCGATGGGGCGTTAAAATAAACGTTGCTCACTTTAATTATAAAATTTGTTTCCGTAAACTATGTACTTTGCACTTGAGAAATAAACGAAATTCATTGGATGCATAAAATATTATATATTCACTGTGACCTATAGTTCATTGATTTGGAAACAAAATTGAGGTTTCGAAAAAATTTGAATGGTGAAAATGAATAAAAGACACTAGATCAACGTCTAACAATAATATATTTTGAAACATATTGTCAATTGGGAAGATAGACATAACAGATAAACTATATAATTCGAAACGTAAGACGTCGCTTTTTTACATTTTGTTGGCGTGTTCGACTTGCCAATTTTTTAATATAATATAATTATAGTGAATTTAAATATTATCCAGCGTACTTCGCGCGATACAATAGCCGTAGTACAATGACTCACGATAGACGTCTTGTACAATGGAATAATTAATTTATGACCAGTTGATTCTTATTAATAGTCATAAATAGGTCGGTTTATTCTGTGTTTATTGCGGACGTGAATTTTATTTTATAGCTATATGACGTTATGGCGATGCAAAAGAGAAAAATCGTAGGTAAAAAAGCGTGCTTGTCCTGCGCGAACGATTTTTTATTTCTCGTCGTTATTGAAACTTGGTACCACGTAACGCAGTCAACGAGAGATTGGAAAAATTTCTAAAATGTATCTTATGAATAAGTTTCGATTGATTCTAATCAATAACTCGTTATATAAAAAATGGTCAGACCTGTGAAAATTGAAAATTGAATTTCGGCATATTGTATTGCCTCTGTTGTTGGTTTCTTTTTAGTTTTATTCGAAAGTGACTTTTGCAAAGTCACGATAAAAACGTCTTTTAAACGTACATACAGTATTGCGGTCAAGCGATATTTTTCTTTTTGCACTTACATAACACCGTTATAATTTTATTATATGGATTTTCTTTAACATACTTTCTATCGGCCTTTTTTTTTTTAATTTAGCATATTTTTTCTATTCGTTTATCTTAAGGAATAATTCAATACAATTGTGCAGTCTGTTTAAATAACAATCTAAATTTAATTGCAGGTCGTGTGTTTTTGTGAATATGCATGGATGAGAGTACACTCGGGAAAAATTTTCAACTAGTTTCGACAAAATGATCATTTCGGAGAAATGAGTATATGTTGTACAATACAGAATCAGGTATTCGAGTTTTCCACTCGTGTGTGTATATATAATATTTGTATATATTTTTTCCAATGACTTTGATATACGACGTCAATTTAAAAGATAAAAATATTTCATATCTATCTCATTTTTTTCTGTCGGCAATATAATTTGAATAATCCTACAATACATTACATATATCAATCAATCGAAAATATATAAGGAAATGTATGTTTTTCCATTTTTAAATATTATGCAATAATCGAATAATTTTCCTCTTTACAGATGCATTTTACAATATAATTGAAAACATGCAACGACCTATATAAGTTCGTAAGACAACGAAATATTGACCTCATGATTTTGTCCAATCGATAAATTTTTTCGCCAAGTGCCTTACTTTACGGTGCTGTGAATAGCTTCATTTATGCGTTAACATGTGCTAATATGTGTAGGCATATTTACTATAAATCTATGGTTTCCTTAATGATTTTATATGATTTCTATATAGGCTTTTGCAAACATGAATTAGTGCCTTATAGGAAAAAAATCGTGCACGATTAAATTTTTTTTCGCCAGTTTCCTTTTTCTGTAATTGTTATATAATTCAATCGGTTTCTGCGATCTTGCCAACTGCTATATCGTCCCTTCGGACCTGTTGGTCGACACAATAGTCTTAATTGACCCCATAGAGAATAAAAACATTTCTATTAACGAGCGTCGAATAAAATCTTTGACATTTCAAAACGAGTACCTTTTTTCTTCAACTACACACTTATTATTGACCACGAGAAAATCGCGACGCTCTCAACAACATTGTTTTCTCTTAAATATTAATCAATCGTGAGGCAACTATACAATACAGGAGATTCGAGGTAATATATATATCTTTTTTTGCGTTTCATTTGAGATCTACCAATTTTTATTTGTAAAATTTAAAATGAAACACCAACTCTATACCACTTGAATGTTGTATACATTTTCTATAATTGCAACAACGCGCATATAATATTTCAATACGCCGCAAACATCTTTCCATCTAGTTAACGAAGATTTCTTTTTGTACTTTCTAAATTACTTGTTTAGAATATTTTTTCGAAGTGTATGACAGAGAGATTAAGAGACAGACGTACAATAAATTACGATAAATGACTCGTAAAAGTTTTGACAAAGAAAAGCAATCATACATTATAGAGTCTAAGGAATTAGTCTGTCGCGATTAAATAAAATTATTCGTAAAGATGGAGTGGGATTTTCGGTTAAAAGACTGTACTCATGCTCGTCTTAATCTTTCATTTCCATTCACAAATAGATTTTTACGCTGCTAACTGGCTAACTGTTCTTTCGTCGTTCTTACTTTTTTAATTAACAAAATTTTGCAAGTTATTTCGCTCTATCCTTATTTTTGCAAACGAAATATTCAACCATGATGGAATCTTTTATTTTTTCTCGTCGAAAATCTATAAAATATAATGAATATACTGAGTAAAATATTTCATTTTTTATTTTAAACCAACCGGTGGTCATTGCAGGCTCTAATAGCCAACTTTTATTTACATGAGAATAAATTTGACTTCTCACTTCAGGAACGAACGTGAATCAATTTATACTTATTAACTTACTGTTTTCAATATATTTTTATTTTTAATTTATATCATACCAAGAATAAAATTGATTTTTAAACCTTTTAAACTCTTTAGAAAATAAATTATTTTTATTATAAATACGTTCAGCTCAACCAATAATTTTCAATTACAGCTGAAAAAGCTTATGGAACATTTGGAACGTACGATAAAGTTTAAATCAAGTTTCTTCAAAGAGACCATCATGGTTGATTTCAACGTCTACTTTTTTTTCATCGCTATATTTTATATCCTATTAGCAATATGTAGATGAGACATCACGATTTATTGACAATGGATTAATACTGACTGTTTTACATGATTTAAAAAAAGAAGATTTTAACAAAACCAACACAAACGCGGAACAACGCAAGAACATAAATTATTTACATCGTATTATATGATAAATGCGTGGACACATCTGCATTCGCACACTGCACCTTAATATACGTATATAGCGGTAGTAAGTCCTTATTATGGATGATTCATGCGATTTGATTTTTGTCTTTTTTGCCGTAACTCTACAATGGATCGTCGTCGTGTGTGATCGTGGGTTCGTGATTTTTTTTATCAAGGCACCTCTAAAAATGTTCGATGTGAAATGCATCATATGCTCGCAATTGAAAATTACTGACAGAGTATAAAGGATTTATACACGCGGATGGCGATGAAAAAAATGACTTTACATCCATTATACGATAATACGAATACAGATTATAAAAAACGTATTAAGTAAGTCGTGTGTGGTCGTTACCAAGTTAGTATAAAAAAATATAAAAATTAATCATAGAAAAAATAAAAAGCAAGTTTATACAGGCAACGAAGCGCGTATAATGCATTATTATATTACGTGTACTTATAAGACGTATTATAATATAATCACTCTCCAGACGAGTTTATATAATATATCCAGCGAGATTCGTCAGTGGGTAAACAAAAAAAAAATGTCCATCGAATTCGCGGATCGATCTTGCACTGCCTTCGTACACATTATTACGGATGATGATGCAGTATGCAATACTACGATGTACGCGGTCGAATGAAATCTGGAGAGTTTATTTGGTCGAATCCAATATTACGATAGTTATCATGGGTGCGCGCGCGCGCGCTTTAAGAAAAAGCATCGATTTAGTGTGAAAATCCTTGACTAGTATCTTGTCGTTAATCGTTAATGTTTTATCTTCTTAAAAGTTAAAAATGGTCACCTTACTTAAAATGCCATTGCGGGCTCTTTCTCTCTCTCTCTTCGTTTGGATCATTTATTTATTTTTTTGCTGTTTAGTATTTGCTGCCGACGCGTACTCGGTGCATCGGCGATATATCATTTACACGTAATGAATTAAAACATTAAGGAATAAAAAACATTGGAAAAAAAAATAAATACAAACAAACAATCTTACAAAAACGTAAAACGTTAAATCGAAACCGTATAATATAATCGCAACGGGAGCGGGTCGCGCGCAACTATTTTTTTGTTCAGTCGTTTTGTGATTAATCTCCTCTCTTCTCTATCTATTTGGTTATCGTCCTTTACGGATCTTCTCTCTAGGGAGTGGCCGATCTCAAGAAAGTCGGGTCCACGGCCGCGACTCGCGCCGTGATGAACGCGTAGATGCAGAACAGCAGATTCTGCAGCTGCGAGCAATCCAATTCCTGAAAGCGCAACAGAAGTTCATTGGTATGGTTCGTATCCATCGGCACATCGCGTAATAATTACGTATCACTATATCATGTTCTTGCTTCGTCGATCGTGTTTACCTTCGTCTCGATGGCGATGCTGTCGTGCTCCTGAAAGTGCAGCTTCAGCTTGCTCTTGCCGTCGTCGCTGGAGCCTCGCAGCTGATGAAATTTGTACTTCCAGACGGGCTCGGCCGAGCCCTCGAATTTCAGCGTGAAGCCCTGCGACCAGTCCAGGGTTATCTCCGCGGCCTTGCCGTTCAGAGTCACCGGGAACGATTTGCTCTGCGAGCGAACGAAGAAGAAAAAAATATTAGTACCGGGTTGATGAAAAAAGTAAAGTGCAGGACGCGAGGGCGTGAAACGAACCGATGCGACCGTAAGGATGCACTTGTGATTCGGCGCTATGCCTATTACGTTTCGTTCCACGCTCTCTCTCTCTCTCTCTCTTTCTCTCTCTTAGCCCTGGCGGACTGCCAGCAAATTTAAATGCAAGTGCACCCTTGGCAATGCTAATGGCCCAGAGTATCAAGAGCAATACAGTGTATAGATATAGAAAGGGCAGCTAAGAGAAAAAAAGCGTATCGAGGACAGCCGTAACGAATTCAGATAGTTTCGTCCGAGATGTATGCATAAAAGGATTTTTACAATTAATTCTCGTATTGTCATCCTTTATCACGATCATCGCTTTATCAATTTTGTCGATCGCCCATATAAATACGATATAAATATATACGTAAGTAAATGTAGATGTCAGATCGAGGTGCCTTATACATATATTTTTTTTTTCGACGCAAGGTCCTCCAGCTTTACCTTGAGATGAGTTACGGCCGAGCAGACGGCCGTGTGCCAGGCCGCCTCGATTCGCAGCAGCTCCTGCCTCGTCTCGACGCTCAGGTACCTGGGCGACTTGCCCGGGCTCTGCACCAGGAAGCAGTGCTGACGCTCGTCCACGTTCTCGGACTCGCGCATCACTCGGAACAGCGTCTGGTAGACCTTGAAGGTCAGGGCGCAGTGGGACCAGTCGCCTATGTTACACTGCGAAACGTTTTTTTTTTTTTTTATCAATCCAATTCGCGTTACTTTAGTGATGTATTTGTCCTGTACACGATACTCACTGGCGGAGTTTCGAAGAGCAGCAGATCCGGGCCCTTCAGTGCCAAAAATCTCGGCCTGTAGCTCTGCCACAGCTGATTGCTGTTGCTGGCGGCCTCGTTCACCCATCCCATGTACTCGATTCGCTCGCCGACCTCGAAGTTTCTGTTGTACAATTTCATCTGGGCAGAGAGAAAGAGAAGAAGAAAAAAATTGTTACGTTGCTCGAATATTTCCAAATATTGACATCGGACGTAAAAAAAAAAAAAAAAAAACATATCTTACCTGCAAGTAAGTCAGGCTGGTGATGTTGTCGGTTATGTATTTCAGCCACTGGCTAAGAATAGCCGTGTCGTCGCAGTGTATCACACCTGTTCGCGCCCCGTTGAGGCCTCGAACTTCGAAGGCGTTTCTGCGAAGCTTGTCCGTGCCAAATATGTATCTCGTGACGTAAGCCATCATCAAGGGCACTGCGTTTTACGCGCAGCGGGTGCAGAAAGACAGAAAATAGAGATATTATACGATGCATTGCACGAATTAAAGTTAACGTATATAATTGTATAATAATTATTTATTTTTGGTCGTCGTACCCGTTACGATGTCGACCCACTTCTTCTTTTTCAGCGAGCCCGTGTTGTTGGCCGAGGAGGCGTTCGAGCCGCCGTGATCGTTGACCTTTGGACTGCTTGGATTGTTGTGCTGCTTGCTCGCCGGTGGCTCTTGCCAGTCCCCTTCAACCACACCGTTAACGGCGTTATCTAGTGTTCCTTCTGTTTTTTTTTTTTTTTCAACGTGCATGCAGGGTTCGTGTTCGTGGGTTTTTTTGTTCGTTCAATGGAATCGGATTGAAAACAAAAGGTTTTTTTTTTTAAATTGAGCTTATTGCAATTTTTCAACTCAACGAGACTACAGTGGGTTAGTTAGCGCGAGCGAATTGTGATTACGGTATGGAAAATTATATAACGAGGATTAAATTGACTTTTTCGCGACTTTTTGATTTTATTTTCATTCGTTCGGCGTATCGAGCGATCATCCATGATTAAATATATACTGACCTGTTTTTTGTAAAAACGGTTTGGCCGCTCGATAGTGCTTGACAGTCAAGACGACGATGTCGCCGGCGTTCCGCAGGATGTTCACCGCGTCGTCGTGATTGCAGGCCGTTATGTATTCGCCGTTGACTGAACGAGACAGAGAGAAAAAAAATTGGTAAATATTAACATGCAACGGTGTACAGTGTCAAAGAGATATAAAATGAAATCGTAAAAGCTGAATTAATATGCAAAAAAAAAAAAAGAAAACTAGAAGGAGATTACCGCCTATTGTACGAGCTGGATCCATTTGCACATCGTGTATTATTATGTGTACGCGCGAGCTCGAGTTTATACGTCGCGGAGTCGAGACACGTATATGCAGCCAGCCATACGCCGTGTGGCTTTTCTCGATATTGGATTATTGAATTTCGATTCGAGCTCTGCTTCTCGCTCGCCCGCGAGTCTTTTCAAAGTTTGTCGTTGCCGCGCGTATTAAGCCGCAGCACAGGGTGCGCGAGTATGCCTGGGAATAATCGTAAAGAGCCCGGAGCACAAAGAAAAGTCGAAGCGGTGGAGGAGGAGGAGGAGCTTCTCGTATACGTCTCGCGATAATCCATAATAGCACTTGCGCGCGTGGTTATATCATATATATTCATTATAATACACATAAGAAATATATATACAACTTGCCTTTGATGATGGCGTCGCCGATGAACAGCTGGCCGCTCTGGTCGGCCGCCTGGCCCTTGTAGATCCTGGATATGAGCACGGGCAGCTTGTGCTCGGCGCCGCCCTTGATGCTGAGCCCGAGGCCGCCCACCTTCTGGCGGGTGATCTGCACCATGCGCTCCTTCGTCTCGTTCGGCAGCCTGCCGTTGTGATTGGGCGTCTGCTGCTGCTGCGAGAGCTGCTGCGACGACTGCTCGAAATCTTCCCGCTGGAGCTTGAGCACCTCCACGGTGAGATGGAGCCGCGTCGGTATGGGCTTGATCTTGCCGTCGCTCACCGCCACCATGCCCGTTCTCACCTGCGGAACGAAACGCGAACGACAAAGTTAAAATACGATATACGATATTGACGCGCATCCATCATTGGCTCGATCGAATCTCGATTTCGAGTCGAGCTGTATATAAATAATAAGTTTATTTCTGCATCGTTCATTTTGTGCAGTAATTGAAAAAGATTTTGGTATAAATTCGAGGCTATTACTACGTTAACGATAGATGGATGCACGTATAAATGGTTCTGACGCGCCGACCTCGTTGAGCTCGTTAAAATTTATATCGACGCGCGCGGTCAGGCGCTTGAAAGCTCATAAGTCATAAGTCAATGATGTAGAGACAGACGGACACTATTATACACACAGAGATGTAAAGTGTCTCGAGCTATATGATTTATAATATATTGGAAAATCATTCTGTACGTAAAGAATTTATGCGAATCTAGTGACTGTGAACTTTCTTTCTTTAATCATTTTTACGCAAGCCTGCGAACTGTACTTAATTAACGAAACGTGAACCGTTTGTATAAACATATCGTGTATATATACAGGACTCGGCTGTAGGGCGGAAAGAACGTGTATACACGTTCGCATATAGACACACAATGATTATATCTCGCACAGTCGTATAGCAATAGCAGTAGCAGTAGTACACAGCAGCAGTTGCCAGAAACGCCGGCGGCGCTTACGCGAGCCCGGCGCAGTTTTCCAGAGCGCGGAGCGCTCTCGAATCGCCGAGTTCTGAATAATAGGACGAGAGCTTCCCAAAGCTTGCGCAGGAAAAAGAGGCCTCGAGCTCGAGGCTTTTGACACGAATTTTCATTAATTAAGGACGCGTTTATCTCATCGCGTTCGTTGCATTTACAACGTCGCGCTTATTTTTATTTATTTATTTACTTTTCTTTTTTTTTAGTCGTTGCCGCGCGCGCGGCGCTCCGGACGATATACGCAGAGAAGTTGCGCGCGGCGTATATAAAAAATAACATATTGAAAACTCAGATTCAGCGAAGATCGCTTGATACGATTTTGGAGTACGCGTATAAAATGTACACGATGTAAAGCCGCACAACGCCGTAAGCTCGCCCCAAAAGCTCTCTATACCGCCTCGCTCGAATTCGTCGTACAACACTGTGTATACATATAGACATAGGAGCTTTTTGCGGTACGGCATTTATAATAGCATTTGGTAAATGTAGATGAATGTTTTGCGCGTATTATACATTCGACGAGTTCGTGTTGGGAGGAGGAGGGCGTCGAGCGCGTGACCGCAAAAAAAAGAAAGAAAAAAAAGAAGAATTAAGCTATACAGCGGACGTGCAAGCTCGAGACTCGACGTATGTATAATATACGTATGTTGTATATATTATGCATCGTCATCGTCGCTCTCTCTCTCTCTCTCTCTCTCCTGGCACCGTCCTACAAAGGGCCGAAAATAGAGCGTGCACAAGCATATGCAAACTCACACACACACGCGTACTTGTGCTTTTGGGATGGTATATATAGTTGCAGTGGTTGTAGTAGTAGTACTAGTAGCGCAAGGGGTTCTTGCTCTTGATGCTACTGGGGTGTAGCTTTCCGCTTTAATAGTAGTGTTTCGCAGCAGCGACGGCACACATTATTACGAGGTAGGAATATACACGCTCGAATGAGACTATGCGACGAGTATGTGCATAGACGCGAAACTCGACGAGAAAGTGAGCCGCTGCTGCTGCTGCACTTGCATATACGTATTACATGCGTGCGAGTACAGGCTAAAATGAGATGTACGTAAGGTCGGCCAGCAGCAGCAGCAGCAGCTATAGTACGATGGCACGATTCGCCCTTTTTTTTCGCGCCACTTGCCGCACGCGAAAGCTCGAAAAAGCTCGCGCGCAGCTCGGAAAAAGTTCGTGGCGCGCTGCGTAAAAAAGGCTTACACCGAGAGAGCGAAAAGCTCCGCGTATCGGCATGATAAACGCTATACCTGCTGTTTGGTGTGTGCTCGTTCACGTGTGCGCACTCGTGTATGTGTGTGTGTACGTCTGTGCTCGAGTCTCGACATTGATTGGCTTTTCAGTACGTCCCGCGAAGCGGCCATATATGCGTATACGAAGATTGCTCTATATACCGTATACCCGCGCAAAAGCGGATACGATCGCGGAGCATGCATAGAGTCACACGCACGCACGTACACACACATGAAAACTTATACGCGCGTGTGTGTGCTGCACCTCGCTATATCACGCTCGTATGTATGCAAAATTGGCGCACGACTCGAGCCGGCGCGGATAATATAAGGGCGATACGTATATATATATGTATAATACACACATATAGGTACGCGCGCCGGACGCTCGAGATCGCGAGTCAAGTGAGCGCGAGTTCAAAGAACTCCTCGACGGTTGGCGCGCCGCCTATATATATGGTTCGATGTGGGTGGACGGGTGTGTGCGCGCGAAAAAAAAGAGAGAGAGAGAGAGAAAAAAATTAGCCAGCCGAGCTATTGATCTTCTCTCTCTTTCTCGCTCTCTCGAGTCGCGCTTGCACGAGGTACTTGCTATGGCTATATGCTTGCTATATACTGTATACGCGCGTATTCTCTTTTGAAAAATTGATGCTGCTAAATAGCGAATGAACATTTTTGAGGCGATTACCATAGACATGAGTGAGTAGCTGAATAATTGAGCTTGCAGAATTTTGAACGAACGAAGCGCGTTGAAAAGTGACGGCCGGTATTATAAAATTGACTTGAGGGATTGAACATTTGACAATCAATAAATAATGCGCTTTATTTTTCTCGAAAGAATTTATTGGATTTTACAAAATGTTAACATCGGTTTTACATGATCAGACAATATTGAAGGAACTCACGATATCTTTATGAAAAAATATTTTTCAATTGGTTTTCTGATTATGGACATTGAATTTTACACATTTATTAAAAAGGCGCCAATGCCAAAATAAAAATAAAAATTAAATTTCAATAATCTTTTTGTTGATTTACGCTGAATATATTTAAAAAAAATTTTTAATATTTTGATTTTGCTATTTTTTCAAAATTCTCTTTCTTAAGTTTCAATGCGTGAGTTTTGCAGCAAATAAATGTGACCTTTACAACGCATCTTATCTAAGAATTTCTTCTTGTACGTATCATATCGCGTAAGTAATTACTACATACACCTGGTTTATGTGGCTGTTAAAGTAGTTTTTGATTTTTTCTCCCAATTATCACATGCATATGGCATCAATATGCTTGGCACTATTTAAGGTATCTTTTCACGTCAATTACAAGTATATCAGTAACCGTTGTGTACCGCATTGATGTGATTTTTGAGATTCCTCTTGATTGAAAATTTTTTTCCGCATATGTTACAAGAGTGGGTAACACCATTATGCACTGAGTCGATGTGCTGTTTTAGATACCACTTCGTTGGGAATTTCTTTCCGCATACATCACATGAGTGAGTGATACCATTGTGCATGGAATCGATGTGAACTTTGAGATAACCTTTTTGTATGAATGTCTTTCCGCAAATATCACATGAGTGGGTGACACCGTTATGCATGGCGTCAATGTGTTTTTTGAGATAACTCTTATGTGAGAATGTCTTCGGGCACTTATCACATGCATGGGTTATTTTATGATGTACCGAATCGATGTGGCTTTTGAGATTACTTTTTTGTGAAAATGACTTTCTGCAAAAATCACATGCATATGTGATACGATTGTGCACTGAATCAATGTGGAGTTTGAGATAACTTTTCATTGAAAATGTCTTTTCGCACAGGTCACATACATGTGTAACGCCATTATGCACAGAATTGATGTGGAGTTTGAGATTACTTTTATGAGAAAATGTCTTTTCGCACAGATCGCATGCATGTGTGACACGATTGTGCACCGAATTGATGTGGATTGCGAGATTATATTTTTGTGAAAATGTCTTCCCGCATACATCGCATGAATGTGTAATTTTTCTACGAACCGAGTCGATGTGAGTTTCAACACGATTCTTAGTTGTAAATTTCTCTCTGCTTATTTCACATGGGTGGTTTGTATCACTATGCAACGTATTGACAAGTGTTTTGAGTCCATGTTTGTTTAACTTTTTTATAATTTTCTTTTTTTTATCTTGTTCGACAAGTTCACTGTTGGAATTTAAATTCAAACCTTCTGCAACCGAACCAATAAATTCCTGTTTCACTTCATTCACAGTTTCTATTTTGATCAAATTTTTACTTTTATATAAATTGGTATCTATTACACTTAGCAAGTGATTTTGAGAATTATCTTCCATTTTTGTAACTGACAATAAATTGAAATTAGGCTTCACGTCATCACATTCGACAACTATTTCCACTTCGTCATCAAGTGTACTTTCAAGTTTAATATCACAGTTTCGAAGTGTATGGGTCTGTCGAAAAATAAAAAATGTTTTAATTAAAAAAACTACAATATCAAGTAAGGTATATTTATCAATTCTTACGGAATTTCCTTCAAGTAATGGTGAGAGTTGGAAGTTTTTCAGATCAGGTGTCTCGTCAACCATCTCGCGATCGCGTTCAATAAATGACAAATTATTAGGTAATTCCTCTTTCACTCTGAAATAACCTCAATAAGATCAAGAATTTCCTTGCAATTTTTTTAGAAATTCATTACAATCCAATCAAGAATTACCTGACAGCGCAGTTAAATGAACCAATCGGTTCCATCTTTTCTAACGTGGAATTTCGTTAACACTTTATCCTTCCGATTTTCCACATTAAACTAACTTAAAACGCGAAAAGACTGGCAAAGAACGCTGCGTCGCGCTCGCTGTATTTGGAAAAATTGTGTGTATATGAGCACTGGTCCGCGGCACAGTTGTTCTCCGCGTATTATGCAGCGTACAGCGCTATGATTGGCATCCACGGCAAGACATCGCGCGCCGGGCGATTCACGGAAAGGTCGTGCGTACGACGCACAATGTAAACAATCGAAAACAAGCACGCGCATATAGCAGCTCCATTTTTTTTCCGTGTTATAACTTATACAGCATCTGAATTTCCTGTTATATTATTGAAATTTCGAAATCATCGATACAGGCGAAGAAAAACTTGGTCGTTATGATTAATATCATTGAAAAAATGATATCGTGTATCTCGTGCCCAATGAACGGTAGGTAAGAACTTTTCTATCGACAATACATTATCTTATATACAGTAAAGCGAGAAATTTAAAATAATATAATGCTACGCTACGCGAAACTCACTGAAAAAGAAGTAAAATATATCATACGATTTATAACATACGATACATTCTGGGGATATTGGTCGTAGCTTCATAGGAGTACGTCACGCTAATATATCCTATCGAGTAATTTAAGCGATGGTAACTATAGCGCGGTGCTCGTGGAAAATCAAAAACAATAATACAAAAGCTTATATTGCAATGCTATTAGATCGAATGCACCTGTATGTATCACAGCACACGCACACGCACTCGTGCATCCATGCATCCATGCGTAGGTGCGTATTTGATATACGTGGGTATCGGAGGCACTTATATAAATAATATATATAAATATCCACGATACCCCCCCCCCCCCCCCNCCCCCCCCCCCCCCCACGAGTCTAGATATAGTTTTGCCCAGAAAACGCATATTGGCATTGGTGCAGTCTATATAATATAACGCAGCACGTGTATACTGTACATACAAATATCGGCCCGGCAGCAGCAGCTCGAGTGAAACTTTTCACTCTGCATAACACGAGCGTGCGCGCAATGCGCTATATATATGCATCTATATGTATACGCACATGAAAATTGCACGGTCTCTATCTCGGAGCAGCTGCGATCCTTCGTGTCGATATCAATGCACGTCGTTCACGAGAGCAAGTGCCACTGATGTATATATGCGCGTGAACACACGTGTACGTGTGTATTAAAAAAGGCTCTCCGGTCGAGCGAATGTGTACGTACACGACTCCCTAATATCGATCCCCTCGGCCCTCCGCTACCGCCGCCGCGACAAAGTTTGTATACACACAGGCTTACGAGGACGATGGCCTCTACGAGTATAGCCGAGCCGAGTCGGCGGCTGTATAATAACATGTATTTCTGTGTAAATTGTCGCTTTCGCGCGCGCGCACATAAGCCTTTTCGTACATATAAAATACGCGTATATTATCATCAAAGCCGAATTGAAATAACTCGGCGACGACACGCGAGGCGAGTCTGCGAACGTAAATAAATAATAATTGCACGTATATAAAAGAGCCGCGCCGACGCTGCCAAGAATTAGGTAGAAAGGCAGAGGAAAAAGGGATCGAGAAAAAAGAGCCAGACGTACGTCGCGTGCTGCGGAAAGAGGCTTAACGCGCGCGTACGATATGTGCGCGTCGTTTTGCCATCGTGGAGCTTCGACGACTATACCGCGAACATACGATACACGCGGAATATATCTCTGTCTTTACTTTGCGCGTTTCGGCGCACGCACACACACACATGTGTTTACTGCATATATATTATATGAAGCGGCCGATCTCGCCAACTTCTTAGAGTGGCACTCGCGTGCGTGCGTACACGAGTCGAACGTCTGTCTCGCGCGCTGTCTATTATATACAGGATATATATGTGGCAAAGCTAAAACAGAGAGAAAGAGCAGCTGTGCAGCCACTAAATGCCTCTTGTTGCTTTTTACTGCCTCAGACTTAGTGTCGCTGCCGCCGCAGCCGTCGACGCCGCCACGGCTATTAACGTTAAAAGCTCGACTTGCGTTCGCCGATGGCCGGTCGCTTTAGCCATTATTATACGTACTCAGCTCTCTCTCTCTCTCTCTCCATCTCTCTTTCCTTCTTCGATGCGGTGCACACAGCTAATGCACTCGAAGTGCGATGACAGCGCGCGCAGAAATAGCTATATATTATATTATTATATTGGTGATGAAATCGCGACGATTCTTTTTTTTATTTTTTTTTGGTCGAAAAGAAAAAAGATTTTTTTTCGCTGATATCGCGCGAGCAAAGTTCGACTCGCGACTTTTACGGTTGACTTGATTCGGTCTCTCTTTCTCTCGTTGCTCACAAGGGATTTTTTTTTTTTTTTAATATAAAACGCTCAACATATAATATCTCATGAAATCGTTGCTGTTTGGAGTCTCTGTTCAGAATTAAAAAAAAAACACTAATAATAATAATAACGATAAAACGAATTAAAACTCGGACGAGCGGGGGGATTTGTTACGCTTCTTAATTGCGAAGCTTATTTTTTGTTGCTCGTGTGCCCGGGTGAATCCCAGGCGAGAGAGATAGATTATTCACGCTGGCGTTGTAGCTTTTTATACATCGAGGAATATTATACGTAATTTAATAAAAAATGATGATGAAACGAGAGACGCGCGCAGGGAAAAATATACGTTGAAAAAAAAAACCCAATTCCAATTTATGAAAGCCGCGGTAAATAATGCAACGTGGATGGATTAGCCGAATACACGAGCAGCTATAAAGTATTGCGTTACAGAATTTATATAAATAATCAAAGTTCGGAGGCAAGCACCTATAGTGATAAATTTTAGCATTTGTAGATACAGAGATTAAAAAGCAGCACGCAGCTCGCGGAAATGCCGACGCGTGCGTGTATGTCCACGTTATTAAGTATTTAAACACAGTCATGAGTCACGGTATAGTGTGTATCCTATACATTATACACATCATATACACACACGTTATACACATGTGCGGTGCGGATCGACAGCTTTTTGGCGCGCGCGCGGACTCCTAAATCTCGATAGTATATCACGTATGCGTGCGTGTGTGTATATGTGTGTGTGTGTATGTATACCACCGCGCCTTCAGCCTTGCCGCAAGCGCTCGCGCCGCCGCCACGTCCAAGGATACAGCGTATTTGTTATATTATGTGTACGAATCCTTTTACGTTGCGTCCTTGTACACATATACACACTCGGACGCACACGGCGTTGGCATGCGCGCGTAAACAAGAGTCAAATATAAATATATGCTTTGTATTATTCGAGTGTGCACATTTATTTCGTGTGCCTGTGTCGATCCTCTCACCTTGAGGCTCTCCACCGTCGTCTCCTCGATCGGTGTGCACATCTTGCCAGGCTCGACCCTCATGGCGATCTGTCCTCCTCCTCCTCCCACTCCTACCAGTCCTCCGCCTCCGCCTGCGATAGCCGACGCTGCTCTCTGTGAATTTAGCTGCTGCTGCTGCTGCTGATAATCGAGGGACGCGGGGGACGAGGACGCAGGCTTGCGACAGCCGTTCGCAGCTAGCTGTGGATGCTGCTGCTGCGACGACGAGTGATGATTGTTGTGCCTATTGAGAGTCTCCATTGGCCTTGGCTGTGCGAAGACGACGATGCGTTGTTCGTTCGACGATTATGCAGGCCAGTCCGCGGCTGGACCTATGGAGCATTTTACTACCTATCTGCACGCGGATGTACTACACCGTGTACACGCACACGCGCGCGCGTTGGGAAAGAGGACGAGTGTACACACACACAGACACGGAGCAGCAGCAGCAGCACAGCACAATAATTGGCACGCGCGTCGCGGATTCGTCGCGTCTCCTGCGTATGATATTTAGATTATAACTTTGTGACGGTTAACGGATGTATCGCGCACAGCACAAGTCGAGCTTGCACCACCACAAGTTGCACAAGTTGCGAGAAGGAAGGAAGGGAGGGCAGCGGGCGGGCGGGGGGGGAGAAGCGAATCTTTCGCTCGCTACTGCACGTTATACCGTACACACGCGCACTTGGAACAGCACACACATATACACGGGGCACTATACCGTATAGAAAAGCTTTTTCTCTTGCTCGACCGCCCGCAGGCTAATTCGCGCAGGATGCAAATGTGCCGAGAGGAGGACGGCTGCGCGAAGGCCAATTAAAACTGCACTGGGCCAACAACCGTACCGCTATGTGCACGGTGGGTACTGTGTGTATATATCGTATAGACGAGCTGCGTGCGTTGCTGCTGTCAAAAGGCGACGATGACCGTCCAGCGGCTCGCCATCGTCTCTACTGCTACGCGGACTACAACACTGCCTCCTGCATGACTGCTGCTGCTGCTACGGCTACAGCTCGCTATATAATACTGACAAGAGCTCGCAGCTCCGTGTTATGTGCATTCGTGTGCGCGTGTATCGGTGTGTGTATAAAATATAGCACGACTTGCGAGTTTGGCTCGCGAGCAGCAGCAGCAGCGGCGGTGGTGGTGGCGACGGCGGCGGCGGCAACGATGGCAGCTCCACTACTACTTTACACATATGACACAACATGCTGAGCAGGCACTGCTGCTCCGATGCTGCCGCTGCTGCTGCGCAGAGCGAGATATAGGTATATATATGCAGATAAATAGGGTTGATCTCTCGCTATATATTTTCATGTTGCAGCACAGCGCCCGTTGCTGCGTTTGTATAACGTGCATTTATATATATGCACTGGGCTACGATGCGGAGCTCGCGCGACCGACAGAGATGTGTGTCTGTGTTGGCGTAAAACTGCACTTTCCATGTAGATTTTCCTCTCTCTCTCTGTTGACATTCACCCGCCCACCTATATACACGTATACACGGGCACACACACACACACACGTGAGCTCGATTTACCGAGGCTGCGAGTCGAATGAGGCCCCCGAGCCCGTCAAATAATAATAATACATGTCATGCAGCGTGTAGGTTTGTGTGCGTAGGTGTGGGTGTATGTACCGCGCGCGAGCGTGATTACGATAAGCGCGACAATTCGATTATAATTCATAACTTTGGTTTTATTTGTTTTGGAAAATTGATCCTCGGATGTTTATGATAGTTAGATATGTAAATTAATTACAAACACGCGGGTGCAATTAATCAAAGTCGGACCATCATCATTATTATTAAAATTGAATAATTTAATACAACTATTGGAAATAGGATTTATAATTGAAATAAATTATTTCTAATAGTTCCATCAGTATTTTTCGGAGACCCATTAGATATTTCAAGATTAGAAGAGATTGCAACTTTATCGGATCATTATCTCTCTAATTGTCGCATTCATGTCGATACCTCGCGATGGGATACATATATTAACACGGAAGGGAATTCCCACGTCACAGTTGGAATCAAAAGTTTGATCGCGACACCGCCGACTGTTTACCCGTGCTCTCTCGCGGAAAAATTTTCAGTGCGACTTTCACGCACGTGTACGCGTGTGTACGAGCTTAGCTGTGGCTCGAAACCACTTTTTTTAAAAAACTTTTATAATTTTCCGGTGTTTATGCCCATTCTGAGGTAAGTTTCGGTACCGTACTAAACAATCATCTCTTAGTTTTTTAAAAGTTTCCATCGATAGTCATTTTTTCTGAAATCAGAATTAAATACCGCACACGTGTTCGGGTTGGTGTTATTGTTACGCGAGTCTTGACTGTCAGACGGGAGATTCGCTATATAGAACCAATTGCTCGTTGCAACCACACTTTTGCACAGACTATAGTTATTGACACACCGTGTTAACTACAAAGTTGTGTAATTAATTGTAGGACGTTGAATAATTTTTAAACATTGTATCATTTGCTCATCAAAAGTGCCCTACGCGACCGATAGCAGACAAAATTTCAAATGGCGCGTTATTCAAATGCACTTTCACGACAGTTGCTAGTTTCATAAGATCTGTGTACGATCTACGGGTGCCTGAGCAAGCGACAAATAAAAACAAAAAAAAAATGAAACCTACGCGGAAATTAGTATCGCTAAAAAAATATGCATACGGGGATGATTTACCTCATAGTTCAATTGTTTTATTTAGCAGAGCCAATAAAGAATCATAACCAGTGTACAGTTTTGGAGGATTCAAGCAGCTAAGAATAAAAAGTTCATCAGTAACATTAAAAAAAAAACCGACATTGATCGCTTTGTTTTTTTTATAAAATAAGAAGAAATTGTCATACAAGTAAATACGTCTGACAAAATGGTAAGACATACGTTCTGCTGATTTATGCACTTGTTGTGTTATCAACTTTTATGTATCATTGTTATTGGTGCACATTCCAAATTAGCAAGTATATACTATAACGAGTCATTTATTCTTGCAGAATAAACTAAAATGGAAATGGGCTGCTTCGGTCTTGGTATTGCTTTTCATCGAGGTTCAATCATTTCATGTCCCAGGAGTTGCAGCTGTTGGAATAAAAAAAGGTCAGAAAATAGATGTGAAAGCTGTCAAAATGACTAGTACTCATACGCAACTACCTTACGAATATTATTCGCTACCTTTCTGTTCGCCCGAAAATGGTACCACATGTTATGAGTTGGAAAATTTAAGGGACTTTTTCAGCAATGAAGAGTGAGTTTTTAAATTTTTTTTTTCTTTTAGTACAAACATTATTTACCATAATTTTCATGCTCATTGAAATATTTCAGAATTGTTAATACGCCTTATGAAGTTGCAATGGCACAAAATGTATCTTGCAACATCCTTTGTCATAAACCAGCAGAACCTATGACATGGAAAGAAAATGATTCTTCACTCGTCATTGAACGAATTCAACATGCATACATTATACATCTGTAAGACATCTAAAGCTTTTGTGTAAAGATAAATGGAAAATACAATCAATATAATATATTTTTCTTCTTTTAAAGATTGATTGACAATTTACCAGCAGCAACTGAAAAAGAGAATACTATTGTATACCCTGGTTATTATCTAGGTGGTATTGATGAGAAAAATAGAGTTTATATTAACAATTACTTGAAACTAAAATTGGCCTACTATAAACATGGAGAGTAAGTTTGATAAACTTCTAAAATAAAAATTTAACAACATTTGAATTTCTTTCATTCTCTAATTGCTGAATTATTTTTTTCTAGGAATGAATTTAAAGTAGTTGGTTTTGGAGTTGAAGCTTTGTCAGTAGACTATAAACAAGTAAGCCATGATGGTAGTATATGTAAAATTCCACCACAAGCTAGCCCGCAATATATCAATCCAAAAGATACTAAAATTCAATTTTTTTATTCGGTTGAATGGGAAGAATCTGATATTAGTTGGGCTAGTGAATCAAAAGTTCATTTTGAACTTTATTATCTGGGACATCATTTTATTCCTATAATAGTGTCAACTGTAGCTTTAATTTTCATGTATCGTAAGTTAATGCTTGGAATATTATACACAATATTAAAAATATTATTAAAAATATTAATAATATTACTTTCTAGGCATTGTAACTAGTATTATGACAAAAACTGTAAGAAGAGATATAGCAAAGTACAATGATGGTGATAGTGATAGTCATGCAAGATTAGAAAAAGGAACTATCGAAGAAACCGGGTGGGAACTAGTTCGTGGAGATGTATTTAGACCTCCGGCTTACCCTTGTATTTTTGTTGCTGTTATTGGTAGTGGCATTCAAGTATTTTGTATGACATTTATGACTACCTGTACGTCGACTTATTTACTCCATTTATAAATATTTTGATATAAAATTTATTACTATTTAATACATCTTATTATAGTTTCTACTATGCTTGGAATGTTTTCATTAACTGATATAGCATTTGCATCAACTTTCGTGGTTTACCCTTCCTGTATATCTGGAATAATAGCTGGATTCATTTCAGGAAGATTGTATAAGTCAATGCAGGGAAAAATGTGGAAAACAGCAGCTTTTCTGGTAATATTTTTTATATTTTATTAATTAAATTCACTTGAAATAGTATAATCAATATTTACATCTTACATGCAATTTGTAGACTGTAACTTTATACCCTGGCATAGTATTTGGAACATATTTTTTCTTTGATTCTTTATGGGGGAAAAATCTTAGATCAGGAGAAGATATGAAAATGGTTTATCCTGTCATTTGGTATATTTTTTCCGTACCATCAGTTTATTGCGGTTACTTCTTTGGCTATCGTAAACAACCTTTTACTCATCCCGGTAAAACTAATCAGATACCAAGAGAAGTTCCCGAGCAATTTTGGTACACGAATCCTGCAGTGTGGTAAGTTTGAAAAATCATTATTTTTTTACAACTAATTCATAATATCTTCAAAGCAATTTTCTGTTTTTAGTACTCTAATCGCAGGTATAATACCCTTTGGAGTGGTTTTTTACGAATTTTTTTCCATTTTGACTGCATTTTGGGGAAACCAATTTTATTACCACTTTGAAGTACTGTTACTAGTTATTATGATCTTAGCAGTATCTTGTTCTCAAATTTCTATTATTATGGTTTACATCCAGTTGTGTAAAGAAGTAAGTAACTCGAAAGTCTTAAAGGTTGCTTTAACTATTCGTTTTAAACAATTTTTTATTTCAGGATTATAGATGGTGGTGGAGAAGTTTCATTGTCAGCGGAGGACCGGCTGTATATATGCTGGCATATTCAATATTTTATTTCTTTACAAAATCAGAAATAACAGAGCTTGCTCCAACTTTGATGTATTTCGGTTACACGAGTCTGATGGTTATTACATTTTGGTTGTTGACTGGAACCGTTGGTTTCTTTGCTGCCTACATGTTTATTAGAAAAATGTATGCATCTATTAAAATGGATTAATTATCTGAAACAACTTTGTTAGCCAATAACTATACTTTTCATTTGATATGATAATTTTAAGATCAAAGTAATTTACTCATACATATATTGTAAAAAGATCAGTAAATTATTTTTTTCCATATTTCCATCTTCGTGAATCAAATTCTCTGCTATCCTGTGCAATAATAAAAATTGTAACGCGCAGCAAAGAGCTGCGTATCGTCACCTCCTATCCCATGCGTGAGCGAAAACTCCGTATTTTAATTTGCGCATACGTTCGTAAAGTTTTGCAACTCCCACATACTATTACGATGTGTACCCGGGTAATGGTTTTCTCGACGCTCGTATAGCGCCGCGTGCACGCGAAGCTTCATCAATGCCTTTTTTGCCTCATTAGGTAGAAAGTTTGTCCGTATCGGATTATCGAATTTTTCGGGCACGCGACGCAGCAGTCTAGAGCACGCGCATCAGAGGAAAGGGCCTGGCTAGTGAATTTTTTGCTAATTCGTGCTAGGCTGGAACGTTCATTTTCAAACTCGACGCGGAGAGCTTTTTTTTTTTTTTGAGCGGGAACGAGAGCTTTCGAGTATACTCGCCGCGCGCCTGTCGAGAATCGGCCTTCGTCCATATGGCGCATTAATTAACTATACACGAACTTTTTGCGTTAATTGGGCATTTAGATTTCTGCGAAACTCGAGTGAAAATTATACGTGCAATTGACCGTATTACATCTAGTATATACGGAACAGTTTGTATGGAAAACAAAAAAGTTGGTCCCGAATGAGTTCGCGCTCGGTCTCTTCTTTTGATAAAAACTTCAATTTCGACCTTTCCATTCGTCGACGCGAGTTATCGTTATTATATTGTTTACGCGGGTGAAAAAAGATGTGCTTCTACGAGCGTCGGAAGGAGAAAAAAAAATGAATGAAACATTCGACCCGCGTCGCGAAATACTAGCTCCTAAAACGCGCATAAACTGTGCTTTGCCACGACGGACGTGCATATGAGAAAGAGCGAAAAAATAGTAAACGCCATAAAAACCCCTGTGGCGCAAAATTTATCGCTTTTCGCAAAGAGGGCAGAGCAACGGGCGCATAAATTTCTATTTCGCTGTAATGGGAGGCCCGCGCGTTGTAATGCGCCGCGACGGTATATTTATATATATACCAATACCACCCCGTGCAGCATCCGTTGCCGCAAACCTTATAATATACTCCGCTCAAGCTAATGGAAAACTCGCATCGCTTCATATTCTTCGTAAGCACGCGAATGAAGTCTTTATGACGGAGCGGGAAATTTCCCATTTACGAAAAGTCGACGTCAAATGTGCAGCTCGAATCGTTTACGTACTGGAGATCTCAAACTTGGTATTGCAGTTTTTTAATTCTTCGGAAAAACGAACGGCAGTTATCCGCAAAGATCTCGACACCACTTGAGCTTGCTCGGCAATCTATACGAGAACGTTCCTCGTTTGTAAATTTATTTAGCATTTTATCCTCTTGTCGTTTTACGAAGCGATTTTTCCACTATAAGTTTTCTTTGGTTTATAGTTCTTTGATTCTTTGCTATTGCCAAACTTTCCAATGTTATCCGAGTTTAAAATGTTTTAACTTTACATCGAATTTCAAGATTCATTGAGTGCATTCAATTCAAACTTATGGTTGATTAAAATTTATAAGTTTATTAATTTTCATTAGAGCCAACTTTACATTTTTTCCGGGCATTCTTTTTGTAGATATTATACAGTAAACAAAATAAATTTATTATAAACAAATTTTTACTTATTTAATCAGTCATCCATAGTACATAATGTTACATAAAAATTTACGGCAAAACCGAGTTTATTCTTTTTCACATGGTCAAGTACACAAACGATTTTTTATGATCAATATTCTTTTTTTTTAAACAAACATTCTAGCAGAAATTTAAGCTCGTACTTTAAACTTCTATTTTCAACTGGGACTGTAAAAGGAACAAAAAGTTTAATAGGTCAATTTTAATTCATAACATTTAAAATAATCTTTAATTTTCATAAAATTTGCATCTAACATTTCTGAATCACTAACATGGAAGAGTGACAAAAAACAAATCTATGAGGTGTTTGATAATGTTATGTACAATAGAATAGAAAGAACCACAAAAGTTGTATAAAAAAATTGTTCAATTCATTCAATATTTAAATATTAACAATGCTGACATTCAATTGGTTACCTAATTTTCAAATATGGCTTCACACCCACTATTATGGCGTATATACAAATGGATAGTAATTTACAAACAACACTGTACATAAAAAGTATTTGAGTCAAAATAATTTTTTTTTAGATAAGTCAATATTACCTAAGAATTTGTAAGCTATAATTTTCTTTTTCAACACAATTGCTTTAAAGCGTAGTAAGAAGCATTTATTACACCCCAACTTATAAATGATCTAACAAAATTTAATTGCACACCTTTGTAAAAACTACCTAATTTCCTATCTCGGCTAATATAAACTTCTTTACAACATTTTGTGAATTTTTCAAAATCACCACCTATTTTTGATTGCATGTGTATTTTAATAACATTCATTGGATAAAAAACAGTACTTGTTATACCACCAATCACAGCACCAGTCATAAAATTAGCTAACATAGAATTTTCTTTATCTATATATTGCATAGCTTGATTTCTAAGAGAGAAGAAGAATATGTTTGATAAACCGTTTCTGAAGATTATTGGTACTAAACCTCTGTAACATTCTGCTAATCCATATTGTCTTAGAAGCAAACTGAAAGCTTGCGGTGTATTTTTGAATTTGTTGTGATACCGCCAATCTTGCAGAAGGGTTTGAACTCTTTCAAGAGGCATGAAAGCTGCCTCAACTGTTCCAGCAAAAAAAGCTGCACATAAACTAGCAGTAGCTCTATCATTTGTCAAAAAATATAATCTTTCTTTGCAGCCCTCATATATACTGAACATCAAACTTAAGGAAATTGTTTTTTGGCACAATGGAGGTAACATACCCCTATATAATAATCTAGGTCCTTCTTTTGATAGCTGGCGAATAGCACCAGCAGCTGATATATTTTCTAAAATCTGTAACAAAACAAATTGTTGAAACAATAATGATAAATTCAGTTGAATTATGACTACTATGATATTTGCATACCTGGCGAAAGATAATTTTATTTACAGGATAAGTAACAGTAACATTGATTAATGCTGAACCAACTCCACAAAAAAATTCTTGAGCATCATTGGTATTTAGTTTCAACAATGATGTTACATCTACATTATGATCTGGAATTTTCATTGTTTTTTCTTGAGTTGTCACGCTAGCAGCAGCAACAACTTTTGGGACAACTAAAGTATCTTCTAAAGATTTCCAAGTCATTTTTTCACTCATTGTTACACTTTTAATTCTAATCGGTTAACTGAAAAATAATTTCAATTAATAAGCATTGAATTGAATGAAGGACTTGAAAGATGTTTGACATGTCACTTTGCTCATGATGAAATTCAAGATAGAATACACCATTTATATCAAATGCAATAAATGTAACTAGTAAACGAGGTTCTCCATCGTGGCGTGGATTGTAAGAACTGTGATCGATATGCTTATAGTAGATAGTAGATAGTTTAAAAACAAAGCCCACGTGTAGTGCACTCGAAACGCCAGAATCATTTATAAAAGTAGACGTCTCGATATAGCACACACGAGCTTAAACACGTTCTCCAATCTCGTTCGAATGAAAAACTTATGTAAGTGCGACAACTGAGGACGACTGGCCAATCGCACGATGCACACTCACCTTGTCAAAAACAACGGCGGCAGATTATAGCAGAAAATTTGCCACATAATTCCAAGCAGCAATCATAACCTGCGCCACGCACGATCGATTCGAATCGCTGTACAACACAATGCGTATACACAACCCGCAGGAGAATGGAGCTTCGTGGTTCGAGAATTCACGTCTCGCACACCTCAACTCGAGCCGAGCCAAGAAGCGGAGCTTATCTGCGAGTAATATTCCGAGACATTTCTCAAATTGATCATGTCTTTTTCGATGATTGTTTATCGTCGCGCAGTGCGAAATAATATAACGTTCCGTCTGCACTGCACTGTATCGACTGTCTTTTTCTAATATTAAGAGGCGATCAGCTGACGTCCGAGTGCAGTCAAAACTGGCAGACTACAAAGTCACTCGCGCAGCAGCAACAGCAGCAGCAGCAGCAGCAGCAGAGTCGTGACATTACACACGCACGACGCGCGTAACAAAACATTTCCGAGTTCGTTAAATTTAATAAAGTGCAGTCGGTGCTGCCCGCGGTGCAATACGTGATCATCATCAATAGTACGCAAACCGATATACGTGCGCCGTTCGAAGGCTTTTTTAATGCCGCTTCGCGTGAAAACTTCTATACATTCGTGATCCGCGCACTTTTGAAATCGTACCCAAGACGATGACGTAGAGTGTGTGTGTAGTAAAGTCGAGCCGCAAACGCGATTGGTTACAGGCTAAGCCGAATGGGGATAGTGTTCCAGAGGAATATACGTATATAGATAGATAAAAGCTTTAACCTGTACCGTCTTACGTGTATACACCCTGCACTGTTGCTTTTCTCGGACGCGAGCACAACGTTGAGGAGCAGTCAGCTTTCACGTAACTTTTTTTGACATAAACTTGCTTTGTTTTGGTATTTTCATTGCTGCGCTTTGACGCCTCGCTCTCAAGGTACACACCTGTTATCTAGCGATACTCTTTGGACAATTAGAAAACGATTTATAAAGAAACATATGTAATGGTATTTCGACATCAGCTAAGTTTTGCATTCACGAATTTTCAGTTAAAATGAGACAGCTCAAAGGTGGAAAAACAAAAGAAACCAGCAAACAAAAAAAAGAGAGAAGGAAGGAAATTTTGGAGAGCAAACAAAGGGTATTCACTGTTGTACTCCCAACCGTGGCTGCAATTTTTGCCCTTATTGTCGCTTATGTGTACATCAAAACACGACCAAAGTCCATTGATTATTGAACAGTTCCATTTGCTGATAATAGCTGTAATGTTTCTTTCATAATCATGCTCACGATGATTCTAAAGATAACTATTTTCATAAGCACATATTTACAAAAGTGAATGTTATATTTTTCATGGGAAGACGTAACTATGAGGTTGAGAAATTATATTCATAAAAGATATACAAATGTATTACTTTGTAAAGATTAAGCGTACATTCCTAAGTTTATGATTTATTTGTTATTGATTATTGATATTTTGGTAAAAATATAATCTGTGTTTCAAAAACATGGCCAAGATTTTAAAAAAGCACGTTTCAAAATAAATTTATTTTAAATAAATTTAATGATATTGAATTTTAAAAACTCAGTTGTGTATTTTTTAAACAAGCACCTTACAATGATATGGTTAATAGATGCAGAGCTCATGGCTGCTTGAAATTACCCAGACTGTCTGATCTTTTGTATTTCAATTGAAAACACTACAAGCACAATGTATATATGTTGAGCTTGGTCAAAAGCAGATATTATTATGGTCTCATATTTAGATAAAAATAAATAATGATATAGATTGAATAGAAAATGTGAAGTCAGACCAGACACAATTAAAATAATTACCAATAAGTTGATATTAGCTGAATTATTGTTTTAACTGCTCTTTTCACAAAAATGTTGTGGATGCATATACTATTTGCATATGCCAAAACTTAGTTAATTTCCATCACCCTATGATACTCAATTGACCAACAATGAACGATCTATCACTTTGATGTTTAACTATATAATTCATAAATAATCTTGGCGTAACACTTTGCGTTATAAAAAATGTATACCTTCTTATCTAGGAGTGCTTATCATATCTCTAGTATAAAATATTACAATTTTTTTTTAATCAAAGTTCTTTTTATACTTTACTATTTATGCTTTTCAAGGTTTCCGGTATATTGATTCAACCTTTTTTTTCATTTTTATATCCATAATATCAATGATAATAATGAATTAATTGCAAGCGTTATTTCTGATTGGTGGACAAAATCTCCAAACCAAAACCTCCAATCCAAAAGATCCAGACCGCAAGATCCAACGGCAAAAATAAGTCCAAAATCTAAAATATCCAAAAAGTCCAAAAATCCAAAAATTGTAGGCCCAAAAAATAAAATATCCCCAAGAAAAATAAAACAAAGATATGTATAAAAAAGTAATCTTTTATTAAAGGTGTAGGTAGTGGCCAAGGTCCTTGATATATTTAAGCTGCGAATCGTCCTCCACGCATTCATCATAACGCATCACGATGTTCATTATTCGATCCTTGACTGTGACGAAGTGACCATCGGGCTTTTTGCGAACAGCTTGGCCCAACTGAATTTGACGCAACAGTGTTTCGGTGTCGCCTTGTTCATGTTGCAGCTCCGTGAGGAAAGTATAAAGGCTCGGGTGTTTCTTGCCCACAATCACCTGGAACCGATTGTGCCAACCTTCTGACGCGTTATTTGTTCTTGCTGTAAAATCAAGCACTGCCTGATAATGATTCCATAGTACTGGTGCGTAACGGACTGCCACTGCCTTCGCTCTGCCTCTAGCTTTCTTCCCACGGACATACGTTCTCTATAATGATTTGATTTAAAAAAATTAAGTAAAAGAGATAACAAGTTAAGAATATACGACTTACCTCGAAATATGGTACAACTTTAATCCTAAAGACTTCAGGGGGTTAGGCAAATTAATTTTGGATATTTATTTTGTTGGACATCAGATAATTGGATCTTTTGTACCTTTGGACTTTTTTTTGAATTTTGGGTTTTGGATATTTTCGCATTGGAACTTTTGTTTTGGAGATTTTGTCTCCCTACCGTTATTTCTAAAATATATTTTCTTTTTCCGCAAGTTTACAACAATCAATGCAGTTATAATTATGATTGAAGGAGTTAGTAGTAAGATTTTAATTTTTGGAAGGGTTTTCTTAAAGAGAATTTTAAAGACTTTCAAAAATGCAATCGCTACAAAATTATCTGCCATCGGTTTTTTTACTCATTTGTAATCTCTGTTTAATTATGTTGGTAAAGAATTACGCTTCGTGTCGTGAAGTGTAAGCGTCAAATTTCCCTCCTTCATCGCCTGTCTTGCGGTCTCCACGCGGTAACTGACAGTCGATTAGTGAGAAAAAAAATATGAAAAAAGTACCGGGTTACGCCGGCGTACCAAAAAACCGAGAGATAAAAAAGGCGTTGTAAATATCGTGTTAATAATTTTACGTAAAACAATTATTTATCAATAAAATGAGCATCAAAATAAAAATATAACTTTTTCCATATAAATCCTTTTCCTTTTCTATGAACTGTAATAATCAAATTTGAAAATAAACGTATGAATTATTTTTTCTCAGTTAATATCTTTGCACTATCAACTCCTACTCAAGTTTTCTTGCGTTTCAATTTTAAAAAATCTCAATCGTTATTTTCATTGCGTTTCGCAAATTCAAAAACTTCAAAGCTCTACATAATAATTTTTAAATAAATAAAAAGCAATGGTACAATTCGATTACCATTCAGCTCGCACGCGAAGCCGATTACCGGTTAAATTTTTCGCTCTTACAAAATCAACCCTTTCGGATTGAAAACGAAGTGCGATTCGTACACGCAGTCGACGCGTGAGCGTAAGCAGTAATCATAACGACGCGAGATGTTGCAATTTTTCGGCCGAAAAATCAAACGTTGCCACTGCGGTACATAAATGCAAGAACACGGTGGACGTGCGTGTGTGTGATTCTTTGAGATATCGACGAGTTTATTACAAGATTCACGAGCTATGATCAATTCACTGCTCTAATAAGTTCTCAAAGTTAATTGACAATTCTTTATAATTGTTTAATATTATAAAAATAATTACTTAACCTCAACTGTAAAAAGTTTTGCCGACAATTAACGAAAGTTATGCAAGAAATTTTAAAAAGTTTTAAGTGAAATTATATCAGTAATTTTCTTCGACACGCTTGTTTACTAATTGAATTATTTCGTTTAAAATGTCGAATATTTTACGAGCGTACAAACAATTAATAGTTAAGTATCCTTTAGGAATGCAAGCTTTGCAAGCAGGTAAGAACTTTTATTTTTTAATCAATTGAGTCTTGTTAAAATTCATCATTTTTAATTCAAATGATTATTGTTCAGGTGCTCTCATGGGATTGGGCGATCAATTTGCACAAAACTTAGTTGAAAGAAAATCTTTCAAAGAATTGAATTTCGATAGGACAGCAAAATTTTTTGCAATAGGCTTTTGCATTGCAGTAAGTTTTCACAGAAATAAGTAATATAAAATTAAATTTATAATTTCAATACATTACAATTAACAATTTTCAGGGTCCTGCTACCAGAACTTGGTATGGAATTTTAGACAGATATTTTGGTTCAAAAGGAGCTACAACTGTCATTAAAAAAGTTGCCTGTGATCAATTTCTTTTTGCGCCAGCATTTATAGTAGTCTTGTTAAGTGCAATAGGTTTATCTCAAGGAAAAAATATCCATGAACTCAAAGGTACTCTAGAAAATGAATATCCAGAAATTCTCTACAATAATTATAAAGTATGTATAAAATGTAATATAATTTCTAACTATTTTATCCAATTTTCAAAGTACTAAATTTTTATTTTTTAGTTATGGCCGTGGGTACAATTAGTTAATTTTTACATTGTACCTTTGAACTACCAAGTTTTGGTAGTACAATTTGTTGCTTTGATATGGAATGCATACATTTCATACAGAACTAATAAAGAAGATTGACCTATAACTACTCAATTTATCACACTATTTAATTTTTAATAATTTTATGTAAGTGTTAATCTCTATGTTAAATTAGTTGTAAAATAGTCTGAAATATTTCATTTCTATAATTGTTTAATGTAAGCTGACATTTGTACAAAAAAAGTTGAAGATATTCAAATTTGTATAGATATTTAATGTAAAAATTTGTGAAAGGAATTGTAAAAATTATCCATTTGGGCTTCCATGTCAATAGATATTTGTATTTTTGTAAAGTGCTTAGAAAAGAATAACAACAAATACATATTTTTGCCATAAATCAGTAGTATCAACAATAAAATATGAAGTTCTAGGTTTTACAGTTTTTACAAGCCAAAGTCTCCACTAGTCTATGAAATTTTTAACTTTTTCAATTGCAAAGTGCCCCTTATACATATTAAAAGCTAAATATTAAAAGTATTTTTGTATTTTACAAGTGTATACAATAAATATAATATGTACTATTGTATAAAATAAAATTATTTAAAAATATAACATTAATAATACAGTTTTTGGTTTAACATAAACAAGTAATTATACTAACAATCAACCGAAGAAACGCAATTTTCAGCCTTTTTCATTGCTACGGGAATTGTTTCTGTAGTTTTAGAAACTGTGCATGGTCCAAGTAATTCAGGACAAGAAATTTTATTAGTTTCCAGATCATGTATTTTCTTCAAAAGATCATAATTTATTTTTTGTGAAATCTTGGAGTCTTTCCTTTAAATTTAAAATAAATACGATAATAAAAATTACAAATCCGTAAATAATTTCTAAACTTAAATTAATTCAAAATCTTACTTGTAATCAGGGTGTGAAAGTACTTCTTTTCGTAGCCAACTAGCAGTTGTTAATAGTTCTCCAGAGGCACGTCTTTCAATTAATTTTATGTATCGTTGTATTGTGCAATGTGTGTCAGCATCTGCATCCATACTAGCCAAGTAAGAATATACTAAAGGAATTAATCCAGGAAAAATGTCCTCCTGTAATATAAGAAATAAAAATCATGATATCTCAGTAATATTGCAACTTCAAATTAGATTATTTCCGCCGACCTTTCCATTTACAATCTCATCTATAGTGAACTCTGTAATTTCATCTTCATCATTAGTATGCTTAGCATTGGACGTTATATCTTTCCTGAACCAAAACTTCTCAGTTCTCAATGCATCTCTTTTTTGGGCTCTAGACATATTTTCATCTACTTTGCTAATTGGTATCAAAAGATTCAATTTAAAACTCAATATCACTCGCGTTAAAAGTACTACAAAACAAACAATAGCAGCATTTTCAAAATCTGTAATTTGTACTTCACAAGGACGAAATTCTACTCTCCATCCGATCGATGAATTTGACGGTGGCGGCTTAAATCTCATCGTTTGCCAGTTAGTTGATTGAATATTCTTGAAAAATTATAATTTTATGTAATATAAATAATTCATGTATCTATAGATAAAAAACAAATTTTCAGTACCTCAAAGTGATCAGTATCTTCTAGATCATTTTGATTAACTTTTTCAGAAAACAATGATACTGTATCTCTGATAAATAAATGAGCAATGTGTTGAGCTAAAAGCTTATCAATGCCATTATCTAGTAACTGTTTATAAATATCCTCATCGTAAATTAGTTTCACATCATTGTACTTTGCTCCCTCTTCACTTAGATAAGAATCAATAGAATCATATCTAGACTTTGAAATTTGAAATTTGTTTTCTTTGAGTGGTTCAAGCCCTCTTTCCTCTCTAGTACGACAGTCAACAGAGCTAGATATAACATTCCAGCGACAGTCTACATCTGTTACATATCCACGGTAAAATGGACTAGCAGCAGTTAAGGCCAGCTATTAAAAAAGAAAAGTATGATCAAAACATTACACATAGAAAAAATAATATATTACATGCACAGTATATACTGATTTTTACCATTATTGGACAAAGAGGTGTTAATTGATCATATAAAGTTCTTGCTTCTTCTATATTACAAGCTTGAAAAGTTAGTTGAAGGCAACAACAACCCATTCCAAAACCCATTGCATCCATGTAAACATGGTCATCTTTAGCTGCTTTTTCACTTGAACCATCATCTCCCAATTCAATTAAATTTTCTCTAAAAGGCAGTTTTACATTTTCATCTTTAAAAACTGCAAAAATAATCATATTTACTCATGTTTACTTTTATAATTTTTATAATTTTATTACTTGGTAAATTGATGGCAACTTTTTCCCCTCTACGACTCCTAATGTTTCTAGTCAATGTCTGAAATCGAGGATGACCCAAAAATATTGCTTGATCTGGAAAAAATAAACTTTTTGAGGCTCCATCTTGAGGTGTAGGAACTGCTGGGGGATCTGTGAAGTCTGGAGCACCCAATCTGCATAAAATAAAAATTTTTTATTTTTCCTCAAAAAATAAATAAAATAAATGTACAGTATAATTTTTAAACAGCTTACCTTGGAAAATTGGTAAGTGACATAAGAACTTCACCAGGTTCCAAAAGTTTAGATGCTTCTTGTCTTCGATATTGCATATTAGCTTCTACAACATTAAAATGAGCTAATAATCCTCCATAAGGTTTGCCTGGAGTTCCCTCAATCATGTAAGCACCATATTCTGGACGCCACAGTGATTTAACATTGCTTTGGATTTATGTATTAACAATTAGAAATTGGTTTTGGTTTTTTATGATGAATATAAATTTAAACTTACTTTGGATCCTCTCGCTCTTTTTCTTGTAAAAGTGATAAATATTTTTCTGCATTCAATGACACTTTTGCTGTTTTTTCTTCGTCATTAAACTTGACTAATATATACTCTACCTAGAAAAATATATTTATTTTTTTAAGAAAATATTAAATCCATTAAACACAAGGTCACACAAAGCATACAAGATTTTTACTTGGCTTAGCTACTATGAGCATTAAAATATCAGGAAACATAAAATGAGTATTAATGAGTTTTTCTGATTTCTATGATAATTATACTGGAATTTACAATTACTATTAGTTAACTGGAGTATTTACGGCATTAATATCTGTGTATCAGTTCAGTTGGATTGCTTGTGAAATAAAAAAATAAAGCAAGTTTAATCAAGATAAATTGACAAGACTTTTCATGAGTTGACTTAGATAAAGAGACAAAAAAAGTAAATAATAGCATTGCATAAATGTACTGCAGTATAGATAAAAACTATAAAAAATTTTTGAAAGAAACAAAGTTAATTATAATCAGTAAATGATGTAATAATTCATGATCCATGAAAATGTAATCGAGCATGACTTCACAATTCGAAAATTCATTAATCTGGCATGTGTAATTGTTTACTTTGCACTATATGAATCAGTTTCCAAATATTTTATTCTAGTAAACAATCTGTATTTTCAACGATCGCTAATTATTTCACAAAATTAAGCAAGCGCTACAGCAAATTATCATAAATCACGAACAAAGAGGACAGTAGCTCTCCGGCGTATAAATAGTTTTTAATTTTTAATTCGACGTACAATCGCTCGCGTAAAGTAGGGAATTTCAAATGAGTAACCGCACGAGTGATATAATTTTCATCGCGGTAAAATCCAAAGTGAAATCAAGTATCGTATATACAAGTGCCGTAGCGTGCCCGCGAGACCTCGATACCGTCATGAATTTTTTGCTTCAAAAAAATGTAAAGAGACATCGAAAGACACGACCTAGGCACACAAGTTTGTAGGCAAAGCATATTTTACCTCGTCGCCCCATTTGAGCATGTCACCCTGTCTGTCTCTCAGTCTGTTGTACAGATTGATGAATTGCACGACACCGTGCTTTCTCACATGATCCGCGAGTTTTTTCGTGTCCTCCCAGCTGAGTGGACTACCCTCCGACAGCAAACCCATGGTTTGTCTTCTTTTTTTAGACTCGGAGACACGCGTTCGAAATCGAGAGACTCTCGTTCAAGAGATTGTGCGGCGACGGCGACGACGACGACGGCGGCAGTGTGTGTGTGCGTGCGAACCGTATCAGCGTATATAAAATTCGCCGTATCAAAAAGAAAAAAGGGAGCTTTATAACCTCGACGCTGCACACGCTGGGCGGAAAAAAGGGTGTATGAACTTTTTTGCACGTGCGCCTCGCGCGTAACACGACAAAGCACAGAGCAAGAGAGAGAGAGAGAGAGAGAACGAAACGAACTGGATTCGAGGCAGTGAGTTTTACACACTTATTCGCAAGTATGATACGCTCTCGCAACCGGTCGGATCGAAGACGCGACGGCGACTGTCTGTGCGCCTCTTTCCGCCAGTGCCGCAAGTTCAACGCCAGGCATACATAGGCACACACACACACAACACAGAGCACGAGATATATTAACGAGCTTTGTTGTTCCACACTATCTATGACTATAACACAAGGCTCCGTTCAAAGTGAAATTTCGCACATTCATTCGCGCGAGCTTGGACGTTACATGTATAGACGCACACGTGTGTATATGACGTGCCTCAACTTAATATATATCGTTGGAAGCTCGTCCACAATTGCGTTCGTGGAGGAGATTTGAGAATCGTCACGAGACTGTAAAATGATGGAACGCGGGCGAGATGCGGCTAATGCAGCGGCGCCGACCTCGTCGCCAATTTGATCGCCGATAATATCGACGATGAATGATGAATACGCAGGATCTCTGTCGAGCTGCGAGTGTAGTTTCGGCGAGAGCATCGGTATTTTATAACTTTGCCTACGACGCGGCACGGATGCTCAAATTGAAAATGATCGATCGGTAATCGCGATTCATTGACATTCATATTCAAAGACTGCAGAGATTGTGACGACTGTTTGCACTAAAGATTATCACCTCGTGAATGAAAAAAAGTTGATATCTGCATATACTCTTTACGCTACTATTTGAATTACAATTCAGTAATTCGGTCTGAGCAAGTAAATCGGATTAATAACGCCACGATTCATAAACGAGTCGGCCCGAGTCGAGATCGATCGTTTTGTTTTATTTTCAATCTCTGGTATTTTGATCGGTAATTAATATTCGAGGAATTTGAATCTTTTTTCAAATTTTGTCTCAAATTGAACACGATGCCCCAAAACGAAGAAATACGAACGACCGATTAAAATTTATCTCGGCTAGCCAAAAAAAGGCTATGATTTTTTTTTCAATGAAAAATCGTACGCTCGAAGCAGATAATAAATTTCGTTAATAACAAGCTGCGCTTACGCAATAATGTTAATGTGCAAAAAAAAAACAGGTAATAATGGAATGTGTCTACTTTGAATGTTAAAGACGACTATCCGGTAAGTGAAAAAGAACGCAGAATGAGATTATACGAGAATACGATACATGGCGGCGTGGCATATTTACCCGAAAGTTGCTGCGCTCGCACGTGCGTTTCTTACCGTCATCAGTCTGAAAACTTCATTACGGAAGTAATTACATAATATTTAATATAGCCGATCTCTCAAGTAGTTTTTTTCAACGGCACAGGAACAATGAGTTCTTGGAAATGCCGCACTTTCCACGAGTTGAGATTTAAATTTATTATCAAGTATTGGGGTCAGTGTCTCTAATTATTGTCCATTCTAAATTACTAGAGATAATTGTTCCCAGTAAGAATAAAGCAAATAATAACTTTGAAATTTGAATAATAATAACTTCGAAATGTACGTGTTTGTTGAGAAGGTAAATGCAATAGATTCAATTGGTTTGCTCAAAGAAGATGTCGCAAGTCCAAGTATCTATAAAAATTCGCGTTTCGTTTTCAATTATCAAGCTATGAAGTGAGTTGATTAAAGGAAATAAATCGGATTAAAAATAATAAACAAACAATGATTTAATTTTTTATCAAAGCATTAAGCTTTATTGGTAGTTGATTTCAAGCAATAATGCAATTGCAAATTATATTTATTCAATGCAAGGCAATGCAGTGTCTAATCGAAAAGACCGAAGCCCATGTCTTCGTCTTCAGATTCAGACTCTTCCTTCTTCTCTTCTTTCTTTTCCTCAACTGGAGCAGCTGCAGCAGCTGGAGCAGCGGCGACAGCAGCGAATTTGCTTGGGTCCTTGATGTACTCTTTGATGGTAGCTGCTTCAGCAAACTCGACATCAGTAACAGCAGCAACAGCCAACAGATTCTTGAATCCGTTAGCAATGCTGTGAGGAGCACTGGCAATGGTGGGATAGCCAATGGACAAGCAAACGGAGGCCAAGTTGGCAACTCCAGCCATGAACTTCTCGCGAAGATCTTCTGGCTTGATGTCCAAGATTTCAGGAGCGAAGATGGTTCCTGAGTCGTACACTTGTTCAACGATCAAACCATATGAGAATGGAGAGATGTTCAACATGTTCAAAAGTGTAGCTTCAGAAGCTCCAACTTTGTCACCGGGTTTCAAGATGTGCACATCATTCTAAAAAACAATTTATATTTGTGTTTAGTAATGTAGTTAAAAAAGATGTGTTCTAGAAGTTAAAAAGAGCTTTTAAAATGATACTTACGATGATTTCAATAGTACCCTTGGAAATCTTGGTTGGGATGCTCAAAGCTTGGAAGAAGGAGGTCTTTTCTGGACCCAATCCAGTGTTCTGAGCAGGGATGATGACGCTCAATGGAGCAATAGCTCCAGCCCTAGCTGGGGCTCTGACTTTGTTCTCGAGAAGTTTGTCTCTAACTTCGACAAGGTCTCCACGAGTAAAGACGAACCCTACGTTACCCTTGATGTGAGGCAAGAGTTTCTCAAGAGCTGGATTACGCTCAAGATGTCCACGGATGGCCTTTCTCATCATGGTGTTCTTACCCATGAGAACAACGGCAGTACCTCGCAGAGACATACGAATCTGCTGCATCTGCTTTGAACCAACATTGTCGGCTCCAACAATGAAGCATTTTGGATAGTCATCCAAAAGTTGCTGCAAAGAGATATAAAATTAGTGCATTGAAGAAACATAACTATGGTAAAATAAATTGTTTAAATTTGATATCAGACAGCAAAAAATGCATTTTTCAACAACGAAACTGCACTCGGAGGGGTTCTGCTATTTCTAGCTCTCCAAGCGTAGGTCAGTTCTTTAGACGTGAAATTTTATCATCATATTAAAAAAATGAGATATCTATCCAGAATAGTCAAAAATAATTTAAAGTAAACTTACGATTAACTTGCTGAAGTATCCTGCTTTCCAGGTAGCTTTGTCCTCCCTACCCATCTTTAACAATGTTTAAGCAAATGGGGGGATGTAAATTTAAGGACTGAAAAAGAAAAATTCTCATTATTACATATTCTTTAGCGATTTGAGATTATATTACATTGCTATATTAAAATCAGACTGCGTAAAGTGCATTTATCAACAAAGTAACTGCACATGGAGGGGTTCTGCTATTTCTAGCTCTCGCATGTGGAATCAGTTCTTTAGACGTTAAATGTTTCATCATGAAAAGAAATGTGTTAGAAAATTTCTCAATATTAAATTTTTCATCGTAAAAAGATACGGGTTAAAAATGTTTCAATATGGCCGACAGAAAACACGTTGGTTACTTTTCTACCACGTGCACTTCAATTCGCATTATTAGAATCCAAATACATTTTTTATCTCATTAAATTGTACTGAAATAAGCTAGATTTAATGTTTAGATTTCAATAAAGAATGAATAATAGAAATAATTGTTATAATTAACTAACAGTTGATCTATTAAATTTGAAGATTAGAGTAGAGAACTCACCTAGCCTACGATACGAGACGCAATGAAAGAACGCCGGCGATCTCCGCTGGGGCCTAACTGTTCCAGCGGTGGTGATGTGTAAATTTCAGGCTAGATGGCGCTACCGCAAATTTTGCGCGACTTTTGAACATCTTTTGGGTGAATGTCACGAAGAAACTTGAATTATTATTTTGTTATTTTAAATTATTAACTTGTTAACGGCTACTATCACAAATGATAATTTATCAACAAAAACAATTACACGTAAGTAAATAATTTTCTTGTCGGACAAGATTAATACAATTTATAACTATTTACAATGAATCATTCAGTAGTAATAGTTTTTAGGTCAATACTTGAAAAAAAATAATTTTCTTTGTTATTATTGGTAATGTGATTTTTTTTGCAGACAATATTTCGGTGGTGGTTTTCGAGGACATAAAAAAAAGAATAATTATTTCTAATAAAAATGTTAGAAGTGATTGTCTTAGCGGTCATTTTAGGAGGTATGGCGACATTTCCATTAAACATTATCAAGCTGATTAAAGTGTTTAATAATATAAAAATGATTCAACTTCTCTTTCGAGTATATTTAAAAGATAAATAATTTTCAAATTAATTGTATTGAATATCACCTAATAAAATATAATTAATCAAATTAATTTAAAAAACTGCTAATATTAACAAATTTTATTCACAAGAGTTCAAATCCGTTTCGAAAAGTTTTCGTTTATTACCATCTAATCAATAATGTTTGCATAGATTCAATCAAATATTTAATAAACTTTACAAAGCTTCTTTTGACGTGATCAACTACTTTCATTGATTCGATTTAATATTTTTTTGTTGCAGCAATTTTTAGTTTTGAACTTTAATACCATTGGTAATTTAATATTGGTAACTTAATATTGACTCAAACCCATTCATAGTATATGAGTAATTTTTGTGAAATTTTAATATTTTGCTGTTTTCCCATAATTTGGTGATTAAAAATCGAGTTGAAATTTTCTTAAGAGCAAAGAAGGCTCGGGTGACGATGCACACCGTTCAGTAATATTTTTTCAAAAGTACAGTTTCTGAGGATTGCTTAGTGATGAGTTGAATTTCAAAACTCATAAAAAACGCCATGACTTTTGTATGAATTTGAGTTTGGATACCATTAGATATTGTTCTCAAGACTTGAAAAAGTTGAAAATTTAACATAAACTTTACCACAAATGGCAATTTTTAAGTGCCTCAAATATTGCAGAGCTGACGCAATATATTATTATTTTATGAGATTTAGGCATACATGGATAAAGACGACAAAATTTCCAAGAAATAAAAAAAAGGTCGTCTCGATACGATCTAAACAGATGAAGATAAAAGCATATGAGAATTGACAAAATTTCGATTGAAATTTTCATGACGCAGTGCATTTTCCCGGGATAAAAATCCACGTTTTCTGGTATAAAACGAATTACATCTTCTTTAAAGGTAGGATCTCATCAAGCACTACCAAAATATCAATTTTTGTTGTTGTATTTCCGAATTACTCATACTTTCAAGAATCTCTTGCTAAAATTTCGTATGTAAATTAGAATTTTTAATCAGGCAAAGTCAGGATTGAGAGTAAGCGCTTACACGGAGTTCAATGGAAGTTGAGAGATATCTCAAAAACTACTATAGATATTCATTTGAACTTTTTTTTATTTTAAAGATAATAAATTTTAATGGAACTTTGATTTTTTGATGACACACAAAAATTGAATGCGTTAATTTGCCACCCATGGAGGTTTCTTTATTTCGATGACTATATTTTGAAGGAGTGCAAGGTCTGTGTTAGACGTATTTTATATTTATAAATTTGATTTCAGTATTGTAATCAATAGTTTTTGCCTGTAAACTCGCGTGTATAAACACGTCGTTCATGGCACACTTTTTTTATTGATTGCCGAGCGTACCGTGTGTTATTAGTTATTCTGCTAAAGTCAAAAGTTTAATTATCATAAATTGTATTAGTTTTTATTTTCCCTGGAGATTGTCGATAGACTATTCTTTAAAATCCAACAATTTAACCCTCTCGGAGACTTACGAAAATAACTAATTTAATAGGTCAGCCGTTTTCGAGCGTTACGGCAGGTCACTCGATGGGTCACGACTCTTCTTGCTTGGCTAATGCATTAAGGGGAGGCTCTCATCTAGCGCCTCAAAAATGGCGTGTTTTTCGTGATTTTTTTTTTTCGTGGATGGAAGTGAATAATGCAGTCAAGTTTTTTTGGTACTTATAAAGTATGCATTTAACTATATTTACAAATTTTTTCAGACCAAAATATCGAATTATTTATCGCCTAGCGCAGCGTTTGATGGCGGTCGTGTTAAAAAAAGGTACCTCAACGCGCGGCGAGCTAGCGCCTTCAGTTTTTGCCCGAAACTAAAAATGCGAAGTTCCTCTTGAACTAGATGACATTTGCTGGAGGTTGAACCTAAATGATTGCAAAAAAATTAAAAATTGATAAAATGGCGGACTTTCGAAAAAAAATTTTTTTTTGCCCTTTTCTGGCTCTTTTAAGGCCTGTAAAAAGTGATAATAATGAAAAAATTTTAAATTTTTAATTTTGCTAACTAAGTAAGCAAAAAAAAAATTGATTTTTTGATCGAGTCTCATGAGAGCCTCTCCTTAAATTACTCACACAAAAATAAATAAATGTATGACTTTCATGTAATTTTTTTCAGCTTCTTGATGGTGTAGTTTATTTTTGGAAAAAATGCTTTTTTCAATGAGTTATCTTGTAATAACTCATTATGCTTTACTTCATTACGCTTAAAGTTGTGATGTTTAATCTTGAAGCATCAAAACCTTTTTGAATAGAAAAGTTAACTTTTTCATTGACAAAAACCATGTCTTTGCGCTTTCAGTATGCAGCGATTGCAGAAGAAATTGTACTAAAACCATATGAGTATACTACAGCCTCCTCCACGTCCATAAATTCAGCAATACGCTTCTCAAATTCCAAATGTATATACATGAAAGCCTTGAGTCTCACCAATTCTAAATAATTGTGGTCCAACATTCATTTCCATCAATGGTACAATATACTTTTCTTACACGAAAAGAGACCGTCATCGTCAATTTGATGACGTTTTTTCTCAGACAAGCTACTTTCACCACCATGACGTACTCAAATTTGGTGATTGCGCCTAGCAAGCTCAACATTCTTTTGATCGTGCATCTAAGTCATTCGAGTGCATTAGTACACGCGATAACACCAAAGAGAACACGTTTCAAAGTAAGAAACACGTCGAACGCATCAAGTGATTATTAAGAATAAATTTTACTAATTACAATGTATAGTGTATCTCCGTGCGAGTGTGTAAAAAAGATGTCTATCGAAAGTTTATATTCCGAGGCAGGCCAAAGAAAACTAGAAAGATTGAAGAATTTACGAGAACAAGTAAATTGGGAAATGGAAGAAGCACGTGTAGGTTTTTACTGGCAACTGTGTAGGTTAATCAATGATTGGAAGAGTCGACTTCCGGATCTCCGAGAGATATTTCGACGGGAAGAAATTGATTGGCTGCTCACGAAGTGTGTGAAAATTGGTCCCACCGAGTTAATCAAATTTGTGATAAGGACAGGCTACAGAGACGAGCCCGACCTCGATGAAGACGGTAAGCCACTTTTGTGTCGCAACACACCAATACTTTATGCTGCCAGACATACGATCCGCGACTGGATATCCAAGGTTCGAGAGCTTTTTATAATTTACGACAAGTTCGACGTGAACTACACCAACGAATCTGGATTGACCCACTTCCATGTGGCCTGCATGTCTGGCTGCGATGAAATCGTCGAGAAATTTCTCGAGCTCGGTCATGATCCCAATATTTCCATGAAAGAAACAGGTGATACGTCACTGCACATGGCCTTGAAGAACAGACACACGAAGACTATTGAATTGCTGCTGAGAAATGGCGCCGATCCGAATTGGGCTAATAAGAAAGGATTGACTCCAATTCACATTATTTGCAGGGGAGGCAACGATGATGACTTGTTTGAGGAATTCTTCAAGATCGCCAATGAAATTAAGCAGACGATTCAAGTCGATGCTCGGGACAATTCGGGTCGGACGCCATTGCACTGGGCCGTGCATTACGGACATATGAAGTTGGTCGATTTACTGCTAAGAAGAGGAGCTGATGTAAATTCAAAAGATGCGTGCGAACATTCATGTCTGCACTTTATTAGCGATGTAGAAGTCGCTGATGACGCGCCGGAGAAATTTTTTGAGATCTGCGAAAAGATCCAGCTGACGGTACAGGTCAATACCTTAGACAATTGTGGTGAGGCACCATTGCACTTGGCTCTGCATAAAGGCAAAAAGAAGATGGTCGAATGTCTACTGAGGAATGGCGCCGATCCCAATATAGCCGACGCAGATAGATTAACATCTCTGCATCTCATTGCATTACATGGCTTAGATGACTTGGTGGAAAAGTTCTTCGAGATCTGCAATGATATGCAGCTGAAGGTGCAGGTCGATGCCCTTGACAAATCGGGTCGTACACCACTGCACTTTGCTTCGCACAACGGAAACTCGAAGCTGGTCGAATCACTGCTGCGACGAGGCGCCGATCCCAATTCGGCTGATGAAAAAGGATCCACACCTTTGCATAATATTTGCAATAGACAGCAAGACGATAACTTGGCCGAGAAGTTTTTTGAGATTTGCCAAGAGATGCAGCAGAAGATACAGGTCGATGCCCAGGATAAGTTGGGTAATACGTCTTTGGATTTGGCTCTGAAAAAAAAGCACCGGAAGTTGGTCGAATCACTGCTGAGGCATGGCGCGGATCTAAATTCGTACAATGCAGAGGGATTGAGACCTTTACATATTATTTGTAAGGAGTACGACGACAACGAATTTGTGGAGAAGTTTTTTCAAATCTGCGATGATATGCAGCAACAAGTGCAGATCGACGCTCGAAGCAAGTCAGGCTGCACAGCTTTGCACTTGGCTCTGATTAACGGCCGAAAGAAGGCGTTTGAATCACTGTTGAGAAGAGGCGCAGATCCGAATCTGACAAGCCTAGACGAGGGATGCGCACCTCTACATTTTATTGCAGTAGGAAGAATAGATGATGACTTGATGGAAAAATTTTTTCAGATCTGTGGAGAGATCCAACAGACGGTGCAGGTCGACTTCTTAGCCAAGCTTGGTGTAACACCATTACACACAGCCCTGTTCAGAGGTAAAGAACAAAATGTCAAAGATCTACTTCGAAGAGGCGCCAATCCGAACTTACAAACTGTTCACGAATGGACAACTTTGCATATTATTGGTGAGTTCTACGACAACATTGAATTTGTAGAGAAGTTTTTTCAAATCTGCGATGACATGCAGCAAAAAGTGCAAATCGACGCTCGCAGCGATTCGGGCGACACAGCTTTGCACTTGGCTCTGCGTAACGGCAAAAAGAAGATGTCCGAATGGTTTCTGAGAAGAGGCATAGATCCGAATTCATCCAACCAAAATGGATCGACTCCCCTGCATATCATTTGTGAAAGAGAAGCCGATGACGACGAAAATTTTGCTGAGAAATTTTTTCAAATCTGCGAAGATATGCAGCAGACAGTGCAGGTCGATGCTCAGAACAAGAAGGGGAGGACTCCGCTACACAAAGCCGTAGTGAATATTTCACCGACTATAGTCGATGTACTCTTGGATCATGGGGCTGATTTGTCCAAGTTCGTTTTTCCCATTGAAAAATTTTTCCGCAAAAATTTTGACAAAAACGACCGCAAATGGGATAAATTGAAATTGGCGTCTGGCACTCTAGTAATTGTCGAGCGCCTTGAAAAAAGTGGATACGATTTGAGCCGAAGCGACGCCTTGACGATCATTGACTCATTCGTGAAGTACGGATTGTTCGAAGAGACGTCGGATTTACCGGAAAAATGTTGGTACGATGAAGAGGAGAGTACGAGCAAAGCCAAAGAGATAATTATCATTCCGAATCTGTCTCTGTACGATCTAATCCAGTTACGACCGGAAGAGGAGGATAAACTACTCACATACACAAACTACTTCGAGGTCGAGCGATCAGACAATTTGGATAAAATCCCCGAACAATATCGCGATTTGTGCTTTAGGCATCTTTGCGAAAAAATGTCGAGAGGATACGTTCAAAGGTTAGCACTGGATTCTCTCTTGGATCTGACACGAATGCCGATTCTCTGCTGCGAAAAAATCATCGAGAAGCTGAAGATCGAGGATTTGTTGAGAATATGCAAGGCAGTTGAAATTCCATCTAAGGAAAACAGATCTGAAACATGAGATGCAGTTGGAAAAAGTATTTTTCTTTCTTTCTTTTACTCTTTAAATAATAAATTCTTATATTGTGATTTATATTGTGTAACTATGTTAAGTTTGACAACATAAAAAATAATAAAACAAAACTTGTTCTTTTTTGCATATAGCAAAGTAATAGATGAGACTTGAGTTGTATTTTTTGTAACTTTCTCAAATGGAACAATAAACTGGGTTTATTTGAAAAATATAATAACATATTATTCCGTCACTGTGCTCGTGCAAGTCAGTATGATCAAAGCATGACAACATTAAACGAATGAACGCTTTAAACTCAACGATCGTACGTCATGCGTATATATTCTGCATCGATCATACGATTTTCCAATACTTTAGGAAACCGACAGATGTTAAACGCTTAAATTTATTTTGCTTCTCTTCCAAGATCTTAAGTATGGCACTTACAAGGAGAGCTTTTCAGGTGCGGGTGATGGATTTGCTCCAAAATTTTTTTGCTGTCTCCTGGTACCCAAAACTGAAGCTCCCTGTGCTTAGTTTGATGGGCCTCAGGGCACATTTTGTAGAGGATTTTCCACATAATAAAAAAATCTTTGTTATTTTCTACATCGAAATAGAAGTGCTTAAACGAAAAAATGGGACGATCAAAAGTTTTAAAATTTTTCAAAGAATCTGCTTGAATTTTTTCAAAATTTTTTGGACTATCTATCACTTAATTCAAGAGGCCCACATTTGACGCTTTTTTTAGTTTTTTAGTAGATTTTAGGACTTCGTGGTAGATGGTCCCAAAAATTCTGAAAAAATTCAAGCAGATTCTTTGAAAAATTTTAAAACTTTTAATCGTCCCATTTTTTCGTTTAAGTACTTCTATTTCGATATAAAAAATAACAAAGATTTTTTTGTAATGTGGAAAATCCATGACCCAAACTTGAAAAGCTCTCCTTGTTAATGTTAATAAAATATTAATTTTCTTAAAAAATTGTCACTTTTTGGCTTATATGTAAAGTTGATCGCAATTTTTCTAAATTCTGCTCTGCTTAAGTGTATGAAGGTACTTTTCTGAAGATTTCCAGATTCCGTAGATTAATATTGATAACGAATTCACGTCAGAATCGCGTGGCCTGTGATTTGTGAATCGAATCATAATATTTAGTTATATGAAAAAAGTAATTTAACTGTTATTTCAGAGTTGGGTAGGAGTTTTATTTTGGTCAATCGGATGTAGAAGGAACATATTTTACTATCGTAATATATAGCTATTTTTTAAATAAATCTTTTAATGTCCGTCGTTCCCCTCAACAAAATTATCGCAGCAACAATTTTAATTGAAATTTCTTAAATTTTGAAATGATTGAATGTCCGTCAATTTTATTTTATCGAAAAGATCATTTTCAGTTTTGTCGGAAATTATCTTTCTTTAAATGCTACATATTGGTACGTGGGTAAGTCATTACTCGAGGGGAAAGACTGAGAATAAAATAATAATACAAGAATTGACTGCTAGTTAATTGCAGGAGATCGAAAGAAGGTAAGAGTACAAGATTACTCGCGAACGTGGATGAAATGAGACTGCTTGAGGCAGCCGTGCGATGCGCTAGAAGAGCGATCCTCGCGGGTCTCCGAAATGACTCGGGTGACATGTGAGAATGCTTGCAGTTGCGGGGACGAGCAGAGTCAGCATTGCCTGAATTCTGTGAGCCCACAATGTATTTACATACAGGTTTTAGTCAATTTAAAATTAGCTGCCGTACTCGAGCGTGACTGGATTGTAGTCTTTGTTTATCCCAATCAAGCATTCACAATCGCATAGTCTCTTTTGATGAGTGATTTTATAAAACGAAGAATTCTTTATGATTTTTTTTTGCCTGACTACAACTAATTTGTGGATGCGCAATTCAGAAAATAAATTTTAATATATTAATCGAACTTATCATGAGTGAGAAGCTTATTCTCAACCTTTCCAGATCATCTCGTTGAATTTCGCTCAAACGTAAACAGATCATTATTAGAATTGACTACTTATAAGGAGATTATCTCGCGTTTATTTAGTGAATAACTGATTTTCAAAAATGGATTAGATTCGGTGGGAAGTTTTATTTATTCGAGAAATTAAAGTACAATTTGCCTAAAAAAGAGTAAAATCGTTATACATGTAGGTAATAGATTTAACAAGCTTTATACCTTTTTTACATTTATTAACAAATAAAATACTTATTTATATTTGTTTTTTACATTAAAACTTCTGAAGCTACTTTTTCTAAAATATTTAAAGCTTTTTCAATATCAGATGAAGTCAAAACAGATGAAATGCAAAGTCTCAAAGAAGGCGTTGGCTGCTCTCTCTCACTGTCCAAATATGCTGGAGTGATAATTGCAATTTTTTGTTCAATACATTTTTTTGATATTTCTCCTAGTAATAGGGCTCCTTCGTTGTGCTTGAAAAGCATTTTAAGTACCAAGTGTTTCACTGGAGATTTCATGTCACTAAAGCATTCAAAATATTTGCTTTTCTTTATAGCACAGTGAGCAGTTGAACAGTTCTCCCTGAGTGTTTTGAAAAGCTCATCATCTTCTTCCATAATGTCTAATGCTTTAGTGGCTACTGTAGTAAGTAATGGAGGTAAAGATGCAGAAAAGCAGTAACCCAAGCCAGACAATCGATGATGTTCAATCACAAATGATGAGCCCACACAAAATCCACCGATAGAACCCATGGCCCATTCCAAAGATCCTGAAATTAATAATAAAACACCATTCAATTATAATAACTAGTTGAATTGAAATCATAAATGTCATTATAACATTTTTAACTTACCCATGATCATATCAATTTCATGTCGAGGAACATTAAAATGTTCAGTTACTCCTTTTCCATGAGCTCCCAAAGTTCCAAATGAAATAGATTCATCCACAAAAATACGAAGCTTATACTTTCTGCAGAGGGCAACTAATTCTGGTAGTGGGCAAATTTTACCTGTATTCATGTAGATTCCTTCAACTATTAAAAACTTTCTTGTTTTTTCTACATTGTTGGAATTTTTTTTATTAAGACCTTTCTCTTGCAACAATAATCTTTCAAGATCCTTGACGTCATTATGCTTAAAGTATTTGATATTAGATCTTGAAGCATCAAGACCTTTTTGTATAGAAAAGTTAACTTTTTCATCGACAAAAACCATATCTTTGCGCTTGCAGTAGGCAGCGATTGCAGAAGAAATTGTACTAAAACCATATGAGTATACTACAGCTTCCTCCATGTCCATAAATTCAGCAATACGTTTTTCTAATTCCAAATGTACATCCAATGTACCATAAAAGCCTCGAGGCCCACATGATCCTACTCCATAATTCTTAATAGTTTGAATAGCTTCGTTTTCTATATCTTTCGATCCCACCAATCCTAAATAATTGTGAGTCGCAAGATTCAAACATTCATTTCCATCAATAGTAATATATTTTCCTATACGAGAAGAGACCGTCATTGGCTTCAAAGCTGGGTGATCATCTGGAATATCTGGCACCAATTGATCCGGTCTCCAGTCTTTGAGTTTTTGGTCAAAATCTGATTCAGAAGATTCGTTTTCCGGCGTGATTCTTCGCTTCAAAAATTGCCAGCCAATAAACAACGGTATTACAGTAAAAAGTACGGAGTAAATAGGTATTTTACTCAATATACTTATTGCTTCCAGAGATATGTGTTCGGTGCCCATTTTATTACTATTCTATTCAATGCTGCATAAGTACAAACGCCAGTCTTGTTACTGTCCTTTAACCTCAATTTGCTCTGAAAACGAATAGTTCTTTGGTAAGTTGACACGGCGACGTAATAAAAACTATTGTCATTCGAACAAACACAATCCACTTTTACCTGTGCGATTCAATCGACAACTGTCATGACGGGGCCTCGCGATAAAAAACAATTGAAAATCATAATGGAGACGAAACGTGGCTTGGCAAATCTTCGGTGGTGTTTAGCAGAAGAAAAACAAGTGTTATCATATAGCTATGCGAACTCCAAGTGGATATATGACGCACTGTATAGTCCGATCCGATAATTACTTAGTGAGGTACCTAAATCTGGAGTTGGATTCAGTGCGTTATGACATGCGTCTACGATTTACATTGGGCTTTGAGTTACATACAACGTGAGTTCGAATACCCGCGATTTTTCTTTTAATCAAGTTCAAGCAACGTAAATTGCGGTACTAAAAATGTGACTGTAAATTATGTCCGTTATCATATTGACTTCGTGCATTTAATAGAGCTTTTATCGATTTTCATCCATCGCGCTTTTGCGCCGATGAAATCTGCATCTAACATCGTCACGACTTTCATATTTACTCGTTTATTTAAACAATAGACACCGACGGTCGGTACGCTCGATATCCTCTACATTCAAACCGGCTAAAACGGCAAACATTGTTTCATTCGTATTCGCACACGACAACGACTCCCACTCGACTCACGCCTACATAAGCTGCGATAACACGGCATCTGCTGCGCGAATCGCCGCGAGCATCATCGTGTATATATGCGGCGTCCGGCATTTCGGAGCTGTGTCGAGGAGCTCGTATTATCTGTATGCGCACACACACATGTAATAGTCGCACGACGACTCCGACTTTGGTTGGGCGAGTGTAAGAACGAGACAGAGAACTGCTGCGCTCCGTGTGTGAGTCGGCTCAGGGGAGAGGGAGTTACAACGCGGATACTACTACGAGTCCACTCACCACTGTGTAAATGCGTGTATACGTCGAGTAGCGGCACACGGACACAAACACACACACACACATACACGCGCGCGCGGCGCTGCGCCGTGCAAGAGTCGTCGTCGTCGGGTGCGCTTATGCTTTTCGAAACTCGTGTCAGTCAGTGTGAATTTCTGCCCGTTGTCTCTCGAACTCGCGTCTCCCGCACCGCGCGTTTCCTCCAATATACATCATCGTATCGTATATATTTATTAATGCGTACGTGTAAAGTTTTCGCGAGTGTGTCCCCCGTCCCCCGCTACGTAAATACATACATACGTATACAGAACAGCCGATAAAAAAGCTTCCCCCCGTGCTACGGAGTTGGCAATTTCGATTCGCACCGCCGAAGAGTCTTGTTCTCCAAGTATTTTCTCGAGTGTTTTTTTGATCGCCGTCAAAAACAAATCAAGTATATACACAGCCAGCAACGCACCTTGGGCGGCCGATATACATTCTCGTTATCAGTCGGCACATCGTTCTCGTCGTATACGTACAGCACACTTGGTCGCCGGGCGTTTCCTTTAACGTTAAATATCGTCATCGTCGACGTTCTCCGCTGGGTGAGTAATCGTCTCGACATTTTTTGCTTGCAAAAGAGAGAATAAGAAAAATAAATAAATAGTAACGACGAACGGCCTGTAGCGCCGATGCACCGCCTGTACGCGTTCACGGCCAATTATTTTTTTTTTGAACCTGTAAATACTTTTCGCTCAAAGTAGTGTATAATACCGAAATCATATGAAGTACGTATATATACGGTGTGTGTTTGTGTTTTTTGTATATATGTGTATTAATAATAAATGTGTGTGTGCGAGTACATCCGTGTCCGCTTGTATTCGCGAGAAACGCCGCTTCGACAAGGATGCTATATACACTTTCTATCTATCTCTTTTTCTCTCTCTCTCTCTCTTGGTCGTCGGCCGTGTACGTATATATGTATATACGTACAATATAAGGCCGCACACACGGCTATGTGTACTGTACGCTACAATACATTAGACACACACACACAAGGGGGGAGAACCCTTGCAGCAGCATTATGTATCGAAGTACATATAATATAACGTAAGGCCGTAGCGTGCGCTGCGCATAGCACGCGAGTGCGCATAAAGCTTCGGTTTAAAAATCTTCCCGATGCAATATTATTGTAAAATACGTGCCGTTACGCGGAAGACTCGCGGACGAGCCGTTGAACAGTGAATGAAAGAAAAAGAAAAAACATCGCGTCGCGTCGTCGATGCACACACGCATCCTTCGGTGTATCGCATTGCGGTCTGCTCTCGTTCCGCGTCCTGTGTATATAATGTATAATGATCGTGTCGATACGCGATGTTTTAAACTCGTTGAGGCCATAATTGCGCCCCGCGCCGCTTCCTACTTTAACGGAGCACAAAGAGAGCATCGCGCGCGCCTTTGCAGAAAGAAAGAAAGAAAGAAAGTAAGTAAGTAAGTAATAAAAAGGGGAGCGATGTTGCATAGATCGAGTGTATGTATGTATCGCGAAGTATTCCAGGGGCTTCTCTTGCTACGAGCGAGCAATTTTCAAATCTTTCTCCCCGAGTCGCGCGAGGCACGATAGCGGGTGCGCATCGGTGCGATGATTTTCGCCTCGAAAGCAAAACGGAGATAGGAAATTGTTGCAGCTTATTCGTTGTATGTGTACGATTCGGTCATTGCTCCAGCTGACTCTCTCACCATGGAGGCCTTTTTATATTTCTATGCGGGCTCTCTTTCTGCCCGCGAGAGCAGAGCTGTTATATAGGTATAATCGCCCTAAGCTGAGAGCGAGACTCGGTCGCGCTCGCTGCTGCACACGGCGATGTTTCTCATATACATATAGGTATATAAACAGCACACACGACGCAGCAGAAAGATGTTTCCGATTCAATGTGCCACTGGATCGTCTATAATTAGACGAGATATACGGCCGCGAGTGCCTCATCGTGGTCTCTCCGTTTAGTTAGGCATATATTTATCAGCGAATTGTGATGTACGTGTGTATGTGTGTGTCTCTCTCATTACGAGCTGTGCACGTCGCTGCTGCTCTATATTATCTACGTGAATGGCATTGGCGATTCGAGTGCTATAGCCGCGACGATAGCCGTAAACGCAGCAGCAGCAGCACAGCCGCGTGTACAATAATATATTCGTCACACTTCTGCTATGGTCGAGTAAACTTGGCCAATAAATTCATTCTCTCTGACTCAGACCTTAGCCTCGGCTCTCGCTCGAGACGTCCAAGTATCACCTTCGCAACTGACGTTTTTTTTTTTCTCTTTATACTTAATATATTTATGGCCTGTGCAGCGCAAGGTATAAGTCAGCCGATGACGACGACGACGACGATGATGATGATGAAGATGAAGATGACGATGCCTTTCGATTCTCAGCTTTCTCTCTCGCTCTCGTGAATTGATTAGAGCCGATGATTTCACGAACTATTCTTGAGCCGTTGAAATATCATCGAGCCTTTGTAACGACTCGATTCGTATAAATCATTAGCGATACACCGTATGCGGCGATAAAGCATTATTATCGTTATCGTCCAAGTAATGCTTATTTTAACTTTAATAACACCGTGAAAGATTTTCCGCCGCGCTCGAGCATTTTCATTCAAGAGAGATGCAGATGCTTGGCTGTTATATTTTCAATGTTTACGCGCCCCTGAACGAGTTTATAAATAACGCAAAGTTCATAAATCTCAATGAAGTTGTTGTTTTCCCGAGTGCGTCGCGCGCGCGCGAGATATTCTTTGTAACGCGCCTCGTATGGCCATTGTGCGTTCACATTTTGGCACCGTACTTTGCGGTGAAAAACTGAAATTATAATTATTTACGCGCAGCATTAAGTGTACAATAATACGTTTCGAGGCTTTATAAATAAACTTTGGGAGTTTGCGAGCGTGATCGGAGCCTGTCATTCGATTGATACAATGTAAGGTTTCTCGTACATAGCGATTTTTTAAAACGAATTGCCATTATTATTATGATTATACTCTTTTGTTTTAAAATGAAGAAATCGACAACTCGAGCTTATCAGATATATGCAATTGTAGACATGTAACATTAATATAAAAATATTTAAAAGAATTTCTATTGATTTTTTTCTCCAAGTTTTCTCAGTTAATTTAGTCTGTGCTAAATTTAATCCCTCGCAAGTTGAATAATTAAATCGAAAATAAACTCAGGTTCCGCACATCGCATTGCTAATAAATAAAACACTACACACTGTATAATACTTTTAATAATACCAAACGAATGGGAGAAAAATAATAATCATAGATCCTATAGCTTCGAATCCGCCAACTCAGGGCATCGTTACACCACACAGCCCATACGCATCATTATGGACTGCGTGCTGTCGAAGCATGATCTTGAAAAAGCGTTATCTGCGAAGAAGACTCGACAAAAAGAAAGAATCGAGTTCGATGCTCGCAACAGGAGCTCGACACACAAGAGTGCAGTCGCGAAAATGGTTTCTAAAAGAAGAAGAAGAAGAAGAAAAAAAAAACAGCAAATCATACATCGTGCACGTTATATATGTAGATAGGAAGCTTGCGCTCGCGCGCGAAAGACAAAGACCCGGTGCCGCGCGCGAAAGCAGCTCGATCAGCAGAATAATGCAAGCAACGAGATTATCAGTGCATGTAGAGCGCAAAAGCAGCTTGCTCAGCACGGCGCACGTTATTATATAGACGGGCGCCAATTTATCCCTGGCAGGTATTATCATATATAGACAACGTATGATGATGTCTAGGTGTGTGTGCGTGTGTGTGTGTGTGGTCGACGTGCACCGAGCTAGATATACATACATGCGTTAACAAAGTGCACACATGCAAGTACATATATTTACGTGCGCGACTGACTAATACTCGTGCGTTTCCTCGCCGCACATCGTGCGCGCCCTGCGCCACAAGAGAGCGAGAGAGCGAGATCGAGCAAAAAGGGTACATTGGGGTGGCTGGCGGTAGTGGCTGTGCGGCGTTATCGGCACAAGAGCACAACCCTCATCTTATGCGTGTACGTGCACATGCACACGCACACACATATATAATATCGAGCCGAGCACACTTGTACCCAGCCACCATATAGACTTCCTTCTCTCTGTACTCTGCTCTCTATCTCACTCTCTCTCTCTGCACAGCGCTGCACAGCGTATTATATACGGAGTAGAGAAATTTTCCCCGAAAACGCAGACGCGAAACGCAGTCGCAGAGTCGGCGGCGGCGGCGGCTGCCGGGGCGCGTCTGTCTCGTTCTAGCCCACCCTGTGCTATATACACACAGCACAGAGAGAGAGCAGAGGGTGTCGCTTGCGCCGTTGACTCTTTTGCCGTTAACACGCAGCAGCCAGGCAGGCAGCAGCATCGCCTGCGCGCAGATACCGAGAAAGCTCCAGCGACCGGGAGCGGAGCAGCCCTCGTCGCTGCTGCATAGTGTTATGTATAAAGTCGTCGAGCTTTGGCGCGCGTGTGTGTGCTTGCGTGTGCAATAAGAGCGAGCCGCGGCGAGTGTACGCCGAGAGGAAGAGGCGTGGGCTTATCAGGCGTGGCGGCAAACGCCACGACGGCGCGACGACGACCGCCGCTGATGCTGCGCCCAAAGGGTCCAGGCCTACTGCTAGAGAAGTTGGAATAGAAAAAAAGCAAGAAGTTTGTTTACGATACTGCGCCAAAAGATCAACGGCCCTCACCCCGTGTTGTACCACACTTATCCGTGATACGCGCTCCGCGAATTGATCCGCGCGCTCGGCTCTGTGTGTGTGTGTGCGTCTCTGTTTTTGTGTTTGTGTATAAATACACACGCGCACCTCATCAGTGTTTGTGTGTGTTTATGTGTTATTGGCGCGGCCAGATAGAGAGTATGGTGTCCGACGAGATTATCCTCGCATTTTTCTCGCAACAACGACACCCCCCAGAGTTCGACGACTGACTTCTGTTTTGTTTGTTTGTTTGCTTATTGAACAACAAAAATAAAGAAAAATGTGCGATAATCGAGTGCCGTGCGACGACCACGACGACGCCGCCGCCACCGCCGCGCCTATTACTACTTACTTATGTTATGTCAGCTCGCTAATTCTCCAAGCGACAACGACGACGTAGCGAGTGGGTGCGTGTGTGTGTGTGTGCGTGTGCAGTGCCAGGCCAATCAATTCGAGTGCGTCAAATTAATCTCGCTCGGCTATACACGCATATATATAAATAAGCGCTAAACAAGCGTTATAATAGGCTTCGAGTGGCTGCTGCATACAATATATGTATACGGAGTGGCGAGTCTCTCCGGTGGTGCGGGCGAAAAAAGAAAACGGGTCAGCGCATCGATTACCACTCATCGACGACCACTCGGCCTGATACTCGTTTTTTCTTCTTTTTTTTTTCTTTCATTGTACATTATATACAAAAGGGCCTAAAGAAGAACGAAGAAGGAGCGTGTGATTTTTGTCAACGACTTTGCATATACACACACGGCCTAAACTGCTTTTAACGCGTGTTCGCGACCCTTCTTTTTTGGGGGGTAGCGTATATACGTATAACAGATATAATAACGGATGACCTAATAAAGACAATCGTGGACGCTTGAACGTGTCTCCACTGGTGCTATTACAACTGAACTCGTCGGTAACAATTATCGCACGCGCGTGTGACTCACCGTGTGCTTGCATTCATTCACGATATTTGTTCGAGACGGACGAGAGACACTGCTGCATTATAATCAGAAGTTTCACTCTGCGAATCGTAATAATACTCGAGAGTAATTGAAGTTTACTTCTTTGTGATAGCTGTTAATTGTCGGCTTACGAATGTTTTCCGAGCGATAATTATTGCTCGTTTGGATTTGATCGACTTTTATCGAAACGTTAATTGATATACGTTTGCGATAAGAGTAATTAGTAGTTAATGTTGTAATTAAACATAGATTATATGTATAAATAGCAAATTTATTGGTACGAGAAATTCCGACTTAACTTTCTACCCCCCCCAATCGCTCGGTGGAATTGCAATATAAAGCCAGATACAAGAAAGCAGATATTATTATTATCCACATAGCACGATGTTCAAGTGTTGCGTGTGCCAGGGTAAATCGTCCCGACGAACGAGTCAAGAGGATGACGAGGACGACTCGAGTCGAGAGATGGACGAGGAAGACGACGACTCGTCGAGCTCCTCGTCCTCGAGCTCGTCGAGCGACGAGAGCTCCGACGAGGTGGAGCAGCAGCAGCAGCAGCGGGAGAACGGAATCGAGAAGGAGAAGAAATCCAAGTGCCAAAGCAATGCTCCGAGTGCTCGAGAGGCCAACGTCGTCGGTGGAACGATCAGAGAGTCGGACGAGGACGAGGACGAGGACGACGAGGAGGACGACGGGAACGACGAGAACACCCGAGAAGTCGTGGTCGAGGTCAACGGGGACGCGAGGCCGCAAAAAATAGCGACTTCCGCCGTCGCCGCCACGGAGGACGACGAGGCCGCCGTGGACAGGAACGCCGTGAAGGAAGACATCGTCGACATACTTCACTGCGCCGTGAAAATCGTCACGGAGATCAGGCGCAGCGAGACCGAGAAACTGGAAAAGATCAAGGAGGAGCTGCAGGAGGAGTCGACGACGACGACGACCAAGGACGATAAACCAGCGGCCGTCAACGGCGACTCGGTCGTCAACGGAAACGGACACGCGGAAGACGATGCCGATGATAATGATAAAACGACGACCGCTACGAAGAAGCCCGCGAGCGACGACACGGACGACGACGTAGCCTCGGACGACGAGGGCGAGTACGAGGTCAAGAACGAGGCGGACGAAGACGCCGAGCCGAGTTTCGCCAAGAATCAGATAATGCAGGAGAAAATAATGGAGGAATTCGTCAACGAGCTAAACGAGGAGTCGGACAACGCGCAGGAGCTCAAGGAGATCGTCGGCGCGACGAACGGCGGCGACGGTGGCGACCAATCGCACAACGAATCAACGACGGAGAAGAAGAGCAACGACAGCAGCTTGTCGACGGAGACGCCCCCGCCGCCGTTCAGCAAGGTCGAGATCGTCGATGGGATCAAGAAGAGATCCAGTAGCGAGGCAATCGGTACGAAGGAGCAACGTATAAGTACAAAGGGAGCGGAGAGCGAGACGGAATCGAGCGAGGAGCAGCCACCGCCACCGCCGCCGCTGGCGGCGCACGACTCGAGAAGCGGCGATCATCTATTGAACATTCCGCCGCCCGCCACTCCTCCGCCCGAGGACTACGCGGACGACTACTCGTCGGCGAAATTCGACGACAGCAGCAACACCGAGCTGAGCTTTCCCACCCCGCCGCCGATCGATTTCGAGGAGCAGCCGCCGCCGCCCGACAACAACCAGCAGCATCACCACGTGGGGGTGCCGCAGGTGACCTCAGCCGCCGCCGACGATAACGAGGACAGCGGCGAGGAGCAGCTCAACTTCAATCTGGCTACGCCGCCGCCGCTGCCGCCCTGGGACGACGACATACCCCCTGCGCCGGAGCAGCACCAGCAGGCCAGACTAGAGAATTATCATCTGCCCGTGCTGGGCCATCATCATCGGCAGGACTGGAAGGTGCCGTCGCCGGGCAGCAAGAGTCTGCCGAGCCCGCCGTCGCCCGGCGGCAGCGAGACCGGCTGCGAGACCGAGGCCGAGTCCAAGAGCAGCGAGGACGAGCAGTCGTCGCGAGTCAAGCCCACGAAGAGCTCGCGACCGCTGTGCCTGTCGGCGGCGAAGAAGGCCGCCGCGACGGCCCTGTACGTGAACGAGCAGCAGCAGCAGCAGCAGCGCTCGATCGACGCGGACGCCGCCGACGACGAGGGCGACGACTCGGTGTTCGAGGCCGCGTCCCTCGTCAAAGATCCCGAGATCATCAAAGACCTGCCACCGAGACCAGGTATTACTGTCAGTCATTCTAACGTACGACCCTAAAGAAAAAAACAAAAGCAAAAAAACTTTCATTCTCGAACGAGCGATGTATTATGAATTACCGGGTGCTTATACGAATGAAAGTTTGAATTACGAAACTAGTGAACAACTTGGTACGTAATTATTGAGTTTCAAATAGTATAATAAAAACACAGGACTTTTAGAGTGGATAAGCGTTTTCTAAAGAGCACTTTGTATACTTGAATGTTTAGCAAATGAAAATATATCCGATTTATCCAGAAGTATTGATTACGAAGGAGAAAAAAAAATCTGCACAAACGAATACAGCAGCTTGACTTTTTCATCCATTACTTTTCTTTGAATCTTTTTTCTTTTCATCATCATCATCATTGTCATCGACCATCGTATTTACATTGAAAAACTTTACTTTCTAACGATAGAAGGCTTAATTATTTTTTTTTTTGAACGTAGGTACGATCATCATATAGCCAATGAATAAAATATCATTTATCAAGTAGTTAAATGCACTGCGTATCGTATTATTTCGTATTACGCTTTCTATTTGGATTTCTATTCATTTATTTCTTCAAACTCATATCACACTCTTATCGTTTCGAAACATCCGTCAATAAAAGTCAAACGAGCTTTTGAAGACGAGTGCGTGGTCGGGCACTTGTAACATTTATTTCACGAGAGCTTTTAACTCGCATTTACCTCATTGCCGCGTAGATAGAATATATACTTATGTACTATGCCATTTGAATAAAAAAAGCTGACGCTTTAGCTAAAAGTAGTGAATACGTCAGTATAGAATTAAAAAAGATGAAAAGCTCGTCTCGCGAACAATGAAACGCGATAACAACGGGATAACAAAATTCTCCATGGTGTTTGTACGCAATTAAACTGACGACGACTTTTCGCACTCTGCTATCTCAAGATCTTGAGAAATTAGATTAAGCCGTGAGGCTAGACAGAGCTTTACACGGTTAATAGACTTTCCTGCATTACTACATTTTGTTTTCTCGAGAGGTTTAACTCGATATACCAAATGAACGAATACCTTTTTTTTATTCTTCCAAGAAAGAAAGAGCGCAGTATAAACGCGTTGACTCACTCTGTCATTAATTTTTTTTTTTTTTTTTAATTTATCGAATATGTGAATCAATAAATGTCCCCTCTCCGAAAACAAAAAAAAAAAAAACATAAATCATGAGCGACAGAATATGTGTGGATATTGAATTTTCTGGGTTGGACCGACCGACCGACCGATTGACAATCCTCTCCTCCTTCGCTCTCTCTCGACACACGCACACGATATGCGCTACAGTGCCGCCGGTGGCTCGCTGGCTGTCGCAAGAGGAAGACGAGGCCGACGGTGACGAGGGCGCAGCCGGGGAGACCAGCGAGCGAGGGGACACAGGTGGTTGTTCCTCCGAGGTCGGCCTCGGTGGCATGCAGGAGCCGCCCGCGACGCCCGTGGCCAGGGACGAGCTCGCTCTGCGCCGCCACCGCTTCTTCTCGGACCTGCTGCAGGCGGCGCGCAGCACAGCCGAGCACCGCGTCAGCTTCGATCCTCTGGGGCCTCTCGTGCATCCCGGTCAGAGACGTCAAAGGCTCTTCTCTCACTGTCTCTCTCTTTTTTTTTTCTCTCAATAGCTCTCTCTCTTTCTCTTTCTCTGTTTTTTTTTTTTGTTTTTTTTTTTCATAACTGCTATGCAGAGAGCACATTGTGTCCTTAATAGTTTATATCCTCACTCACTATACATCTCGTTCTCTTACTATATTTTTTTGCTGTCAATATATATAAATGTCGTGTCTTTATGCTTATCATCGTTTTTTTTTTTTAAATTATAAATTTTATCCTGCATTCGTCGTGTCACGCAACAACATATTTCGATGTTTTTTAATTATCGTTTTCTCATGACTGTCGTTGGTGTGTTGCTGTGTTTCTTTTTTACTTTTGTTCTCGATGTTTTGTAATTCATTCGACGAAGCACTGCACGTGTATATTTTATTTTGCGCACCCCAGCATGTCGAAATTGCGTCGAATTAATCGAGCGTCGAACGTAAACACGTATATTTATTCGCAGTCTATAATTATCGATCGCGCGCGTATTGTCTTACTCAAAACAGCGGAAAAAGGATTTAGAGTGCCATTTATATAATTGTCGTATTTGAAGCGAAGCTTCGGAAAAATCGTAATGATTCATCTCGTACACGAAGCTCGGTGGAGACTCGATCAATAATTAAGGATTACAATTTATACGTATTGATAAACCAAACGTTATAAACAGACGATGTCCAAAGAAGTACGCGTTTCTACGATTCGCGGGCGTATAACACAGATAGCGAATTTCCGCCTAGTTTGAGTCGCTCTAATAATAGCGCATAATATTCCGTGCCCCGAGCTGCTTCTGCTTACTTTTCACTCAAGGTGAACAAACATAGAGTGGAAGCGCTGCTGCTGCTGCTGCTGCTTATAAGCAACGGTGCTTATGTACGTGTGTTATACCTCGCGAGTAGCCGAGCGCAGTAATCCTCGCGTTCTGCGATTTCGCACACACCTACACAAACACGTATAGCTCCGATTCTCACGTATACATAACGATATACAGAGAGAGAGAGAGAGAAAGAAAAAACACCACATGCTTCAAAGGCTATTACTACGCGTGCCAACACATAAAGAAGAAGCTGTGTATCGCGGAAATCGAAAAAAGGGTCATTTAAAGGTAAAAGACCTTAGACCGCGCGAACAGCGAGGCAGCATTGCCTTATATGGAACGCATCGGGGGCGCGCGGGACGACGACGACGACGTTGAATAGCTCCCTAATGAGAGTCGCTCGACAGCAGCAGCAGCCAACTATTCCAGCTTCCGACTATTCAACTGTGGGTTAACGAAGCTTCCACTATCCATATAGGTTCTAGATTATGTCAGTCTGTGTGTGTGTGTACCGTGCGTGCGTCCGGAGCAGTGACTAGCATTTTCATGAGCTTTATGAACTCTGATACTATGGTGTACATACGTGCTCCATGCCTCTCCCCGGCTTCGATCGTTTTTTGTTTTGACAGAATAAATACACGCACGATTTTCTGTGCTGCAAGCTCGTTTAGAACTGACGTTTTACGTAATTGCTCGAAAAACAACGGAGGGCAACGTAAACGTAATACATGTAACCGTCTCGCTTCTCTCAAAAAGATATTGGACAGAGCAGAAATACTTTTTCGGCTAATAATAATCCGTAATAACGCTGTTTACCAACTCGAATAAGATATATTAATAAACCCACCCGCGACAACGTGTTGCTGCTCGCGACTCTGCACACACTCGCGCGCGTACGCGTAGAGAGTATAATATAAGTATTAAAAACCGCGACGTACATCGCGCTCCTCACTGCTTAATAATCATAAATAATAATAATGATAATAATAACGATGACTATGTCGGCCGACGTGTCGTACGACTTTATTTATAAAATTTTCGTCTGTATATATTGGCCGCTCGCGCACTCGCGCACGCATCTCGATACTTTGACCGACGTTATGACTTGTTTTGGCGTTTTGAAACATTTTCTGCGAGAAGAAGAAGATACATTTTTTATTATATTGCATGCCTTCGGGCTTGGTACATAATGTATAATACATGAATTATTTAGTCGCATTCTCGTTGCTTTTATTTTTGGTGCAAGCAAAATAATGGCGCTTTTTTTAATATATAAATCATTGATTTACATTGTTTTCTTTTTTTCATGTGTGCGTATGTCTGTGTGTGCTGCTATACGACGTCACTGTCGATTTATATCGGCTCTCGCGTTTAACGAGCTGCATGCTGAGTGTCAATGCCATCGTTACCGTTTATACACGAATTGAACTATAAAGCAGAAAACTTAAATAAAAGAAACGACGCTGCATCGATAAACATAAAAAATTTAAAACACACGTATACTTGTGCATCATAAATGTGATTTCAAAAATATACCGAGCATGCTAGGGATAAATGTGAAAAATATGCCTAGCGTATTTCCCCTGTCGCGAAAAAAAAAATAAAATGACATAGAAAAAAGTATTCGTACAACGACGATGCCAAAACAAAAACCATCAACTAATCGAAGGCCCGATCCTTCCTTCTTTCTGTTTCTCTCTCTCTGCAAACACAAGCAGGTTGCGAGCACGACGAGCGCGAGGAGCATCTCGAGGAACTGGTGAATCGCTTGGAGAACGTGACCAAGCGTCTCGAGCAAGTCTCGGCTGTCCAGGGCTCGCCGATAATCACAGCAGCGGCGGCAGCAGCAGCAGCAGCAGCAGCGGTACAAACGTCGGAGATCGCCGTACAGACCAAGTCGCCGTCGCCCGAGCGCTCGCTGTCGCTGGCCGAGGACACGTCGCAGTCGTCGTCGAGCTCGCGCGACTCCACCGTATCCGGTTGCTCCGTGGTCGAGGTCGTCAAAAACATGTCGCTCGCCGCTTACGAGGACATCGTGGCCGGGCCGCTGCACGACTATCTGCAGCTCAGCCAGAAGATCGGCGGCGATGTCGCCAGCCACGCCAAGCTCGTCGAGAAGGCCTTCCAGTGAGATTCGCATGACTTTTTTTGTAACGTATGTTGTATTTATATATAATTGACCAAAAAAAAACAATGAACTTTGCAGAATCCAGCTGCAATTCTTGAGAACCGCGGCGTCGCGGCCGGCGCCCAGTAGCCAGTCCGAGCAGGTCGCGCTGCTGGCTCCGACCTCCCAGCAGATCCAGGCGATCCAGGAGTTCCGTGAAAAGCATCGCGGCTCGGCCTTCTTCAATCACCTGTCGGCCGTGAGCGAGAGCATTCCGGCTCTGGGCTGGGTCGCCGTGGCCCCGACGCCCGCGCCCTACGTCAAGGAGATGAACGACGCCGGCCAGTTCTACACGAATCGCGTGCTCAAGGACTGGAAAGAGAAGTGAGCGCGCGAATCTTTGCTCTCTCTGCGCAAGCTCTTGTATATACGTAACGTTATTTAATTTTTGATTATATATATTTTTCCTCGCAGGGACAAGACTCACGTCGAGTGGTGCAAGGTCTGGGTCAAGACCCTGACGGATCTGCAGCAGTTCATCAGGCAGCATCACACGACGGGCCTGGTCTGGGCCAAGACGGGCTCGGTGCCGCCGCCGCCGTCAGCCGGCGGTGTGCCGCCCCCGCCGCCGCCCTGCATGATGCCCATGGCCGATCCGGCCCCGGTCATCGGCGACGACAGGAGCGCCCTGTTCGCCGAGATTAACCAAGGTGAAAAGATTACGAAAAGTGAGTATCGCACTGGGCAATAGTTTACCCCGCGCACAACCCGTATCTAGAACTTGATTATTAATAATCGCTACATTAGGTGTCTTGATTGTGCTAGCTAATTACTAAAACAAAACAAAAACAAACAAAAAAATAACCGTTTAAAAACAGAATCTTGTATTGTTTTTACAAGCAGCTGTGGAATCATCAAAAACGAACTTTGTCACATAATATCTCTAATTCAGTATATAAATAAGTGTTGCCATCTATCTCCTCCCCTCTTCTCCCCCTCATGTGCGTTGGAGACTTATGGTTATTGTTAAAGTATAAATTGAAAAACGCCAAAAAAAAAATGAACTTTGAAACTATGATCTTTTTTTTTTTATTCTTTGAGTTCGAGATTCTTGAAAAAGTTTTACGATAAAGTTGAGACTCTTTTTTTTAAAGTGATATTATCAGTGCAAGTGTTATAAAGCTGACTATTGAAAATAATTTAGGTTGAGCATAGAAAATACTATCATACTATTTATAAAAACATATACACGAAAAGTTCATGTCTTGTTCATCTACATAGACTATTTATCCTTGTAATCAGTATTATTACATTATAAGTATTTATATTGGTTAAATATTTATATGAATCTATGATATGTAGAAAAATATTAACAGACTGCATATGAAATATTAGTATATATTCTGTTCTGAATTTTATATTCTCAAAGAATACAACCTGTACATGATTGATAATATGAGAACGAATATAATAAATGCATATTATAATCATTTGTTGTATTTTGTGCAAATTTCATTAGCCACGCCAGCGCCGCTCACGCTTGGTATCAATTTTAACATTAAAATTACAGTAGTTAATTTTTTTGAATTTTTTTTCCAAAAACGAATTGAATCGATACTAAAAAGAGCACTTGACATTGCAGATCTTAAAAAAGTCACTTCGGACATGCAAACGCATAAGAATCCGAACTTGAGAACGGGACCTGCTCCATTCAAGGCACCGGTCGTGAACAATAATTCAACTGGCAAACCAAGTGCGCCGGTTGACAAACCTCCCGTTTTCTCTCGTGACGGCAAAAAGTGGCTTGTTGTAAGTTTTCGTATTATTATTCAACTTTTCAATGAACTGCAAGATAATTTTTAAAATCCTCTTTTTATTTTGACAGGAATATCACAAAGGGAACCAAAATCTAGTGATTGATAATACTGAAATGAATAATGTGGTTTATATGTTCTGCTGTCAAAACAGCAATTTAGTTGTCAAAGGAAAAATCAACTCAGTTGTTATGGATTCCTGTCGTAAATGTTCTGTCGTCGTTGATTCTGTTGTAGCCAGCATAGAATTTGTTAATTGTCAAAGTGTTCAAATGCAGGTAAGGAAACATTTCAAAGAACATTTTTCGGATACTAACAGCATAGGAATTAATTACACACGTTATACATGAACAATTAAATTTATATTTTTGGAGTAAAAAATCATTCTTTATAAAATTACTTTGTTCTAGTTTAATAGTTTATAAAAATATACAGTTAGAAATTACAAATCAGGTTTTTCAAGTATTTATTCATAATTTTTTTTTCTTGATAGTAAAGTTGATTCGTGATGAATATTCCTTATGTTCTCATCATTTTAAATATTACAATTTGAGTCAAGAGATTAAAATGAATCGGATTATTCACTATAACTGTTTATCTATTTTTTAAAACAGGTATGCACGATTTTGATGATTTCCTCGACATTTCCAATGACTCAGCAAAATTCTTAGCTTTAGTGTCACTACTAGTGGTACTGTTATCGTCACTTTTTACTGAATCTCTCGAGGAAGATACAACAAAAGATTTAGACGATGATTGATCTGAGATACAGAGCATTTTAGATGATTCAGATTTGTCTGCATCTAAAGTTTCCTCTTGCTCTATTTCTTTCAATGAATTGAAGAAATTTGATGATAAGCACGATGCATTTGAGTTATCTTCGGTTATTTTTGACGTAGTCTCGCAATTAGAAAACTTGTTTGATTTCAATTGAAATGCATATGCACAGGAATGATCGAATCGTTCGCTAATATTTTTCTTTTCCATCAAACTTTTTACATGACTAGAAGTTCCTTCTATCAAAGATTTCGATTTTTCAAGTTTGAAAATGTTGCTTTTGTCATTAGTACATACATTTTTTAAGCTATTTGTTTTGTTTTCTCTATTAGGAGTCATTTTGACAGTACTTTTTGTTAAATATTTTTGTGGACTGAAATTACTTTTCAATATTTTTGAGGTACTAGTTTCTGTATTTCTTTGTCCCACAGGAAAACTTAAGTAACTGTCGTTTGTAAATGACTCATCAGAAACATTTTTTTGAAATCTTAAATTATTAGAACATGCTGTGATACTTTGACTTGAATCTTTTGATTCAAAGTCACAAAAATCGCCGGCATCTTTATTCGTAATTGTTCTGTGATTTTCTGTTTCTATGTTCTCTTTGGTATATTCATCAAGTTTCTCTGTACTTTCTGAATGATGATTAGTTTTACATTTGAAATTGGGTTCAAGCATAATTTTTGGCGTCGAATCAAAAATAATATCTTTGGTTAAACTTGAATCCTCATTGGATTCGGTATTTTCCGAATTTGCCTCTATGGGTGTATTTGAAGAGTTTTGAATCTCACTATTATTCATGGAAATACTACTAATTTCTTGTGAGTTTTCATTATTCATGTTGTTAATATTATCTATTGTCGTTGGATAAAGATTATCTGCGATTCCAAAGTCATTCTGTGCTTCATTTATGTGTAATACTTCGGAGCAATTACTTTTGTCTGTATCAATTGAATCTGTAATTTTTGATTTGTAGTCTTCTGCAGATAAACCATCATTTACAAATTGCAAAGGTGCAAATAATCTTTGAAATTGAACAAACTTATTGATTGTACTTTCCATGCTTTCTTTTGATTTGATTCGAATTAAATTTTCGCTATTTCTTTCACTTTCTATGAGCCTATCAAGTAATCTATTGACACTTGTATCACTTAATGACTCTGATAAAATATTTGATTTTGAATCATTTTCTATTGCTGACAATTCTTGAATTGCCGATTCAATGTGTTTTTCAATTAAATCATTGTCGTGAGACAAAAAGTCATCATTTTGTTGAAACCCAATCGAGGCACTACTTTCTTTATCAATCACGCTAATTCCACTAGATTCTTCTTTAATCATGTCCAATACTTGTGGTTGAAAGTAAATTTCATTTTCTTCATCCACAAAGAAACTTTCTGTTGTGTTTTCCATTTCCTGACTTTCATCAATATTCTCTGTCTGGGTTTTCTCGATTAATGTTGTGAAATCATTTTCAAAATTCGACGTATTTTGCAAAAATAATAACTGATTATGAGTAACATTATCAAAAGTAACTGCTTCTTCAGTAACAGTCTTCGTACATTCATCTTCAACCGGTTCTGCATAATGCTCAGTTGTCGAGTTTAGATTTTCCATCATGTCTTGCATTGGAGGTTTAATTAAATTTTCTTTATCGTGGATTTCTTCGCTCGCTGCATCTTCAGTAGTAGAATAATCCTCTTCCGTCGAATACGAAATGTATTCTACTTGTGTCGGTTTATTCAGAAAATTTTGGTTGTGCGACGAAGAATTATTGTTATTTTTTGGCTCGTCCTTTGCATCACCATCAATGGAGACTTGAGTATAGTTATGAGATTTTTGATCTATTAGGATTGAAGCGTCGTACTGATTTTTACTTGTAGGTGAAATTTCATTATTGAGTACATTTTTATTTTTACTTTCGATCAGCATTTTTGCTTGGAAATACTGAACATAATAATTTCGAATTTTCCATTGTAAATTTTCTAATACTTTTCCCAATAAAAATAAAGTATCCGGGACGTCTTTTGCGTCGCCATTATCACTACTAGAACAATGCGAACTGTCTTGTAGTAAGTAATAATTGGCATCCAAGTGCTCCTAAAAGTGATCAATGATAAATTGATAATATTTCAATTATTAATTTCATTCATTCAAATGATGAAACATACCTTTCCACTTAAAATAATACTGTTTGTAATACTCAAACTATTTTCCGATGAGCTATTAAATAGCTGAAAATTGTCGTCAAATATCAAGTCTCTAGATAAATTGATTACTGACATCTTTGTTTGAGAAAAATCTTTCTGGGCTTCGAGTTCTGAAATGCAGCCACCAAGACCATTGAGCTTTTTGCTAAAAATAAATCGTGTTTTTGCAATAAATTTCATTTATCGTTCACCGAAAGCACCAATTATTTATTACTCACCGCGATTGTTCAATCATTGCCTTATTTATGATTGAATCGCCACAATTTAATGATGTTGGCTTAGGATTTTTCTGATGACTTGTTTTTTCGTCAATATTTAAAAATGACCAAACTCCATATTGAATTTTATAAGTGAGAACATTCAATTGCAATTCTAAATCTTGGACTTTTTGATTAACTTTTCCAAGTTGATCTTTATATGCCTGAATACTTTTGACCCATCTGACAATCCAGAATATCAAGTGAAAAATGATAACGCATACAACTAGTAAAGCTAAAATCTTTTTTACATTAAATGAGTGAAAAATTGTTAATATATTTTGGACATCCGCGTAACTATTTAGATTTCAAACCTTCCATAAAAAAGTCTCGGTAGCTAAACATTCGGCCACATCGGTAACTACTTCGGACCAAACGTAATCTATTAAAGCATGGGGGCAATCTAACCAATCGTAATTACAGATGGTTGCAACAGATTCAAAGTTTCCACCTGCAACAATTTCACGATTTTATTACGTCTGAACGAAAAATACTATAATTTAAAAAGCTCATTTTATGAATTTATCACACACCAGGCTGCCAACGCATCTTTCTGTTATCACTGTTTAGTTGTACAATTTGAATGTCCGTAAAAAATCTAATTCAAATCGGTCACATGTTTGAACAGATCTAGGTTTTAGTTGGAATGTAAAAAGATAAAAAAATAAACCAAAAGTCAACGAATTTTTGACTCTTTTGAATGGTGCATGTAAACAATCGTCGCTATAGAGGATTGTGTTATTGGGCGCGTTTTTCGATACTCACACAACTTCAAGCTAAAAGCCTTTGAATTAAAATAACTTGATAATTTTATTTCAGGTGCTTGGAAAGGTGCCAACTATTTCTATTGACAAGACTGACGGCTGTCAAATGTATCTAAATAATGATACATTGAATGTCGAATTAATCACCAGTAAATCCAGTGAAATGAACATTATGGTACCCGTAGAAAATAACGACTACGTGAGTATTTAACGTTTATTTTAACAATCCTATGTGACTGAATAAAAGAAATCTCACGATTGAACAATTTACAGGCTGAATATGCGGTACCGGAACAATTCAAAACAGTAATCACTAAGAGAGGACTTCAAACGACTGCTCTGGATTCATTAGGTTAATTTCGAAGAAAAAAAGAGCAATATTTTTTTTTTTCGATGAAGTTATTTTTTTTTTTCATGCATGAATGATGTTGAAAAACTAATAAACTATAATTCAAATTTTTTATGGACCCTATACTTTCTCTAATTTTGTTTCTCAATTGAGCTGCTAAATAAAATATAGCAAAAAATTTTTATTTTAAATACTAATGTTCTAATCATGTTCAAAAACACTGAATGAACATTGAAAGATTGTAAGAATCTTTTTGGAAAATCAATAAATACTCATATAAAACGTGATGTAATACATTTTTAATTAAGAATGAATAACGTAAGACGCAATAAAGATTTGGATAAATTTTCTGAATCGTATTTTATCCATTTTTATACTGCTTGTAAACGTGTGAGACTGTACCATGAGAACGTCATTGATAATAATTAAGTATTTGTGAACCTTATATGATGATGTGTTTTAAATCGGCCAATAAGCTATAAAGATTTAAATGATTTTCACTCTTGGATCATCTTAGATGTTTATGATCGAGTATAACGGAAAAGCATAAGATGCAAAAAAATGTAACATTCACGGAGATCATAATCGACGATTACTTCGTAATGGAAAGAAAACTTTATAGAGTCATATTGTCGACAAATTAATGTTACTGATGTTTCATTGATTAATTGATCTCTCAATAAAAATTATTCAATATACAAGGTTTGGTACTTTTCACTCCAAGAAACCACTCTTTATTTTTTAAACAAATTATTATTTTTTATCTCTTTACATATAATATTGTGTACATATTATATAAATTTGCTATTCTTATCAGATTATCGTAGAGCATAAGTATAGCTGTAAAAGAAGTATTCTTTAAATTAAACATTAATATCCGATGCAATATTTTACATTGTGCAGTGTATCATGAATATTAGCGTAGTTTTTGTGATTTATTTATTTACGTATGCTAATTTGCTTGCAATTTTCTGAGCCAAGGCAATAGTGTTGAAATTCGTATGTTTATCGGTTTCTTAAAATGAATACTTCGATCTGCGTACACTTAATGACATTGAAAGATGATACTTATTATCGAAAATACGACGTGTTGCATCCATCAAGTACATTATTTTCGTTGCGGATAAAACAAATTGATGAATAATTTTTCGTATTACTTTATCAATATATGCGATCGATAAGTTTTCATATAAAGCTTAATTTAAAACACTTTCATTGACTTTTTTTTTACACATTGATCCGAAGGATTCGATGGACTCACTGCTTATTTGTACAGTATACACAATTAGGGTATTTACTTCAGTAATTAACAATTTTTTTTCCACCTATTCGTTTTTTCATTTTATTTTTTATTACCTATTTCTATAACAGTTGCGTCGAAATCCTTTGGGCTCACATAGAATTAATTTACTTAGAAAAGAGTACAAGAGCATTACTATCATTGTAAAAGGAAATAATTATCGTACAATAGGAATTAACGACTAGATCACAAATAAAAATTAGACTCGCCCTACCACTGAGTTGAAATTCGATAACAAAAAAAAAGCAGAAGAAGACAATAATCGTCTTCTCTCTCTTTCTTTTAAATGACTAGATAACAATTTTTGGTATCGTCGAATGATATATGCCATGTAATTATAAGAAATCTTTTAAGAATGATCGGCGCTGCTGAAGTAGCTGTTCTGCATCATGAACAGCTTGTCGATGGGATTGTGCATGGTCGAGTGTAGGCTCTGGGCGAGCGAGGGCATCTCTCCCGCGTGGCCGCCGGAGCCCTGGTGGCCACCACCGATGCCGATCTGACCGCCCCCGGGCCCGGAGGCTTGGCCGTGATGCGAGTGTCCGCCGCCGCCGCCGCTCTGGTGACTGCCGTCCGGGCCGCCGCCGCTCTCGTTCTCGCACATCTCGAAGCCCGGCTCGGTGCCGTCGAGCGACACGTCGCTGCTGCAGAAGCTGTCGCCCGAGTGGCCCGGATAAACGTCTGCAGAAATGAATGAAAAAAAAAAACAAAAAAAGCGATCGTTATTAATTTGTTGAAAGATTAAACGATGCGATTGGATATTATATCGTAACATGGTCAAGTAGGAACCGGCAGAGCTCGATGATAACAGCTCGCTCGAGTAATAAGACTTTATATACACACGAACTTACCATCGGGCGAATAGGGATTGTTGGGATTGAGCGGCTGCGTCGACGACGGGAAGCTCGACGATTCACCGTCCCTCATGCTCAGCGCGTTCAGATAATGGCCTGCGGGCAAACGAACGTAACGCGTTAGCTTCGGTACAAAGCAAGATTGGATAGATTATTTTTCATTCAATATCATATATATATGGGCGGCTTACTGTGATCGCTGTGCGGGCTCTCGGTCTTGTTTCTCTCCTCCTTGGGCTCCTTGTCGGAGCTGGCCTCGGTCTTGGCCTTGCGCTGCATCTTCTTCACCTTGGCGCGCTGATTCTGAAACCAGACCTGGACGACTCGCACGCTCAGGCCCGTGTCCTTGGCCAGGGCCTCGCGCACCTTGCGGCAGGGCTTGGGCGACACCTCGAACGACGCCTTGAACTGGCGCCGCTGCACCGACGTCAGTATGGTGCGCGGCCGTTTCGGGCCGCGTCGGCCGTCGCGCGGCCTGCTGTCGTCCATCAGGTCGTCGTCTACGCAAAAGAGGAAGAACGCACGAAATCAAAATGAATTCCGGTCACTGATAATTTTTTACGAAATCAAGCTGACGACACGCATTGGTTGACAAGATATTATGACTCTTTCGTACCTAATAATGCTCAACATTTTGCGGCTAGATTGAAGCCATCAAAAGAGTTTCTCAAACCTTAAGTGGTTATTGGAGCACGATATTTACAAACTAAAACTGTAACTTTCAACGTTTTATGATTTTGTCTTTCAATACTTCACCCTTTGCCATCTAGAATTGTTTGCTAAATAAACCTTGCCTCAACTTATACAATTATTATAACTTTGCCACTTGCAGATTTACAGATCGAAAGGTACTCGCCATCTAGTGGCAGAGACTTAAAATAGTATTACAGTATTTCAAGTGGTTCAAAACTGGGATAATTTTTTCTGAAACGGTTACATTTTCTTTTCAAATACACGTAGTATTTTTCGCATAATTTGTATCAGAGAAATAGCCAAACACACAAGCCCGTGAATAGTAATGTAACATTTTTAATATTCATTTTTCGGTCACCAAGCCATTGCCATGCATCGGTATCCGACGCCGCAGTAACTGTTAAACGACGTTTTACAACGAAAAACCGAGTGAATTGTTTATTCTATTGTAAATAAAAATTCACTGGTATCGGACCTTGTATAAAAGAAATTTCGATCCAATGACTTCCAGGATGAGAATAGCTATGGTGCTTTTTACGAGTGATTTATGCAAGTAATTTATTGATGTTCGTGAGAAATTCGTTGCAGACTAAATGATGCATCATGTTGAAAAAAAAAAAAAAAAAAATACCTATCACGATGTATACACCGCTTTGTATTTTTGAAACTAGCTAATTTTTTTTACACAGAATACAAAATTTGTCTGTCGCATAAGAAAGAGCGTTTCGTGTTGCTGTGTTGTGTTATGATAAAAGCTTGGGTAACAAAGATACATGTTTACTTTTAGAACACATTCTCTTGATTTTTTCGATGCGGTAAACAGGTACAGTAAATAGAAATGCGCAGCTCTCCGACGAACTCTTTTTTGTTTATTTTTTACCTAATTATGACGTATGAAAAGCTCGCACGTATGAGCTTGCACTGCGAGACGCGCGTACAGCCAAGCAGCTATATAGACTTTTCGAGAACTCACGGTACACAGACGCGCGCGCATAAAAGCTCCGTTTCGTCGTATCCTCTCGCTATATATATATATATATATATACACCAATCGTTGATATTTAGCTTACCTTGCGGACTGTTGAGGCTGTAAATGTCGCTGGGAAACTCGCGCTTGCACAGCGGCTGGCCGTGCCTGAGTATGTAGGGCGCGCCCCGCAGCAGCGGCTCGCCGCATATGCAGCACACGAAGCAGTCCACGTGAAAGACGGCCCCGCCGCCGACGCCGGGCTTGCAAGCACCACCTCCGGAACTCGGAGGCTCGGGATTGTTGTTCGTCTGCTGTTGCTGCTGAAGAGGCGACACTATGGCCGGCACCCGCTGCACGAGATCGTTGCAGTCGAGCTTCTGCTGGCAGCGGCCGCACTTGGCGCCGAAGACGCGCTCGTAATCCAGCCGGCAGTAGAGCTTGCAGTCGCGCGTGTAGCACGAGTGGCTGAGCGGCGCCGAGCACTCGCAGCAGGCCAGACATGCCTCGTGGTAGTCGCGCTCGTTGACGCGCATCACGTAGCGATCGCTGATCGTGCGGCCGCACTGGGCGCACACGCCCTCCATCAGGTTCGACTCCTGCTTGACCTGGACGCCACCCTCTGTGTATGTGTGTGCATCCATCGAACAGAGGAAAGAAAGAAAAGAAAGAAATATATCATGCCATCGCGCACAAGAGAGCTAATATATGGACGATGTTTGCGCGGCGCGGATCGTAACAATGGAGCGCGCTGCGTGAAAAAAAATAAAAAAAAAAACATTTCGAGTAGCCGTATCATGTCTCGAAAGAGAAACACCGACGTTTTCGAGTGCGCGCGTCCTTATGATCTCGGCATCTCTTGACTGCGCGACGTCGAGTGAGCTAATAAACTGATGTGCTTGCGATTGCGCTTGGGCTTGTGCAATAATATCGTATACGACGACGATGATCTCGCGCACCGTATATATATTGTAATATACGTATTTTTCAGGGGCAGATGGCTACTTTTGATGCAGCGTTCGTGTACACAACGTAATAATACACACGTAGAAGGGCGCTGCTCTCGTCATCTCTCGTGTATCGGCGGGTGGCGATGGTGCATGCACAGTAAAGAGCTCCGCGCACTGCTCATATACAAGCATATTTCTGATATTTGTTCTCTCTCTCTGTACACACGAGCGCAAATCGGTGCGCGTTCATTAGCCGGCCCACACGGCGATAAGTGTAATAATCGATCCCCAAAAGTCGCGTATTACATCTATATCGAAGTACGTGCGTTTATGTATCCGCTCGGCGGGTGCGCAGTCGGGGGATCGCTCGCTGTGGTCGTCCAAACCACTCGGTACAACACAAGCACCTCGTTTCGACATCGATACCCTCTTTCGTTTGTATATTCGCGAGATGAACGAAGAATTTTTTTGGCGGTTCGCGAGTTCGCGGCGGGTCACACTCGCGCGCGCGCGCGCGTAACGCAGGTGTTATAGACCATAAGCTGTACGCGAAAGAGCGATAAGTACTCGCGACGACGACGACGACGACGACGATAAGGGAACGGAAAAACGAAAAATATAATGCACAGCTGCGCGCTATTGATATGTATAATATATTACCTCCGATGTTGTTGTTGATGTTGGCCGCCGACTGTCTGAGCGCGGCGGGCATCGGCGGGCCCGCGGTGAACGGCTGGCCCACCATCGGGCCCACCACCTCGCCGCCACCGGGCACGTGGCTGTTCATGGCGTTCTGCATCATCGGCGCGAAGTGTTCCAGCATCTTGACTGCAAGGAAAATTCAACGATCGCGTCGCACTGTGTATATATATATAAGCGCACGAGCACAAGCACTTCTCTGTGTGTGTAGCTTGCGACGAAAGCTCCCCGGCAGCCCTTCGATTCGCGCGGTAATAATAATAATAATAATACTAATAATAATGTGTATATAAACTAGCCACGATATCACATCTTATCACCTGGTCATCTTTGCGCCACACGATTAACTACAATTCACTCGTATCATTTCAATTTTGTCATATATGCACGATATAGTGGTGTCGGTTCAGCAGCGGCGGCGCACTGACATCGGAACGGATCGTGTCACTGTACTATTATATCTATATATAATCACACGCGCGCACCACCGTCCGAGTCCGCGTACCTAGAGCTACTAACTCCGTGTCTATAGCTCGGGGAAGTTTTTCATTCCCCGTGGCACGGAGAGAGCTCAGTCACCGCCGCCGCCGTCGGACGAGATCGAAAGTTGCGTTAGCGCAAAAGGAGGATGACGACGATGGTGGTGGTGGTGGTGGTGGTGGTCGACGCCCACGACACGGACCCTTCGCGGCTGCATTGGTCGGCTTGGGTCGGTCGAGCGCCGCCCCCCTTTTGATACGCGCGGGCAATGGCGGGGAATTCGCGCAGCGGCGACGGCGGCTCGTTGTACTCCGACCGAGGTATAAGCTTGCTTTTGCGCACTCGCGGAGAGCTTATCAGCCCTCACAATCAATACCATATAGCCTAGGCGAGCGCGCAGCTTGCGAGAGCGTATCGTAGCCTCCGAGTACATACATATATCTCTCGTCGCTGTGTGCCTGCTGCTGTTGATGCCGCTTCTGCTGCTGCAGTTGTTCCCAATATCCCAGAGTCCTCGCCGTGACTACGATCCCTCTCTCTCTCTCTCTCTATTTTGCCGAAATGTTTTAAATGTATCTCTGTCTTTTTCGCCTCGCGATTATTATTTTTTTGCGAGCCTCGAACTTTTGGATCTTGAGTTGTCGATGCGATTGCAGCGTCGTCACCCGTACGATCTTCGTTCAATGAGCTTGAAACGAAAAAAAAAACAAGTTTATTTTAACGCCGAAGCTTGCGAGCGATCCGCGAAAAGCATCGAAGAATAACGTTCTACGAAAAAAATGTTCCACACCGTTTCATGCTTGGCATTCGCATCTTTACTATAGGCATGTAGAGGCTCTCATTAAAGCGAGGTACGAGACTCGAAGTGGGAATACACGAACCTTATTCGACGCATTTTTTTATACCATCTTTAGAAGAATTTCACGAAACGAGAAAATTTTAATATTATTTTAGAAAGTTGTTTTCATAGTCCGACGTTTGAAGGTTTTTCATAAAAGGAAGGAAAAATTATCGTTGAAAAATAATTGTATGTCCGACTGTTACGATGAGACCACGAGTTCATGGTACAAAATATAATTATAAGCGTGTCGAATTATTATCCTTGATATGGAAACGTTCAACATTTTATAGCCAGTTTTAGGCCAGCAAACATTTGTTTTAGACATGAAAGCACGTATTTTTCGTTTTCAACGAATATTTTGATAATATAAAAGTCTGCATATTATCATTTAACACACTTTAAATAGTCACATTTGATTCTTAGCATTAAAAAGTTACAATTATACCAATACAATTGAATATTTTAATGTCTACTTTTTTACATTATCATTAGTTTTTGTACGAATGTGATCCAACGCTTCTGCGTTTCAAACCATGGCATTCATTTCCACAATCGACTTATGTTTATTCAGTACATTCATTTAATTTCTGAAAATGATTCGACTTAGCATAAATCTTTATCTAATTTATTCCTGTAAACAAGTTGAAAAGTACAGTTAACAGTTAATAAAATAAAACCATAAGAGGCAAAGAAAAAATACTATTATAAGTTATCACCCAGAAGAAACGTCCTTTTCATTTCTTATTTCAACTATACCACTTGCAGATTTGTGTATAAAAGAATTCGCCATCTAGTTGTGGGGAATGAAAATGATCTTACAATAATTAAAGTGGTCTCAATTTTTTGAATAAATAAATTTTTATTAATTAACATCATTATTAATTTATGTTAAGCATTTCTACCAAAGTTATTGATACATTATCTACTGATACATCAAATTCAAATTATAAATAAGAAAGAATTTGTACAGCGGGTTCCTAATGAGTTTCTCGTGGCTGAGTGCAAAAGTTTTATATCTTTTAAAAAGTATATAGAAAAAAAATTATTTTGGACATACTCAAGGCAAAAACGAAAAGTTTTTGCGAAGAGAACGAGCAAAAAAAGATTTGTAAAAAAACTAGCAAGGCAGCGCAAATAGAAATGGATAAGCTTGTACGGCAGAATACCGTACGTTTTTGTGTGGATGCGCCGCGACACTGCTCGTAATGGTGGGGTAAAACTCTCCGCTGAACTTGCGCTCAGTCTTGGGGCGGGGGTGGCTCGCTCGCAGGAGGGCGGGAATTCGTGGCGTATCGCTCGTGCCAATGTCGAAGTGATGTGTCGTAATATTTCTTTTTTCTCGTGCAAAATGTATACTATTTGATTTTTTCTTACTCATTGGGAAATAAATCTTGGATCTAGAAGCTAAGATGAAAAAAACATCGGCTTAATTTTAAGATTTATACTCGCAACTACTTTATAAATATATGAAAAGTAAATTTTTTTCTTTATTATTTGGCGCACAGATAAGTGTCATTTCTAAAATATCAAATAAATATTTCAAGATCTTGCCTTCTGAAACAGGTTTTTACACATGTACGTTATTATTGCAACGATACTTGAAAACAATAATTTCAAAAAAAGTCATTACGGACAAAAAATCATGAATGCCACGTATGTTAACATTTTTTCAGTAAAATATTTGTTGAGGCGTCACGCAGCGATTCATAAAAGCCATTCTTGAAGTCGACAAACGCAGCAAGACTTACTTTGGGACATTAAAGTAAAAACGATCCAATTTGTATGATAAAAAAACGAATATGAAAAGTATAGAATATTTAGATAAAAGTGATCTATAACTAATGAAAGCTAGTTTAAATGAAGAGTTCACAAATAATGAAGAATAAGGGGTTATTTACAAACGAGGATTATTTAAGCCAATTTCAAACTGAGAATGCCATAGACATAACTTCAGAAAATCAACATGTTATTAATTCAAATTTCTATAACATTGATTGATTTTGGTAACAAAATAAGTAAAAATGAGAAGCAGTTGAAAAAAAGCATATCGGTGAGCTGCTAAATTATCTTCACTATTGAATCATAAAACTATTGTAATTCTTTTATACAAGAAATTGATGTGCCAAATATGTAAACAATTAAGAAGCAATTTGATTTCTATTAAGATGTATAAACGTAAGTCTTAAAACACAACTCACAAAATTTAAAGCGAGATTCTGACAATATGAAATTGATACCAACTTTTTGCGTTCAACTTTTTATTAGCTTATAATTGATAATGTGTTTTTTTTTCTCCAAAAATAAACAAGTGAATTCAATTTGAAACATTTATTAAATTGTACATGTGTTTTTAGATTACCTTTATTGAGTATTTCTTTCTGAAAATATTAAATTTATTTTCACTATTTTGATGAACATAGATTTATGTGTTTTTTGTGACTTTTTTTAGTCTTGCATTTCTTTCCACACTTATAACATGCATGTAAATGCACAGAATCAAAATGTTTTTTGAGATCATTTTCAGTTGAGAATCTCCCTGGGCAATTTTTACATTTATGTGGCTTATGCATATAATTAATGTGGATGAAAAGATTGCATTCTAGTGAAAACGTCTTGCCACATACCGCACATGGATAAGAGATACTATTGTGAATGAACTTAATGTGATATTGTAGATTACTCTTTAATAAGAATTTCTTTCCGCAAATATCACAGCAATTCTTGGTCTGTTGAAAAAGTAAAGCTATGGTAGAATTTGCATGAAAAAATTTGAATACATAATTAGAGCCATTTATCAATTCTTACAGAATCTTTTTCAAGACATGGTGAGAGTTGGACGTTTTCAGAATCGGGTTCCTCGTCACTTATTCCGGAATTATTTACCATAGACCACGCATCACTTGGCCTTTTTTGCACTCTGAAATAACCCCATTAAGATTGAGTATTTTTTCATAAAATTTTCATTATTTTATTCTGATAAAAAGAAAATTACCTAATATTACAAATAGGTAGACCACTGAAATTCATTTTTCTCACCCCGAAATTTCGTTGAAAATTAATCTTTGTGTGATTATTTTGCGTATCGCACTAACTGAACACGTAAAAACTGGCCAAGAGTCGACTGCTTTTTGGTCTACTCGAAGAGCATCGCTTAGCGATCAGCTTTGAACAGGCGTAAGTCGTAACGTCCCTATCGAGTGAACACATGAAAGCCGCATGCATACCGGACGAGCGAAGAAACAACAGAACGAGTCCAGCTCTACGTACGCTCTTTGTCAGTTTTTTCCGTCTATTGTCGAGTACCACAGCGCCTCTATGTATGCAATGTTTATTTACATAAAAACTAATGGACAAAAAATTCTACTTATTACAAAAAGATAATGGTGTTTCGTGTGATTGATTTATAAAAAAAATAATAAATAAAAAGTGATACAAAAAAGTGACCTATACGATGAAACATCTTTTGATTGGTCGACAGCGACATTTTCGGCAAACATTGAAGCTATTAAAAACTTTATTGATAGGTATAAATGCGCGCGAAAATTTCATACGTCAAATATTATGTGTGTAATATTCACGTCAGAACAAACACAATGTTGTCGTTCCGATGCTATAACGATCTTTTGTAATACGGCCGTTGGCAATTGTCGCGGTCTCTGTCTCCTCGCTCGACCGTCGTCGCCGTCTTTGATATACTGCTGAATTCGTCTGCACCACTGTTGTCTCAACTTGTATGTGTAGTACCTTCGGGCTTTTTGCGACGATTGCACTCGTTGCGGCACATAAATTTCTCATTGACACACACTCGGGGTCTTGACTCCTACGGCAAAAAAATTGCAGCATAGAGATCAATATACCGGAAAAGTTGACTTTTTAAAAAAACATCTCAGCTCGTTTTATAAATTAAAATTAATAAAGGCTCTGAAGGAGTGAATCAATTTCGCTTGAGGTAGAAAATACAATAAAAACAAGTGTTAAGATGGAGGGATCCAACGGACAGAGTACTTTTATGAAATCTGATCCAATTGCCTATCCTGTAAAAGAAGACATTAAGGATCCAGCAAAAACTATTGTTCAACATCAAGTCGCAGGAAATGAAGTCAAAATGCTTGTTATTTTGAAGAGTGGGGAACAAAGACTCATTACATTTACTCTGGCTAATCATGAGTGCACAGTTGCTGATTTATTGGAACAAGTACTTATTTTGATTATTTGTAAAACATTATATATCGTTTTTAATTATTATCTTGATTTCCAGTATCTTAGTACTGGAGAGTTGTACTTAACACCTAAGAAAGTTGTACTTAATACTTGAAAAGATACCTTCAGTTCAACTTTTTTTACCATATGAAAATACTTTTATTTAATAGAACATTCGGGAAGAAAGGGATATATTTATTTTTAACATATAATATACTTTCAGGCAAATATACAGGATTCTGCACAGCCATGCATTTCATTAGTATCGGATCCAAACTTACACTACATTGTTAATTTCACAGTACCGTCATCAAATAATAAAAACGAAGACAAACAATTATTTGACGAGTCTAGAAACCAGTAAGTTTAACAAATTGAAAAACAATTAATTATTTTATTGATATTGTTATGCATCTCTTATGTTCTCAGAGTTAATGATGGTAAAACTGCTTCGTCGACAGGTCTACCAGATTCAACGAGCTCAATTACAGAGGTATATTATTAATTGTACATTTTTATGGTAATCTTTTTTTCTGTCCTAGATAGAGATTAAATCTATAAGAAAACCTAGCTTATTATTTTGCTTTTTAGTCTACAAAAATTCTATTATTTGCTATTTAAATAGTAGGACAAATATCAATTTATTTAATCTAAATTAAATGATGAGTATCTATATTTTTAAATAGTAGGTAAGCTGAGTTTTCTGTAATTTTGAAGAAAAATTAATCTCAATTGGTAATGTGATATTACAATTTTTGTTGAAGTTTATATTGTTGATCAGTAATAATAATAATAAAATAATTTGAGCACAAATAATTTTTATAAAAATGATGTATTATCGTTAAATAATGTTAGCAAGACAATTTTTTGTTTTAGTTGGCAAAACCTGCAAAGAAAAAAGTGTATGTTAACGGTTTTCTGGCAGTTTGCTCATATTGTGGAATGAATTCACCAGACTTCAACTATTGTATCAGATGTAAAAGGAAAATACCTGATAAAGTTAAGGCAATGTCTATATCAACAGGTGTCATAACAAAACTAGATAACCCATGTCTTAATGTAAGTTTACTATTTTTGAAATTTTACTTTCATTTATTACTTCTGTTTCTTTGATTATTGTTAAAGATATTAAAATCTGTAATATTTACGATAAAGACAAATATTTCAGTTGTCAAAATTTTCATAAATTTTATTTTTATCAGCTGCCGTTATTAGCTCAAAAAGAAGATTCTGCATTATTACAAGGAGCAGAAATGGTTTAAAAAGAGGCAAAGAGGGATGCAGAACAGAGCAAATAAAATTCAAAAAACTAGAATGTGTAAACACATCTTAATGTAAAGAAAATGATAACTAAGCGAGAAAATCCTAAATAATTTTATTAGAACGTCTACAGTTCAAATTTTAAAGCCAAATTTGAATTATATCAAGACTTGTGTTTGATTAATAATTTAATTATACTCTTATTGTTTTTATTTATACTGCTTTGACAAAGTACTGTAAATAAGTAGTACATGTAGTGTAGTTTTTACCCGTAAAATATTATTAAGTTTACAAACGGCTCATGAAAGCTCATTGAGTAATAATCATAAAAAGCTACTTTTTTAATCTTAAACTGTTAAAAATTTTTACTAAACGAAATTCGAACTAATTTTCAAGTATTCATCTTTAGCTTTCGATACAAAATTTATGAGTTGTGTGATTTATCTTTGATCGAAAATAAAATTTGAATATTGTAAGTACGTTTGTTTTGGTCAAAATCTCATTTCCCTTTCCATCTGCTATTTGAGATTGAATCCACACAATTGGGGTAATACATTGAACACAGCCCGTGTCGACTTTCTACTTCTCAGTTGCCCATCGAGCAATCAACATCTCCATACACCGAGGTGATTTACCGCAGCTACGCGCATCTAATCGTAGTTTTTCGACTCAGTTACACATAGAGACCGATTAAAAACAATCATGGGATCGAGTGCACGGGAATTGGTGAGAAAATTCAGGAAGATGAGCAATGATCAAGCACTGATGTATTTCGACAATTACTCAGACGCCGATATGGTAAAGGTGTTTGAACTTTTCACGGTAGGAGAACGTTTGGCAGTTGAGAATGGTAAGAAAACGCTCTCGTGTTTACATTTGAATTTCATCGCACCGCACCGCGACCGTCTAAGCATACAATATTTACAATTAATCCTCGATATCATGTACTATACGCGTTCTTGTCTCATTGGCATACTTGGCTGTACTTTGATAATACTGGATTTTTAAACTTCATCTCACTCGATCGCGACAATTTGAATTACTTTTCATTACGTATCAATGATCTTGTTCTAGTTGCCATCCGATGGAAGGAACTGGCGCCAATGGCCTGGTCTGGTACGACTACCGAAGATTTGTGCGACTACTTCAAGAGCAAGAAGGACTTGACGATGGACGACGTGATACACGTCCTCGAACGATGCGCCCAGTACCTGACTCACATCTGCTTGATGGGGTCCCATCATAAAATCAAGCACGCGACGGACGTACGAAAGGGGGAGAGATTGTTCAAACTATTGACCGAGAGAGCCGAAAGCGTGCGAAAAATACACTGGGATTTCGAAGTTCCCGTCGAGCCGCTAATGACGTTTTACGAGGCGAGGATACATCAATTGCAGGAGCACGATAACAAGGACTACTGTACCGTGAAAACCGAGAGAGTGATGAGATTACTGAAGAAGGCGCAAAACTTGAAAACTTTCAACTGGACCGTGGGCGTTCCCGAGCGATGCCTCTTTTATCGGACTAGAAGCATACTCGAAGCATTGCCGGAAGATTTGACAACTTTGAACATAAACTGCACGGAGGACGATTTCTCGATAGAAACCCTGTTCCGGGTGAGTAAATTCGACGCGGTTTTCCTTTTCCAATTGAAAATTTCAGTCGATTAATTGCCCCTTTTGGTTTTCAGCCTCTAGAGAGATTCGACAATCTCAGGTCATTTACATTCAAGGGTGGAAGGCTATCAACGGACCGTACCGGGGACCTCCCTGCCCAATTACCAGCGTCGGTGCAGCACGTCGAAATCGACAGCTTTGGCGAGAAAGAATTCATCCGTTGCATGCGCGACGTGGACTCGTTGCGTCACTTGTCGATCACCGGTGGAAAGTTTCGCGCGGAGGATTTGGTCAAACTGGTCGAACAGAATCCAAACCTCGAGCACTTGGCATTGCGCAACATGGACTACTTATGCGAGAAACAATTCGCGATTGTAGCCGGATTGTCGAATTTGACGTCTCTGCATTTGCACAAATTACTGAGGCTGGACGGACCTTCGTTCACGAGTTTAAAGAAACTCCAAGTAATTCATGTGAGCTATTGTCGCAGGGTGTGGCTGGAGAGTCTGCTCGAGTTGGCCGACGTGGCGGAGGATTTGCGCGAGATTCAGATCGCGGATAATCCGATGCCCAAAACGGAGGAGCTGCGCGAATGTTTAAACACCTTAGCCGTCGATAGGGAATGCACTATTACGTTGGAGGTTTTGAATCCCGACAAAAAAAAAAGAAAACATTACTCCTTCCCTAAGGATACACTTTTAAGTTGTCTTAATCGATCACGCAGGAGTAATTGAATTTCATCACGTAGGAGTAATTTTAGTAATAAGAAGTTGACACTTTTTTTATTGTTTATTGACACGTTTTTAGTTTTCAATTAAAAAATTTTTTCTTTTATCGCCAATGACGAGCTTACTACGTTTTATAGGAATTCAATGTCAAATTCAAATACATATCGGTTATCGTCGATACAACTAATGTTTAATTTTTTGTAAATTGTAAATTGTAAATCTTTATTACATTTCAATAATTTTATGGGCGAAATAATTTTGTAAAAATTCGATCGCCGGAAAATGTTTTAGATTATTTTGAAGCAATGTAAACTCGATTTTTATAGGTATCAAGTATTTAGAATATATATAATAAATTTTCTTGATGACCCATCCGAAAGTAATATTTTCGCCTTTGCGGCCAAAATGAAAATGTTATTTTCTGTTAAGAGACTCAAGAAAAAAAGTATACGCAACATTTAAGGTAAAAAATGCATCAGATCACATGTTCATCGACCGAGGCCTAGATTGATGAATCTCATGTGATAGGATACAGTCTTTTTTTATCTACGATGTTTCGTAATTTACTATAATTATATAATATTCTAAATTACTTGTAATATTAACTAATAATCTTCTTATCGATAAGAAAGTCAATTATCAACACAAAATCTTTTGCAATCAAGATGTTAAACTTAATTTTGTAAAAAAAATCCACTGTAAATATATAACTACACCTCTACACAGAGTTTCCTATAAACAATTATAATCCATAACATACTTGTGTTGAATTATTTAATTAAATAATATATCTATATATTTACCAAATAACAAATACCAGAGAAATTCCACTTTAGTCATATAACGAGTGAAACTTTTACGTATTCAAAGTATAATTATTTAATACTTAATGTAGGCATAAGAATGTTTTTAACATCATATCGTAAACCTATTCAGCTGCAGTGGTGGATTATGGAGCACGCCAATCACACCGCAGTGTAGGGCGGCAAATTTTGAAATAAATATTAAATTTGTTGTTACACATGTGTATAAGGATGTAGTTACTTGATATTTTTTATGCGTACTCGATATTGTCTGTGGCAAGTTTTTTGACGAGTACTTAGTTTTAGAAGGCCGAAAAATTCCTCGAAGGAGTCGTCACCAAGTTAGAATTTTGAATTGTTTCGAATGTTGTAAGAACAAGTTATAAACAGATAAATCGGTACTTTGATTGTAAATATTACGATTGACAAACTATACATATGACATGATGAATATGTATATAATATATATAAAAACAAATTAACTTGAATTTTGTCATTCCCAATGAAATAAGTCATAAAACCAAAAGATAAATTTTACTCTTTCAATTTCCGTGGCACTATGGATCCGTGGTATAAAGATCTATTGCTTGATTCATAGCTTAAAATTTATACCTTAAAATGGATAAGAGTGATGAGAAACTCGAGGAAGTTTTCTCGAACGATAGTTTAAGTGAAGAATACGTTGTTGTTTCAGACGACAAACAATACGTTTGTGATATTTGTCACGAGGCATTTACGCTAGAATCAAGTATGATAACACATCGAGACACAATTCATAATGACGAAAAAAATTACGCATGTGACAAGTACGAAAAGAAATTCGAGTTCCAAAGTCATTTGAGTAGACACAAAATATCAGAACACAAAAACTGCAAAGATTTTGCATGTGACCAGTGCGAGAGAAAAATTTGCGAAAAAATCGAGTTTAATTACCCACAAAAAATTAGTACACAAAGATCGTAAAGATTTCTCATGTAACAAGAGCGAAAGAAAATTTGAAAATAAATTAACTTCAAAAAGGTCGGAAAGATTATACATGCGACAAGCGCGAAAAAAAATTCGGACAAAAAGGTAATACGGTCTTCAACAAAAGATCATACATGAAGGTCGAAAAGATTACACATGCGATAAATGTGAAAAGAAATTTGGATACAAGCATCATTTGCTTTCACACCATAAAAGCGTCCACGAAGATCGCGAAATTTTGACTCGACATATGCGAGAAAATACGTCAACACGTGTATTCTAAAGTTTAAATAAAAATTATGCCGAATGGATAGTGTATTACCGGTACCTCGCGCATTGGACTTGAACTAGTGGCAACCACAGTTGTAAAATGCTGAGCGACTGAATGGTAAATAACGAAATAGCATAAGACATCATTATAATAGTTGTTTCAGCCGTATGAAATTAATAATAGTAGCTTCAATGAGTATCATAATAAATCAATGTTACAATGAGTTTTTTGTGTCAGCTAATTTGGTAAAGCCGTTAAAATTATTATTGGTACAATTGGAAGTAGAACACAAAAATAGGGCGTATTTTTTAGTTTGATGTTCCCTACATGTACATTAGTATAGGTATATATGAATACAGGTTTTCGTAATTCGCACGTACGAAATAGATTTCACTTATCGATGTTTTGTGCTCAGCGTGTATTGACAACCTTGCGACCAAAGGAATTTGCACATGGCATGCCAACGCATATAGAGCTGTATGTACGCGTTAAGCTGGCCCGGTGTGCCCACGTGACAATATATATAGATATATATTTGACTACATGACTAACCATGCATATTTATCACACATAGATTACATAGATGTACGATATTCGCTCGTTGTGTAAAAATGGTAAATGATATAGATGCGACTGTAGTTACGTATTTGGCGTTAGTGTAATATAAAAATGTATATAAACCCTTCATTCGCTCACGTTAACTTTGTTTCATATTTTGCGCGTCGAAAAAAATTATGCGGAAAGAAGTATAGGACACATCATAAGCTTGATTCATGAAGTGTTCAATAATTTATAATTTCTTTGTAATAAAATACAATTCAAAGAAAATTGCTAATTGTTTATTACGAGATCAATAGTATAATTTCTCCAATAATAAATGGTAAGTTTAGAGTGTCTCTGTTGACATAAATTTTCTCAAACTTTCATTTCGCGATTTGTAAATATTATTACACTTATGTTACCTAGCTCGATGTATAACATCATTATAAAACAATTAGTCGTTGATCAAGCTCCGAGTGATAAACATGGACTTCAGTGATGTATATAACTCTGACGTCAGGTAATTTTTGTTTCGTGAGAATGAAATTTAAAAAAAAATGACATAATACTTTATATTATTGGGAATATTGCAGAGTGAAGAAGGAACCAGATGATGTTTCCCCAATTAAAAATGAAGATTATAAGATAATTGACAATGCATGCGATGCTAAAAACGACGAATTCTCGAGTTTTTGTCGAGAAAATTTAGTAAGTGTTGATGTGGGACTGTTTAGTCAATATTTTGATCAAGTATTTTTACTAATCTCATTTCCAGATTTACGGGCTTCGTGAAAATAATAAAAATTCTGGACCTGATAACGATTTGGAAATAGAATTCGAATGTAAGGACGAGAAGCTCGGCATTAACTTATTAGTAGTCGGGAAAATTGAGGACGATTATCCAGATCAATGGCAGTCTAAGAAAAATAATTGCGATAATCAGACTCAAAAGAAAATTAAAGAAGAAATGGTCGACGAAATAAAAGAGGAATTGAATTTGGATGGTGAACTCAGTGATGCATTTGATGCAAAGGAAAAAACATTTGCTCAAAATAGTCAACGCAAAACCCAAACTGATAAGGCACACAATCGTACGAAATATCCATGTAATATATGCGGTAAAAAATTTGCACGAAAAAATTATCTCAAGGTCCACATCGATTCAGTACATAATGGTGTTAAACTTGCGTGTGGTGTATGTGGAAAGTCTTTCGCACGAAAATTTTATCTCAAAATTCACATCGATGCGATGCATAATGGTATGGCACCTACTTGCGAAGTATGCGGGAAGAAATTCTTAACAGAAGCTACACTAAAGATCCATATTGATGGAGTACATAATGGTGTTAAACATGCGTGTGGTATATGTGAAAAGACATTCACACAAAAAGGAGATCTCAAAATTCACATCGATGCGATACATAATGGTATAACTCCTACTTGCGAAGTATGCGGAAAGAAATTTCAAAAAAAGAATAAACTCAAGATCCATATTGATGGAGTACATAATGGTGTTAAACATGCGTGTGGTATATGTGAAAAGACATTCACACAAAAAGGAGATCTCAAAATTCACATCGATGCGATACATAATGGTATGGCCCCTACTTGCGAAGTATGCGGAAAGAAATTTCAAAAAAAGAATCAACTCAAGATCCATATCGATGCAGTACATAATGGTGTTGAACACGCGTGTGGTATATGTGAAAAGACATTCATACAAAAAGGAGATCTCAAGAGGCATATCGAGGGACATAATGGTGTTAAACCTACGTGTGTTACATGTGGAAAGACATTCACACACAAATATACTCTCAAAATTCACATCGATGCGATGCATAATGGTATGGCACCTACTTGCGAAATGTGCGGAAAGAAATTCTCAACTAAGACTAAACTCAAACTCCACATGGATGCAGTGCATAATAAGATAACTCACGCGTGTGATACGTGTGGAAAGACATTCACACAAAAAGGACATCTCAAAATTCACATCGATGCGATGCATAATGGTATGGCACCAACATGCGAAGTGTGCGGAAAGACATTCACACTAAAGGGTAATCTTAAAAAACACATGAATTTGATACATAATAAGACCACTTATTGTAATAAGTGCGGCAAGACATTTTCTCAAAAGGATCGTCTTATAACTCACATTAAAGCGCAGCACGAAGACATTGATCACGCTTGTGTTTAATGTGGAAAAAAATTTAAACATAGAAAATATTTATGCAGACACGTCAAAAGTGTGCATGAAGGCAATACCCAAGCACGAGATCAATACAAAAAATCTTAAAACGTACCTATCAATACCGCGGAAAATGATGAAACATCGAGACAAATAAATAAATTAACATATCATAAATTAACATGTATTTATTTATTATCATATAATAAATAAACATATCATAAATTTTTGCTCAGTAGTGATACTCAAAGCACGACATAATTATACTATATCACAATCATGTTAAGCTCAGTATAGTGGTACTCAAAACACGACATATAATATAATTATCATAAGTACAATGTTAAATACCGATACACAAGTAAGACCGATCGCAAACAAAAATTACGTTTTTTCGAAGTGGAGATGTCGCGAGGTGCAAAACTCGAAATTGCATAAAAAGGCATTTTTTGTATATTAGGATATACGGATGTCGCTAAAAAAGTATACAGCACTCCGTCAACATCCTAAGAATGCTATGTAAAATTTTCAGATCCATTGGTTAATCCCTGCATGAGTTATCGCAGTTAGAGTAAAACATCGAAAACATCGAAGTATTTTCTACATTTCTTCAAAATTAGTGAGAGCTCCCGTAATTTTTTTTTTATCTTTTTCCTAGGAATTTTATGAATTAAAAATCTTATATTGATGTTTTTCGAATAAGATGCGCAGCAAATGAGAGTGGTAGTGGTACTTATTTTAATCCACCACTGATTCAACTATGCATCATTAAAAAAATTATCCGCTTGATGCATACGATTACCATAAATTTCATTTTCAAATCCAAACTGCAAGCCCAATAATTTCTTCCTTCGAATAATTCTCAACGAAACACCATATCTTCGTATTGATGTAAAAGCATCGATATCTAGTTGAGAATTAACTTATCGGTCGCCAAAAAAATCAATCGTACTGCGCGTACATGGCAAATTCAGTCGAATCAAATATGATATCAAATCTGATACGATAGTTTGCACAATGTGCGTACGGTTCTGCAGAAATATATATCTGTTTTTACAAATTGCAGATAAAACTGTATACTGAAAAAGTATCTTCATTTCATTCTATCTCTGGGGCTTTGATAAAAATCATTTATCTATTCAGTTGAACATTAATCGATATCCATTTTTTGTTTTTGACCGTCTGAGCTTTTACAAAATTTTTTGAATATCAATTTGAATGCATGAATGATTTTACTCACAAATTAAAAATCTCATCGTTTTTGTTTTAAAATGTAATAATATGAATTGCGAGACATCGTTTTTTAGCTTATTTTTAAAAATTATCTATTGATTAATGGTCATACATAAGGTATCGAGAACGGTCAGAAAACATTTCCGAAGCAATAAATGACCACAGCAAATAAAAAAGGTAAAATTTAAGAACGTACTATCAAACAATTGTTTTTAGAAATCAAAACCCCCTTCAACCATCGACGTAATTTTGACATTGTTTCCCGCAATTATCAATTATTCAGAAAATAATCGGGATCCGCACTCTAAATGCATTCAGCTGAATTACGTTCCGCATTACATCCATGGTTAAACTGAACGAGCTGCATGATTCATGAAGTATAGGTCAAAATTCGATTACAAAAAAAAAAAGAAGAAACACGAGGGGGAAACATTATTCGTACAGCAAGTGCCGAACCTGCTCCTTTGATATGATACGGGGTTTGTATATAATGCGTAACACAACACGAGCTGCGGCGATTCGTCTCGCCTCGTTGTCAACCGCGCACGAATCAATTAAAACGGGCGCAAGACGGAGCGGCTCAAAAGGAGTCTCGTATACAACGCGTCGCACACGCATCCAACACATTACGCCTATATTTATGTCTGTGTGTGTTTGTGTCGCTCGGGTCATTACGCCGAGACCGGCCGTAACCCTCCCTTCCTTCGCTCGAGCTCGGGTATTTCAGAGACGTAAAAGCGTGAAATTCGCGCTTGGATTTGGAGTAAAAGTGTCTCCCTGTTTGTGTGTGTGCGGGGCGACCACCAGCGCGCCGGTGTCGTCCCGATCACGACGTCGCCCGATGCTGTACACCAGCCACCATCGACTGCAGTAGTAACCCCCGCGCACGCGGGCAAAAATCTATTTAGGCTCGCACACGTGGGAGGGGTGCGGAGCATCAGGCAGTAGCCGGTGCTGCGTTGCTCACGCACGCACACACACACACACACACACACACTTTGACAAATATAAAAGCCCGACGACGGCGATCTTTATAGCTGGTAAACAGAGACAGCGAGAGAGAAGGACGAAAACGATGATATGGCTAGTTGGACATGGTATAAATCGAGCGCGGCATATATTTGCTGCTCTATATATAGGGCCGCGTCAGCTTGGTATGCGGCTACGCTGTATATAATGTACGTAAGAGCGAGAGAGCAAAGTTCCGATCGCGTATAGAGAGAGAGAGAAAACGGGGGCTGCTGTCATGTAAAATATGTCGAAGGTACCTTTCATAGGCGCGGGAGATGGGGTGCTGCTGCTGCTGCTCTAGGAACGAAGAACACACGTGTGCGTCACCAGCCGACGCGCATATATTACGATATACACCGCTATACGTGTGTGCGGTATATAATGCGAGGGGCTGACTGCGCGCCTCGCGTAATATCTTTGCGGAAGGATTCGTGTTCGGGGCATCCGATATATATACATGCACATTACGAATGCAGATCTATGCGTGGCGCACCCTGCGCAGGGGGTGAAAGTCAAAGTGATACGAGAGATGCGAATCGCGATCGATGGCCTCGAATTGAAATCATCGATCTGATCTAGTGTTTAATTGATAATTGATGGCTAAATACTCTTCTGTCGTTGTATTTATTTTCTACATCTTAATTTATTTCGTTATGAAATTACAAGTCTCGTATAGGACTTGGATGAATGTTCTAAGTAATGTAGACGATATAAATAAGTTAAACATAGAAAAGTAATATTAAAACTTTTTTTCAAAATTGTCTAATTAACCGCGATCATAAATTCAATATATCTGTCAGATTACAGTTAGATATTTACAATTAAACCTCTTCGTAAACAATATAATTACGAACGAGCAATGTTGACAATCGCCGGAAGAAAATTTGAAACTCAGTGTGCCCGTTGCCCGCGTAGAACAGAATACTCGTGTGTGTGTGTGTCCTCTGCTCGACACACGTCTCGTCTCATCGAACATCGACATCATGTCCGCGACAAACGATCCGCCGAATCCAGCACCGGGTGCAGGTCAGAAGCACCCGAAGCGATTCTTCTGCGACGAGTGCGGCTCGGGCTTCACGCTGCACTCCAGCCTGATCAGGCACGCACGGACGTTGCACGCACCCGATCGGGAGCAGGGCGACGGCTACGAGTGCCGCTACTGCCATCAGGTCTTCAGCAGGCGCGATCTGCGGCTGAGGCACATACGCGAGCATCACGCGCACGCCCGTACCAAGTCGTGCCGCTACTGCGGCAAGACGTTCGCCCAGGCGAGCTCGATGCGCTACCACGTGCGCGCCGAGCATCTCGGGGGCAGGGGCGGAGGCGCCGCCGGCCGTCAGCACCAGTGCGACCAGTGCCAGCGCAGCTTCGTCACGGAGCACCATCTGCGCGAGCACGAGCGGGTGGAGCACGTGCGGCCCAGGGCTCACCCGTGCCCGGAGTGCGACAAGAGCTATCCGACCGAGGCCAGGCTCAACAGGCACGTGAGGTCGGCCCACGACGTGCCGCGCAATCACAAGTGCGGGAGGTGCGAGGCGCGCTTCGTCTACCGGCACGAGCTCAAGAGGCACGAGAAGGTGGTGCACGAGGGCTTCCGCTATCCCTGCGGCGTCTGCGACAAGGTCTACATGACGAGGTTCGACCTCAAGGACCACTACAAGTCGGCGCACATGGGCAGAAAGGAGTGGGAGTGCGACCACTGCGGCAAGCGCTTCGGCCGCAAGAAGATCATGCGCACGCACATAATCCTGGTGCACATCGAGGCGAGCACAGAGTGGCCGTGCAAGTGCTGCGAGACCGTGTGCGCCAGTCGCGACGAGCTGGAGCAGCATCACCGGGACGCCCACATGGCCGCGACGGAAGAGTCGTGGGCCTGCAAGCAGTGCGACCAGAAGTTCAACGAGAAGAGGTTCCTGATCAGGCACATCAGGCGCTTGCACAAGGAGCGCGCGTCGACGTCCGGCCTGGCCGCCGCCGGCAGCAGCGCCGCGTTCCCCTGCGACCTCTGCGAGAAGCAGTTCGCCAAGAAGTTCGACTGGACCGATCACCAGAGGCGCGAGCACATGAGGGGCCAGGAGTGGTGCTGTCCTCGCTGCGACATGCGCTTCGCCAGGAAGGAGAGACTGGTCAAGCACAAGGGCACGGCCCACGACGGCGTCACCTATCCCTGCGAGATCTGCGGCAGGCGCTACAGGGCCAAGTACGAGCTGGCGCATCACATCAAGTCGATCCACCTGAACAAGTCCGACTGGAGGTGCGAGATCTGCGACAGGGACTTCAAGATGAGGAGGTACTTGGTGAACCACAAGAGGAACGTCCATAAGATCAACGATTGATGATGCTGAATTTTTATCCTTAATAAGATGTTCGCCGGCGTGTATCGTATTGCTAACGTGATTGATTGTATGAAAAATTATGGTAACTATTTATCAATGTTTTTTGATATAGGTATATACTATAATTTACGAACTGTATTTCTTGATTTTTTTATTATTGTAATAATAATATACCATGTGAATTTTTTACAAATATCTTAAATTATTTTAACCTCAATTATATAAAATAATATTATATAAATGCATAACTTTAATTCAGAGGACATTTAGCAGCAGAAAAAAAAAGAAGGATGCAAATGGTTTTTATTCATTTTGCATTGACCAACTAAAAAGCTTAGTTTAAATGATAATACGTTTCTACTCTAATATCAGACCTCTAAATTGTGAAGACATGCGTTGAGACTGTCCACAGCTTTTCCAAATGCATAAGCTAGCTAGACTTGAAAAAAAAAATTAAAAACAAGAGTACATTTTTTGAAAATTTTACTAAACATTAAATTTCTGACTCAACTTGTTGAGAACTAATGGCTTTGAGTAAAAAAAAAATTGCTGGAAATTTTGAAATGAAACCCCCTTGAATTTAGTTTATGAGTTCTTAAATATTTATAAAATATCAAAGCTTTATCGAAATAAAAATGAAACTCTCATTTTGTAGATGGTTTCAGTTCCAATTCAGATTTTTCTAAACAAAAAATTTAGTAAGAAACAGCAAAAGTATCATTCTATAACTGTTGTAGACTTGTAAAATTTAATCAATGTAAGTATACCCATAGATTTTTTACGACTACAAAGATGCCTCAAGCTAGTTAGCTGAGATTCGAACTACATTAAATGAAAATTTTTTTTTGTTATTTGCAAACTCAGTTACCCAACTGAGTTCAAACTTTAAGAATGATAATCAAAGCAAAATCAAAATTTGCAATTCATCGGAGAAAGTCAATTTTGTATACTGTCTAAACATATTCAGAATTAAATATAATTATTTAATTTAGACGTGTAAGATATTTTTAACGTTATATCGTAAACCTATTCAGTTGTAGTGGTGGATTATGGAGCACACCCATCACACCATGGCGTGGAGGTGGCAAATTTTGGAATGAATGTTAAATTTGTTATTACACATGTGTATAAAGATGTAGTTACTTGATATTTTTTATGGGTACTCGATATTGTCTGTGGCATGTTTTTTGATGAGTACTTAGTTTTAGTAGGCCGGAAAATTCTTCGAAGGAATTGTCGCCAAGTTAGAATTTTGAATTGTTTCGAATGTTGTAAGAACAATGTATAAACAGACAAATCGGTACTTCGAATGTAAACAATATGATTGATAATGTGACAAACGATTTTGACACAGTTTTTCGACACACTGATCATGTTTATAGTAAAAACAAATTAATTTGAATTTCCCAATGGAGCAAGTCATAAAACCAAAAGATAAATTTTACTGATTCAATTTCTGTGACACTAAATAGAAGGATCCATCGTTAAATTTAGACCTTAAAATGGATAAAAGTGATGAGAAATCCGAGGAAATTGCCTCTAAAGATAATCTTAGTGAACAAGACATTGTTTTGGACTACAAAAAATGCGTTAGTGATATTTGTCAGGAGACATTTACATTGGAGTCAACCATGATAACTCACCGAGGTACAATTCCCAACGTAAAAAAAGATTACTCATGCGACAATTGCAAAAAAAAATTCGAGTTTCGAAGTCACTTGAGTAGACACCAAATATCAGAACACAAAGGCTGCCACAATTTTGCATGCAACGACTGCGAGAAGAAATTTGTGAAAAAATCAAGTTTGTATACGCATCAAAAACTGGTCCACAAAAGTCGTGAGGATTTCTCATGTGACAAGTGCGAGAGAAAATTTGAAAATAAATCAACTTTACTCAAGCACAAAAAAATATTTCACGAAGTTTTCAAAAATTATTTATGTGAAAAGTGCGCGAAGAGATTTGGAAATAAACCAAGTTTGCTCTTGCACATAAAGAAAGTACATGACGGTCGTAACAATTTCATCAGTTATGAACGCAAGACAAAATTAGGAATGAAATCTGATTTGATCAAGCACCGAAATACAGTCCATGATGGTAGTAAAGATTACTCATGTGACAAATGCGAAAAAAATTTTCGACGAAAACCAGATTTGCTCAGACACCAAAAGACAGTGCACGAAGGTAGCAAAGATTACACATGCGACAAGTGCGAAAAAAAATTCGGGCTTAGATTTAATTTGCTTGTCCACCAAAGAGCAATGCACCAGGATAAAAAAGATTTTGCATGCGAGAGTTGTGGGAAGGAATTTGGACGAAAAAGTAATTTGCTCAACCACCAAAAGGCAGTACACGAAGACCGCGAGGATTACCCATGCAACAAGTGCGAAAAAAAATTTGGAACAAAAACAGTTTTGTTTCGACACCAAAAGACAATACACGAAGGTTGCAAAAATTTTGCATGTGACAAATGCGAGAAAAAATTTGGAGAAAAATCCAATTTGTTGAAGCACCAAATAATAGTACACGAAGGTCGCAGAGATTACTCATGCGACAAGTGTGAGAAAAAATTTGGATACAGATCTCATTTGCTTTCCCACCAAAAGATAGTCCATGAAGGTCGCAAAGATTACGCATGCGATAATTGCGAGAAAAAATTTGGACAAAAAAAAGATTTGATCGGCCACCAAATAATAGTACATGAGGGTCGCAGAGATTACACATGCGATAAATGTGAAAAGAAATTTGGATACAAGCATCGTTTGCTTTCACACTATAAAAGAGTCCATGAAGATCGCGAAGATTTTGACTCGACATATGCGAGAAAAGATGATAATTGACAATTATAAATATGTATAAATACTTCAACACATGTTTTCTAAAATTCAAATAAAAATTATGCCGAAAGGATAGTACCTGTGCCTTGGAAATTGAACTTACATTACATTTTCACTTCCTGTGCTGTATTGTTGTGCTGAAAAAATGTTGCGAACTATTAATTATTATTCTCCGCATAATTTTGGTACTTGATTTGTAAAATTCATATATTCATAACATTGAAAACTGATGCATTTAAGTACAATTCAATCCACATCAATAAAATAGTAGTCCACGCGGGCAAAGTTTTAGTACGTGACATGTGCAAAAAGATGTACAAAACAGAATTAATTATACTTGACCACGAGCAAATTAGTTCACGAAAAGTCTAATGTCTTAAACTACGATGCATATACTATGATTTTAATTATGCTGTTTGATTTCACACATGTGAAGACGAAGTTATATCATAAATTTTTGCGAAAAAGTTGTCAAATCAAAAGTATATAAAAAAAGCAATTGGTAAACTTCAAACTTATGACGATACTAGCCCTTTTTGGCGCAATTCACACACCGTAAAATCATTTTTTTAATTTCACATTTCTTCGTTATGAAATGTCGTTTATGGATAAATATTTATCGTCAATAATATGAAAAATCAATGATACAACTTAATTTTGCGTCGTTTATAATTGTTTTGATTGAATTCTCGTGCCATGATTTGTAAACATACAATTAAATTTTAAGTTCGTTTGATTAAAATCGAAAGTTTAGTCGTTAACCAGATTCTAATTTACAAAGATGGAACCAAGAGGTATTTTCAATTTTGCCACGAGGTAATTATCATTATATAAGAATGTTATAAAAAGTTATAAAATTATACATTACAGCAAAATCTTCAATCTTATTGATGCTGTTTTAGAGTAAAGAAAGAACCCGAAGATGTGCTGCTCAATCAAAATGATTTTCAAATGATCGAGGAGGCATTTGATACTAAAAACTTTCAATTCTTAGAATGTCTAAGAAAAAATTCAGTAAGAGTTCACAGTTAAATGCGATTCACGAGGTAAATTTACTCTATAAAACTCTTGCATAACTTAATATTGTGTTACAGGTGCTTCGAGAGTGTGACGAGATGCAAATCGAACTCGAATGTAAAGACATGAAGCCCGAGGTGAATTTTTCAGCAGTCAAAAAAATTGAGAATTGTTCCCCAAATCATTTGCAGAATATAAAACTCAGCGATGATTATGAAAATCATGACATAATTAAACGAGAAACGGCGAATAGAGTAAAAAAAGAATTGAATTTGAATGTCAATTTTGCACTCACGCAAAAACGCCATCTCATAGCCCACGCCGATGTGACCCATATTACTCACGCGAGTGATATTTGTAAAAAGAATTTCTCATCAAAGAGAAATCTCAAAAAACATATTGATTCGATTCATCGTGGTATTCATCATACTTGTGATACGTGTGGAAAAACATTCAAACAAAAGGGTAATCTTACAATCCACGTCGATTCTGTGCATAATGGTATTTCACACGCATGCAATATATGTAGAAAGACATTCACGCAAAAAGGAAATCTTAAAATCCACATAAATGTGGCACACAACGGTGCCACCAATACATGCAATATATGCGGGAAGAAATTCTCAAGCTCAAGTTATCTCAAAATCCACATCAGTGCGATCCATCGCGGCATAACTCATCCATGCGTTACGTGCGGAAAGACATTCAAGCTCAAGGTCAGTCTCAGAAACCACATCAAGATGACCCATGGTGGTATAAATCATGCGTGCGTTACGTGCGGGAGAGAATTTGCAACGAAGAGATATCTCAAAGACCACACAGATACCAAGCACAAAAGTATCACCCATGCATGCGATATTTGTGGAAAGATATTCTCACACAAGAGTAGTCGCAATGCGCACATCAAAGCCGCTCATGATGGCATAACCCGCGCATGTGACGTATGCGGGAAGAAATTCTCGACAACCAGCTCTCTCAACGTTCACATTGATTCTAAGCACAATGGTAGCAGATATACATGCGACATATGTAAAAAGACTTTCGCGTATAAGGCTATTCTCAAAAACCACATCAATTCTGTGCATAAGTTTATCACGCACGCATGCGATGTATGCGGTATGAAATTTTCCTATAAATGTAATCTCAAACGCCATATCGATAGGGTGCACATTGGTATCACTCATTCATGCAATATTTGCGGTCAATCATTTACAGTAAATGGAAATCTTAAAAAACACATAGAGGCAATACATAGCGGCATCACTCATGAATGTCATATATGCGGAAAAAAATTGAAACGAAAGGATCACCTAAAACATCACGTGGATAAAGTGCATAAAGGTATCACACATAAATGCGATGTATGCGGGAAGAAATTTGGAGACCGACGTAATCTCAATCGACATGTAAAAGCGTTGCATATTGGTGTTACTTAAGCACGTGATACCAGTGAAAATATAAATTCAAAGGTCATCTTAGAGCCCATTTTAATATAATATACCCTATCCACCGACCTGTATGACAATTTTAATACAATGTTAAAATTTTAATAACTTTAAAAAATTATCGTTTGTATAAAGCACTGTTCTTACTTTGAATTAATTTAAATATAATACAATATTAAAATATTAGATTGATATATTATATAATATTTATAAATTAATACATTTTTTAATTATTTAATTAATTTTATATTAATACATGCATTGATTCTAAACTACACTATTTGTAAAATGACTGATTCTGATGTTACGCTTAATTTTCGCGTGTACATATGAATACTTAACGTATACTGGATGCGAATAAAATCGTTTATAATAAACAATAATAGACTCGGTACTGTATAATACTTAAAAATGTCTTAAATAAATAATGATGCATTAATGTTTAATGATCGATTCCCAATTTGTGGTGTACTCGTGTTAAATATTTTTCGACTCCTCATCCACACTAAGAAAGTCATTTTGCTTTATTTTAACTAAGTAGACGAGAACGAATCATAATAACAATAACCCATCGTGCATAATTAATGCACTCAATTTATCATCGAAAAATCACATCGCGATGAAATAATTTATAAGTCGAATTAAGATTCAACGAGGGAGGTAAGTCTGAGCGCCGCAGTGTATGTAGGAATCGTCGATCGAGGGTAAGCATATATACGAGTTACGTAAGTACCACAAACACCAGCTCCGCGACTCGTGTACATGTATAATTCTGATCGTTCGGTACAGCCACACCGAGTTCACGTTACAGAGAGAGATAGAGAAAGAGAGATAGTCGTGATCAGTGACATGCGTCTTACGGGCGCTCGAAAAATGTATCATCTCGTATCGTACACAGCAAGGGTGTATAAACTCTCTTTCTCTCTGTAATACGGCTTGGCTCTCGTCCTTTCCATTGTTTAGATTATATATACGTAAACGTCGATCGTCGTGGAACGAAACGAGCATATAGAGTAGCAGTATATACAAATAGGCCCCGGCGCAACGCCATGCGTATGCTACTTGTCCGATTAATCGAATTATATATTGTACGTAATACGTGTTGCAGGCTTTGTATACTGCCCTATACCGCTGCAACGCATCCCATTGTTCGACTCGCTGCGGCGGTATAAAACGACGACAAAGGATGATGAAAAATGTGCGCCCGTGTGTGCAGGTGCACATCGTCGTCGTCGTCGTACCCCCCCTCTGCATCGTCGTATAACGATGATACACCGACTAACCCTCGAAGTAGCGTACATACACACACGAACGAGAGCTACGCACCTTGACCGGTCCTGCGTGTATTCAGAACGTATAAGGGCTCGATCGTGACACGATCGCGTTAATCGATCGACGTTGATATCGTACGTGGCACTGGTTTGTATTTGCCCTACTGCAAACTCGACTTCATGCGCGTACGAAGCGACGATCGAATTTTACACTCGGATGAATTTTCCGTACCGCGTTGCGTATTTAAATGAAAAAAAAAAAAAAAAAAAAAAAAAAAAANATTATTTAAAAAAAAAAAAAAAAAAAAAAAACAAACAAACAGGGTCCGCAAGCGTTGCGCGGTCACGAGAGTGGCCGCTAATTCGGGTTTTTATCCGTGATTAATGATCGCTGACTGCGTGACTTATTGCGACGAAGGAAAAAAAACCGAGCTTCGACGTGTGACGTCTTTTGAATGAAAAATCGATGCAAGTGTGAAATCGTTCGTTCGCTGCACGTGTCTATTTGCTTTGATATAATTTAGATATACTTAGCTTAATCTCAGTTCTCAGTAAAGATGGGGTAGGTAAGACACTTTTTGAATCGTGCTGTCGAGCAAATAATTTTCTTTTTAGTAATTATTTATAATAGTATCCCATTGACCGATAATTAGACGTTTTATAATGCGGCGATGCCTTTGACTAAAAGTTCATAGAGTACTCTGTTCCGTTGAAAAATCTAACGTCGTATCAATGTGTCCGGCTTCGACAATTAAAGAACAATACCCAAAGCGCAGTGTATTATACGGCGCATAAAAAGCACGCATCACGACCGTAAACGAAGGGGTCGAGCAATGGAGCAGGCTGACGCGGGGAGCTAACGATACGTTGATGCGACACACGTATATATATTATATATAGGGTTGTTACCGGCGTGGTCAGACGACGAAAAAATTGAATTAATTCGAACGCGTATATGGGTTCATAGACGAGCATGTAGGAGGAAGCCAGAATTAAACTTATTTTAATAATGATAGACTAGCACCTTTCGATCGCGTTATCAGGAATCTCGGTCGATTCATCGCAACGCGTCTATTTCCATAACACGATCCAATTATCACTTTTTTAAGAGTAGACATAGGTGCAAAAGATGTGCGAACTATGTACAATTATCGACGCGACCGACGTAGTTGTTTTACGACTATTAGTTATTACCTGTACTCCGTCTGACTAATTCAATTTCATTTCTAATATCATGTTACAATTATTTACTGGATTTGTGCAGATTAAAATACATATTGTCTCTTTTGTGTAAATATTACATACATACGTGCGCGAATTTTATGAAAACTGTGCGCCTAGATGCATGCAATTTTCATTCGTTTCAATGACACGCGAGTACCTTTATACATCGTAGCTGTACAAGCATTACTGCGTACGGCCAGTGGACGGTAGAAGGGGAAAATATCGCCGAGTAGCTATGCTAATCTGTATATCACTTCGCTAATATAACAGGAGTGAGTTCAATCGTCACCGAAAAGATAAATTCCTTCCAGTAAGCCAGTGTTTACAAATTGGTGACTTCGCGGTACAGCGTTGTTGGCTACTCGAGCCGCTTAACCTAGAATATTTTTTCGATGTTTTTTTTTTTTTTTGAAAATCCACAGTGATTTTACAAGTAATCGAGCGAGTGATGGTGAGCAGAGAGGACGCAGTTAGGTATAGAACTATTTTTCATGCATGCCCTGATATTTTTTCAATTGATTGGTTCATCGAACTTGGTTATTATTTAGGGTAAAAATGGAGCCGAATGATACTTTGTCAGATGCAAGCGAAGATTGTACTTTCGATAAGGTGGACGTTTGCGAAGTAAAAAACGTATAAAAATTCTTGTTTCATAAATCACCAATGAGTTGCAAAGACGTTAAAGCTGAAACTCAGTATTTTGAAGCGATAACCACCCGCAATACGGAGTATCAAAAATTTCAAGCTATTGCAAAAGAAGAAAACAAAAATCGAAACAATGACATCAATGAAACTATATTCATTAATTTTGAGTGCAAAAATGTTAAACTTGAGCTGACATCTCTGTTACCCACCATCTGCAAAACTGAGACTCAAAGTAATCTACCTATTGTGAAAATAGAAAACTCGATTCAGACCGAAGATTTGAACGGTAAGAATCTCATAATTTTCATTAAAAAGAATTTTTCATTATAAAAATTATACATTTTCAGTAAATGTTCAACATGGTGAATCTAAGGAGGTAATAATATTTAATGAGAGAACTCGGAACGCATTATCTCCAAAGTGTAACTAGCGACGAAAAGCTTTTGACAGAAAAGGAAGTCGGAAGGAGCGTATCAATGCGACACATAAAAGCATTACACCGTATGAATGTGAGATTTGTCACAAATCATTTGGACTAAAAAGTAATCTCAATAAACACATTAATGCAGTGCATGATCGTAATAAGCCCTTTGAATGTGAAATTTGTTACAAATCATTTGGAGAAAAGGGTACCCTCAAACGACACATAAATGGAGTACATAATCGTAGCAAATCTTTCGAATGTGGCATTTGTCACAAATCATTTGGATATAAGCATATACTTAAAAGGCACATAAATGAAGTACATGATCGGAGAAAATCCTTTGAGTGTGATATTTGTCATAAATTCTTTGGAGAAAAGGGTAACCTTAAAACTCACATAAATGTAGTACATAAATGGAACAAACCCTTTGAATGTGATATTTGTCAGAAATCATTTGGATACCAGTGGGTACTTAAAAACCATGTTATGGCCGTACATGATCGTAGGAAACTCTTCGAATGTGAGATTTGTCACAAATCATTTGGAAACAAGAGTGATCTTAAAAGACACAAGATGACTGTACATGATAGAAGAAAACCCTTTGAATGTGAGATTTGTCAGAAATCATTTGGACAATCAGGTGTCCTCAAACGTCACGTCAACGCAGTTCATGATCAGAACAAACTCTTTGAGTGTAACGTTTATCACAGATCCTTTGGGCAAAAAATTACCCTCAAAACTCACATAAATAAAGTACATGATCGCATCAATCCGTTCTAATGTAAGATGGGTCTCAAGTCATTTGGATACCAGAATAACCTCAAAACTCACATAAAAGCCGTGCATGGTCATAGCAAACCATTCGAGTGTGAAATTTGTCACCATTCACGTAGCCGTAAGAAACGCCTCAAATTTCACATGAATACAGTACATGATCGAAGCAAACCCTTTGAATGTGTTATTTGCCATAAAACATTTGGACAAAAAAGTTAACTTGAAACTCACATAAGTATGGTACATCTTCGAAGCAAACACTATGAATGTCACATTTGTCGGAAATCATTTGGAGAAAAACCAAAGCTAAAGAGGCTCGTAATGACTGTACATGATCAAATCAAACATTTTGAGTGTAACATATGTCACAGATCATTTATTGGACATCAGAATGTACTCAAAAACCACATAATGACATTACACGATAAAAAATCAAAACATCTCACATGAAATGCAGCAAATAGAGAGAATTGAGATTTGTCACAAATAATATGTGTCGTAAATCATTTGGTTTTGTCTCAAATCTCACGCGAATGCAGACAAAAATCTGCACCATCGTAGCAAATCATTGTTTCGAGGCATGTAAGCTCAATAAAGACTCCTACACTCACATGCGAGTACATGTAATTTTGGAAAATTTTTCATAATAATTTTTTTCCATTTTGTGAAGAATAATAAAACATTTTTATCTGTTATAATTTTGTGGTAACTACAAAAACATTTCCCTTACGTTTTATATATAAACTTGAATATTAACGAAATTCCGCCTTTAATTCGTCCTTCAAAGGATCGCTTAGACGATTTTCCAAGACTCCAATTATCAGTTTAATTTTTCCTCGAGTACTGACATCCTATAGATTATCTTAGCGAAAAATCCTGACCTTAAACTGATAAAATTATTCATCACTTTCACAAATGATTTTTTTACACAAAGAAGATTGAACAACAGCAATCGTCGCTAAAAATGATCGACAAGTAACGACGATTCAATTCACACAATGCCCGATCGACTACGTATGGTGAGTATATCCCTGCGCCGCTGTGTGTATATAAATTCAATCATTATATGCACACAGATAAATATGTTCTTACGAATGTGAATTTTACACATAACTGTGTCGTGCATGCATAAGCCGCATACAAATTCAACGCTCACGTGCGGCATTTAAGTGATTCGTATACAAGCCTCATTCAATGCGTATCGCGAGACTACAACTTCCTCGTAGCTTAAAAAATTATAACACGATTACTACTGATGGACAGATTTGTACCATTCAAGCCGCCTCGATAAAACTCAAATATTATTAATATTGTTCTTTCGAAAAGTAAACTTATTCAAGTGCGCTTATATTTTAATTTACAGCAAACAGAGTCCTGTACATTAGTGTAAACATGTACATATTAATTTCTATCACGTCAAATACTGAGTATTTAAAATAAAATGTTTATCACCGTGGAAGTTATTTTATGAACCGTTAAACTAAAAAATGGAAGGCACACGAATGTGAAAAATTTAAGAAATATAGAGGCTAGATCCGAATAATTTAAGCAAAAGAACACTTTTTCTTTTTTTGACGATATTATCTAATAATCCATATAAGAAAGAGTATTTACAAAATGCTGAAATAATAACGTTTCTATAGGCAATAAAGGCATGGCGAGCCAGCCCAAGTATTAAATTTTTAGCCCCGTTTTTTACAACTACTACTCATGTAACTGTTAAAGGTTAAATTTGTCATAGAGCCTTTACGAAAATATACATTACAAGTTTTAATGGATTAAAAATAAGATCTTTGGATTGGCATCGCCATCTACTCGAGGATTCGATTTTTTTGCGGGATTTTGTTGAAACTTCATTTTCTTACTGATTTTCTTAAACTTTTTTTTTAATTGTAAATTTAATCCCATCTATCACTTTATTGTTGTATACTTAAGTATACAGTTCATTTTATTTTCATATTTTACATTTAAAAATTTTACATTGTATTACATAAAGTACATTTCACAAACTAATAAAAATATTTCGAGATCGAAAATGAAGATGTAAATTTATATTCTCTCAACTAGGTAGTCTGAAAAAAAAAACGATAGAAATTTTAGAACAGTTGACAAAAATTATTATTTAGAGAATAATGAGTAGAGAAAAAAAGAAGTACAGTACCTTTTGTGAATTGTATCAGCTTAGTATTTAATCATGTATTTCACCAGCTTCGTATATTCTGAGCAAATCCTCGTTCATCAAATTATCGATGATAATTTCGGAGCAGAGAATCGGCAGTCGATAGCGTGTCAGCTCTTGAAAAGCATCGAGTGCTAACCTTTGAAAATATCCTCTCGACATTTTTTCGCAAAGATGCCTCGAGTATAAATCGCGATATTGCTCGGGGATATCGTCCAAATCGTTGGATCGCTCGATCTCGAAGTAGTCCGTGTATGTAAGTAGTTTCTCAGCTTCTTCGGGTCGTAAGAAGAGTAGCTCGAAAAGCGACAAACTATTAGGAATGATCATTATCTCCGTGGCTTTGCTCATGAACTCCTCTTCGTCGCACCAATATTTTTCGAGATCCGACGACTCTTCGAACAATCCGTACTTGAGGAACAATTGCACGATCGTCAAGACATCGCTTCTGCTCATATCGTATCCTCTTTCTTCGAGGCATTCGACAATGACCAGAGCGCCAGATGCCAAACTCAATTTATCCCGATTACTTTCGTCGAATATCTTGCAAAATCTATTCGTAACGGGAAAACTGAAACCACACAGAGAAGCATGACGATCCAAGAGTACGTCCACTACGTTTGGCAGGAGATTCGCCACAGCCGTTTGTAGCGGCGTCCGGCCCTCGTTGTCCCGGGCATCGACCTGCACCATCTTGAATTGGTCGTAACAGACCTCGAAGAACACGTCGACCAAGTCGTCGTCGTCGTCGTCTCTCTGGCAGATGACGTGCAGCGGAGTCGATCCTTTCGTATCGATCGAAGCAGGATCGGCCCCTCTCTCCAGCAGGAATTTCGCGACCATTCTGTTACCGTAGTCGAGAGCCCGGTGCAACGGCGTCCGACCCAGGTCATCCGGGGCGTTCAACTGCACCTGCCGCCGGATGTCGTCGCACGTCTCGAAGAATCTTTTCGCCAACTCGTCGTCGTCCGTCTCTCTTCCGGAAATATAATGCAGGGCAGTCGCACCAGCGTCGTCGGGTATATTCGGATCCGCGCCCCTTCTCAGTAAATCTTCGGCGGTTCTCGGTAAACCGTGGCACAAGGCGTAGTGTAGCGGTGTCACGCCGTTTCTGCCTCGAGCATCGATCTCGACGGTCCGCTGAATATCATCGGTTATCCGCAAGAACGCCTCCAGCAGATCGTCGTCGCCCTCGCTCCGACAGATGATGTGGAGCGCTCGAGAACCATTCTTGTTGGCTGCGTTCGGATCCGCGCCCCTCCTCAGCAGCACCTCGACGGTCCTCATCGTGCCGTAGCGGAGGGCGTGAAGCAGCGGCGTCCAACCCCACTGGTCTCGCGCGTCGATCTCCACCTGCTGGCGCAGCTCGTCGATTATCCGCAAGAACGTCTCCGCCAAGTCGTCGTCGACGCTTCTGCGACCGATGACGTGGAGCGGTTGAGATCCTCTGCAATTGGCTATGCTCGGATTCGCGCCGTGCCTCAGTAACGACTCGGCGCTCCTTCTGTGGCCGTAGTGCAGAGCCAGCAGCAACGGCGTTTGATTCCACTGGTCCAGGGCGTCGACCTCGAGCCTCGGCCCCCATCTGCCGCACATCTCGAAGAACTCGTCCATGAAGCCGTCCTCTGCCGCGCGCAACGCAATCATGTGCAGCGGTGTCAGATGTCCGGCCTGCGGGCTGGCCAAATTTGGATTAGCGCCTCTTCTCAGCAGGGCCTCGACTTTGTTCCTCGCGCCGATGCGCACCGCGTCCCACAGCGGCGTCCGACCCCACTCGTTCACGGCGTCGACTTTCACCTTCTGCCGCATGTCTTCGTTGATCCTCAAGAATACCTCCGCCGCGTCGTCGTCGACGTTGCGCGAGCAAATCAAGTGCAACGGCGTGAAGCCTCCTGCAGCCGCTAAATTGGGATCGGCGCCGCTTCTCAGCAGCGACTCGACCATCCTCGTATTGCCCGACTGCAGAGCCATGATCAACGGCGTCTCGCCGTTGTTGTCCAGCGCGTCTATGGGCATAGGCGGATACTTCATGTCGCGGCTGATCTCGAGCAGCAGCTCGGCCAAGTCGAAGTCGTCGCAACTGGAGCACATGAGGTGCAGCGGAGTCAGTCCGCGATAGTTGGCTAGATTTGGATTGGCGCCTCTTCGTAGCAGCAATTCCGACACTTGGTTTCTTTTTAGGTAAACGCTGTAGTGCAGGGGCGTGTGATTTTTCACCGGCACGAGGCAATTCGGATCGTAGCCGAACTCGAGAAACTTTTCGACGGCGTCTTTGTGGCCAATCATGCAGGCCACATGGAAGTGCGTCAATCCAGATTCGCTGGTGTAGTTCACGTTGAACTTGTCGTAAATTTTAAAAAGCTCACTAATCTTGGAAAACCAGTCGCGGGCTCCGGAGTCGATGGCATAATGTACCGGTGTGTTGCGACGCAAGGGTGGCTTACCGTCTTTATCGAGGTCGGGCTCGTCACTGTACCCTGTCCTCGCCACAAAATTGATAAACTCGACGGGGCCCGTATCCACGCACTCCTCGAGCAACCAATCAATTTCTTCCCGTCCAAAAATCTCTCGGAGATTCGGAAGTCGACCCTGCCAATCACTTATTAAGCCACAAAATTGCCTGTACAATTCGTGTCGCTCTACTTGATTCTCCCAATTGACTCGTTCGCGCATTCTCTTCAAACTTTCTGCATCTTCATGGCCCGTCTCGGGATTCGAGCCTCCGTTGCCCATTTTTTACACACTTGCACAAAAATACATGTTATAATGATACAGCACACAAAAATACAACTTGAAATAATCAGTATAGAAAACTCCCGAGATATATACTATTTGACATCGACACGTGTTACTACTGCACTCGGAGACGAACAGTCGAGACTAAAAAGAAATTTCGAGGCTAGAGTGACCTCGGAGCGCAGTCGCTGCAGCATTGAAAGAGAAAGTAATAAGTGCTACTACATTTCACTTTCAAGAATCATATTCTAAAATTTGGTACGAAAATTCGAATTTTAACTCATAGTGGACGTCATAGTGTAAGTGTAGTCGCTTTACGAATCAATCAGCCGCTATTTGAGAACAGCACTACATTACACATGAAACTTCTGTCAAAAAATTCCGCAGCAAAAAAATTATTTTCCCTTCTTCGTTCAGTTAAACTTTCTGTATCACTGACAAAGAGTCACTGGTTATATTAAAAAGTAGAATAGAAAAAAAGATAAAAAACAAATAAAAGGGAGTAGTACTTCGTACGGGAAGGGCACGCGCATAAAGATCGTCTTCACGCGCTAGTTGTATGAAACGTATTATACTCGAGTCGAACGAGGGGAGCGGAGGAAATGCACGACTGCCTTTTAGGAATGCGCTGCGACTACTTTGTCAAGAATTCGGTTATCAGCATGGCGCTCGACGCGCTTCCATATATCTTGCCTGGCGCGTGCCTGGCCCTTTGTACGCGTTTCATCATCCGACGCACGTTTCGCTCGTCGCAGTCGAGCTCGAGCTTGTACTTCGTCTGCCGATGTACAGTAGGACGAACGTCCAGTACGGTATTTATGTATACCTTCATATTTAAATAACCCCACCGGCAGTGTGACGATTGAAAATCGAGGGTTGACTGGACGGCGAGCATACACTTTGTGTTTGCGATATTGAGGCGGAAACAAATAAAGAAAAGACAATCTTTTGTTTTTTTTACACGTAGGAAAGCAAACTTTCAAAACTATTTTTCAGTCGATGAACAATCGGTTCAACCTTGTAGGTTTATTGCACAATGATCGCGTAATTATTGTTAACTTATGAACTATATTTTGTAGTACGGTGTAGTAAAAATTATTGTGTTATTTCTTATTACAATACACGCGTTGAGTACAAAATAAACCAGATATAAAATTCACCAAAAGTACAACGAAAAATACAACAATTTATAGCGAAGATTGAAAAATTATTTGATTCAATCTATTGTATTGAAGGAGTATGATAAAAATAGAGTGTTTGTCATCGAGCGACAAAGCGCATGCCATTGCTTCACTCTTAATTTGGAAGAAATGCAGAAAATATTTTTTTGTTTCAATTAATTTATCAAATGCTTTCCATTTTGTGTTTTATTATTCTCTCTTGCGTTTCAAGGAAATAATCAATATTTCAGCAAGTTCATCCAAATTTTTCTCTGGAGCAAATTTGATCAATTAAGTATCGCGATATTATTACATAAGATTTATCAAAAATATAGTGAAAAAGACGTGAAAAATACTCTCGGCTGATCTTTGCTTAGCTGCAGTTAACCAAATAAGCAAAACTAAAACATCACTATGACAAGGAAGGAAGGTTGATGACAGTTGATAGTACGCGAAGTTCGCGCAAGACACAGTCAATTCGGCACAATTTTAATTAAAAATTTAGGAAACATGTATTCAAGTATCTATACTTATATACAATTGTCATGCGCTTAATCTTCGCTACGTTCGTGTTTTTTCCTTTGGTGGCGAAGCAAATGATGTTTATGTCCAAATTTCTTCTCGCATTTTTCGCATGCGTAATCTTTGCATCCTTCGTGGACTGTTTTTTGATGTATGAGCGAATTCGATCTTGTTCTAAATTTTTTCTCGCACTTATCACATCCGTAATCTTTGCGCCCGTCGTGTACTGTCTTCAGGTGAAAGAGCAAATGCGATTTTTGTCCAAATTTCTTCTCGCACTTGTTACATGTGAAATCTTTGCGACCTTCGTGAACTGTTTCTTGGTGCAAAAGCAAATATGGTTTTTGTCCAAATTTTTTCTCGCATATGTCGCATGCGAAATCTTTCCGGCCTTCGTGCACTGTCTTTTGGTGCTTGATCAAATTCGATTTGACTCCAAATTTCTGCTTGCACTTGTCGCATTCAAAATCTTTGCGACCTTCATGGACTGTTTTTATATGGCAGAGAAAAGACTGCTTAGATCCAAATTTTTTCTCGCACTTGTCGCATGCGTAATCTTTACGACCTTCATGGACTGTCGCTTGGTGAATAAGCAAAGTCTGTTTAAGTCCAAATTGCTTCTCACATTTGTCGCACGCGTAATCTTTGCGACCTTCGTGAACTGTTTTTTGATGTTTTCTTAAGTTGCTTTGATCCCCAAATTTTTTCTCGCAATAGTTGCATGCATAATCCTTGTGACCCTCGTAAAATGTTTTTTGATTTTTTCTTAAATTGCCCTGTTCCCCAAATTTTTTCTCATTTTTGTCGCATGGAAAATCTTTGCGTCCTTCGTGGACTGTCTTCACATGTATGAGCAAACTTCGTTTATTTCCAAATCTTTTAGCGCACTTTTCACATAAGTAATCTTTGAAAGCTTCGTGGAATATTTTTTTATGTTTTAGTAAAGTTGATTTATTTTCAAATTTCTTCTCGCAATTGTTGCAGGTGAAATCCTTGCGATCCTTATGTACTAATTTTTGGTGGGCCATTAAACTCGATTTTTTCACAAATTTCTTGTTACACTGGTCGCATGCAAAATCTTTGCAACCCTTGTGTTCTGATATTTGGTGTCTACTCAAATGACTTCGGAACTTAAATTTCTTTTTGCACTTGTCACATGCATAATCTTTCTGATCATTGTGAATAGTGTTTCGGTGTATTATCATGCTTGATTCTAGTGTGAATGCCTCCTGACAAATATCACAAATATATTTTTTGTTGTCTGAAGCAACAATGTCGTGTTCATTTAAATTATTTTCCAAAGTGAATCCCTCAGATTTTTTCTCACTTTTATCCATTTTGATGCCAAAATTAAATGATTGATCTGTGGATTTAGTGTCACGGAAATTGAATGAGTATAATAAATCTTTTGGTATTAGGTCACTTGATTCATGGGGAAAGGCAATATTCAAACTAATTTATTTTAACTCATCAGTAAACATGATCAGTGTTTCGAGGTACGATGTCAAAATTGTTTATGATCATATTATTTATAATTAAGGTACCAATTTATCTGTTTAAACATTGTTCTCACAACGTTTGAAACAATTTAAAATTTAAGCTTGACGACGATTTTTTCGGAGAATTTTTTTAGCTGCATGAAAAATATGTCGAGCGAGTATTGTACAGGTGATACATCAAGAATATCTGAAATTTAAAAGAACATAACACGAAACTGGCGTTCAATTCAACATCTTCGTAACATTTTAAAAGTCAATTATTTCTTAAAATTCGTCATGTTAATTCGTTCAAAGTTTAAAAATGACCGTGATCTGTGTGCATCGTGCGTGGTAAATATTCAAATAATTCTAATTGTATAAAAAAATGTTCAAGCTTCTTCGGGATGAAGTTTTTTCCGGTCTGTTCAACATATGTTACTCGGTTGATCGAAAATCCATACCCAGTACAAATTTGTGAAATATTAATGGTTCTGGAAACTCTTCCATGGAACAAACAACTATACGGCGAATTAAAAAAGTGACAAAGCGACCATTTGTACCCACTTTATTGTTTCCTAGCTCGTGTATATAATATGTAATAATATAAATCTTGTAAATTGTAGTACATCAGTTGGCTTGTTCGACACGTGCTGTAGGTTGATCTCGTGTTTACCACTGCTGCGATGTAAATCCTCGTAAGATCGTCAAATGCAACGCGTGGTGCTTCCACTCTGCCTTCGTCATCGATCTTTCCTCCTGCGAGATATAAAAAAAAATCTTCCGATAGAATATACAAAAATTACTTATTTTTTTTGTTTCGACTTTTACTTGTTCGATTACTTTTAAATTCTTCAATTTTCTTTAATTAATTGATAAAAATGTTTCACATCTTGCAGCTGTTCATAAACAGCTGAATTTTTTTTAATTTTTTCAATTTTCAATTTGTTTTATTAATCAGATTAGTGCATTGAGCGATTATCGTTCGTTGTATGTTAATATAAAATGATAAACATGTCGACTTCCCTTAAAAAGACACACACTCATAGACACGTATACATACATGCATTGATTAATATCAGATTTGAAAACATGCATGATAGTGCGTAGAGTCTCGCGACGTGTACGCATAAACAGCACATACGTATTCTGTGTATTATCCTACGCATAAGCAAGAGAGACGAAAGATATCGAAACGCAGTTAATTCCGTGAGCTAAGCTGACTGCTGTTTAGTCTAGGGGCCAGTGGGTCCAACGTAGCCACGTCTTGTTTGATGGGTGTACCAAAGTTTTTCTTATGTATTTTGGGCCGCTAAAACCGAATTTCCATGGTGCATGTCGCTAAAATTGGTTGTAAAAAAGTTATAAACAAATAACTATGCAATACCCATGAAAAACCACGTTTTTTCTTATTTCTCTCGCTATATGTCGCTAAAATCATAAAAATTCTCAATAGAAAGTAACTATATCGATGGAAAATTTCCTGATCTTTCGATCTAGATTATTTAGAAAAATCTTAAAAATGCCGTTTTTGAGATATTCGACTTTGAAGGTTTTCCGGCAATTTTCTCGAGGAAAATGGAAATTTATTGGAAATCTGACCTCATCATCGGAAAGCTGAGGTAATTTTCCATCGAAATCATGTGTTAGTTTTTTTTTCTAGGTGCATTTAGATACTTTTAGAGCGAGTTAAAAATTAAGCGATTCGACTAAATACTGCCGCTCGGTGCGACACTGGAAGGCCACATAGATAATACCGGGATTTTTCTCACATTTGAATCGCTTTTTTCTCGTAAACCATTGAGTTTACGAAAAAATGACAAGAGTACTTTTTTGTTTAAAATGATCCAAAAATGCTAAAAAAAATGTTTTTGAAGCAAAAAATTCAATTTTATAGTCATTGCAAAATTATTTGTTTATAACTTTTTTATGACCAATTTTAGCGATATGCACCATAGAAATTCGGTTTCAGCAGCCCAAAATACGTAAGAAAAACTTTGGTGCACCCATCAAAGAACTCGTGGCCACGGTGGACCCACTGGCCCCTACACTAGTTGCTTATGCTGTTACATTGCCTCGTGTGTATACGTAAACACAGTCATACGCGCATGCGAGAGCGAGAGAGAAAGAGATACGCGCGTCGAGTCTCGGCAGCGGGCAGCAGCAGAAAGCAGTTCTGTAGCTGGCGCGGCAGCCAATCACAGCGCGTAGCGCAAACCGACGCTGTATAGACAGGCAAATACATAAAACATAATATATAGTTCTAGAACACATAGTTCGAAAGTTAAAAAGCTGTCCTGTCCATGACTTTAAATCTATGTTAAAACAATAAAAGATTGAATCAGATAATACAATTCACAGGGTAGATCTCCTTCATATTTGTGCATGTGGAATGATAAAATTGAATTTCAAGTTAAGCGTATGAACATTTTTAAAATATAGCAGCATCCCTTCATCTTGAGAGAATTAAAAAAATTTTTTGTTTCATCTTTTTTACTATCGATTGAATCAAAAAAGAACTATAAACTGTGCCAAGTAATTAACAGCTACAGTTATTTGAAAATAATTGCATTTTAATTACATTTAAACTCAACAGCTTTACAAATTACGTTCAGAATAATGTTTTATGATTACAATGCTACATTTACAAAAAGTTTCAAGAAATACCTTATCATGCCAAGAACAAAGTATATTGAATTATGAAGTATAAACAATCAGTAATAATTAACTTGATATATTCTACCTGCAGATATGCTGAATTTAAACCACAATCATTTAATAATTTAACTATGATTTTCTGGATGACAAACTGGGCAAGATACATTTTTTTGAGATTTACCTATTGATTGCATTAAATTGATCATTATATCAAGATCACCTATTTCTTTCATCTTTTTAGAATTGGAGAGTAATTCAGTCTTACTTGTAATAAACTTTATTGTTTCATCTTCCAAATACTTTGTTTTGTATTTATGAGCAGCTATTAATATTTTGATAGCATTTTCAGATGACAAATCAGAATATAATATTTTTTCACATTCAATTTTCAAATTGTCAATTTGATACTTGTCAGCTACTTCTAATAGTTCAATAGTAATATCTACTTTGTTGATAATAACCTCAGCTGTGTAGATATATCTCAACATTTCAATTACAGTATTATTAGTAGTGTCAGTTATGTTCACTGAATTTTCTTTATTTTCCAACATATTGTGAGTAAACATGGCTTTGAATACGGGGCTGGCAGCTGCGAGTATAGCTTTGTGAGCTGGGATGTCATTTTCATCAGAAGTTCTTATTCTAATATCACTGAATTCTTCACAGAGAAACAATGAGTCCAAATTTATTTTATTATTTATCTGATGTGTAATGTTGATATTGTCTAATTTCAATGAGGATTCAAATTCCTTGAAAATTTCTAATTCACATTGAATAGTTACAGTGTTCTCGGCCGAAATTAATTTGTCAATATTTTTTAATGCATAAAATTTCGGCGTACCATAGCCATTGAAGTTATCGGTCGCAAAATCAAGATGCAATGTAAATTTATCAACAACTGTTCCATCATTAACAGCTGACATTGTCCATTTACATACGAGCTTATCCGGTCGCTTCGTTGAATCAATTACAGGTGTAAGATATACAGAAATGTATCCTTCAGACTCTTTATGGACGCCTTCGGGGTACATCCACAATTGAAAATAATTTTTTTCGTCACTTCCAACGCCAAATTTTGGAGATGTTATTCTTTCTCCTACTTTAAATTTTAGCAAGCGATAATTCTCAATCGTCCACGTATAAATACACTCGTCCGAATAAACTTTAGTTAACGCCACTATTCGTTGTTTTGATGACATTTTGACTCACGCAGCAGATAACTTTTAGACACTTATTACTTTATTGAGTAAACTTTGTTTAATAAAATTAATAAAAAGCGCAGACGAGATAACAGTTTCGACAGCACTTTTCCCAACAATGTCACTGACGCGTATGAAATGCTTTTTTTCTGCTCGTGAAAAGCGACTAGTTCAAATGGCGAAAGGATAGCAACACTTTTTGACGACAAGGATATATCCACACTGAATAAATAATTCAATTTAAATTTCAATTCGCAACGCTCGATCTTGTAAAATATACGTTATATGTGTAAAATTCGAGCGCAGTAGGTCGCCCGACGTATTCCACTGCTGGGCGCAAGAACTTTTGAGTTCTGCGTGTGTGTTTTTGTGCGTCTTGTGTGAGATGCGACTCGTGACTCGTGACTCGTGAGCACTAAGCGGTGTAAGCCTATTCAGCGTGTGATTCGGTACCAAGTAAAAGATGTTTCACATCAAAAGTGAATACGGTGGGGTGGGGCAGCCTGTGTGTATTGAGAATGAGGACTAAACGATACCGTCACGTGTGAGTGTTGATAATTAACATTTCACGTCAAAAATTCGAGTGCCGCACGGCACGGTATTATTTAGTCAAATCGCTAAAATTGTAACTCGCTGTAAAAGTACCTGAATGCACCTAGAAGAAAAAAGTATCTTATATACAGTAGTTCTGAAATGTTTCACTTTTCTACAGGCGTGAATGAGCAAAATAAAAACTCAGCGAACATAAACTCAAAAAGTTCAACGTTTTATTAAATTACAATTAATAATATGCTTCCTTTTCCTTCGAAAGTGTATTCGCTTTTTAAAACTGAAACATTGCTTCTACCTTGTAAGATATCATTGAGAAAAGTAATTAAACTATTATAAATTAATAGTATTTATAATTTTTTTGAATGTGTGCGTATTATATGTTTAATGAGTAGATATAAGCGAAAAAAATTCTTACCGAATAAATGTGTTTTTATTTAACTCTTAGTAAATTTATTTTCACGCTTACAAGTGATGCCGTAATGCACCACATCGATGTCGCATTTGATTTAGTTTTTGAATATTTCCCGCAATTATCACGTGCATATGGCACCATTATGTTTCTCATTAATGTGGGTACGAAGATTACCTTTTAGGGAATATATTTTTCCACATAGATCACAAGTATATTTGTAACCGTTGTGCACCGATATGTTTTTTGAGTCAATATGTTTTTTGAAACCATCCTTAATTTTGAATATCTTACCGCATTATATCGCATGTATGTGCATTAGGGTGGTCCACTTTTTCAAAAATTTTTTTAATCTTGGGGGATCCAACGGAATCTGAAAGTTTAAGGTTTAAAATGAATTTTCCCGTAAAGTAGAGCTAAAAAAAATGATTTTAGATGGTGTCGATGGATTTTTGAAGTTTTTTTTTTGACGTAAAAAAATCGCAGCCGACAGGAGGCACTTCGATAGTTTGCCAGATTTTCTATAAAGCCATAATGGGTTTTGTGAATACATTTTCTTTTGTATTTTTTGCCGTAGAATCGAATGCCATCATTAGTTTTGGGCTATAAAAACGATTTCAGTGAAAAAATTGCGATTTTTGAATTTTTTTCTGTTGAAAAATCGAAAAATTCGTCTTTTCACGTCTGGCAAATGAACAAAAAAAATCGTAGAAGCTTTTAATCTACGGATTTAGTTAGGAAATTTCATAACGAATCGAAGCCCGTCGTCGGTTTTTGCCTACAAAATTATTTTAAGTCATAAAATTGCGATTTTCCGTAGCTATGATTACGAAAAAAATCGAAAGATGCGCCTTTTAGCGTGTTAACATACACTGAATGTAGCTGTGAGCATTTTAACATGGTTTTTAATGGGATTTTTGGCGTAGAATCGAATGGCGTTGTTACTTTTACGCTACAAATCCATTTTCAACGAGAAATCGCTCCTTTTTGAATTTTTAAACATGAAAAATGACCATTAGGCGCCAGAAAATCAACTAAATAGTCTAGTAAGTATTCAAACATGTTATTTGTCGGGATTTTTTTCGTGGTATCGAATTTTGTTGTTACTTTTACTCTTTTAATTTATTTTCAGCAACAAATTGCCTTATTTGGATCACGTTCTTTTACTTATAAAAGAAATATGATCAGATAATTTTATAAATTTTTACGTTGCCAAAAGTAGCATTTTTCGATATTTTGCGTTAGTAAAACTACAAAAAAGGCAATTTGTTGCTGAAAATAAATTAAAAGAGTAAAAGTAACAACAAAATTCGATACCACGAAAAAAATCCCGACAAATAACATGTTTGAATACTTACTAGACTATTTAGTTGATTTTCTGGCGCCTAATGGTCATTTTTCATGTTTAAAAATTCAAAAAGGAGCGATTTCTCGTTGAAAATGGATTTGTAGCGTAAAAGTAACAACGCCATTCGATTCTACGCCAAAAATCCCATTAAAAACCATGTTAAAATGCTCACAGCTACATTCAGTGTATGTTAACACGCTAAAAGGCGCATCTTTCGATTTTTTTCGTAATCATAGCTACGGAAAATCGCAATTTTATGACTTAAAATAATTTTGTAGGCAAAAACCGACGACGGGCTTCGATTCGTTATGAAATTTCCTAACTAAATCCGTAGATTAAAAGCTTCTACGATTTTTTTTGTTCATTTGCCAGACGTGAAAAGACGAATTTTTCGATTTTTCAACAGAAAAAAATTCAAAAATCGCAATTTTTTCACTGAAATCGTTTTTATAGCCCAAAACTAATGATGGCATTCGATTCTACGGCAAAAAATACAAAAGAAAATGTATTCACAAAACCCATTATGGCTTTATAGAAAATCTGGCAAACTATCGAAGTGCCTCCTGTCGGCTGCGATTTTTTTACGTCAAAAAAAAAACTTCAAAAATCCATCGACACCATCTAAAATCATTTTTTTTAGCTCTACTTTACGGGAAAATTCATTTTAAACCTTAAACTTTCAGATTCCGTTGGATCCCCCAAGATTAAAAAAATTTTTGAAAAAGTGGACCACCCTAATGTGCATGCAACCAATGTGCACCGAATCTATATGTTTTTTTTAGATAATTTTTAACTGAAAATTTCTTTCAACAAATATCACTTCGATAGGTGACACCATTATGCACGGAGTCGATGTGAATTTTGATATAACTCTTCGTTAAAAACTTCTTTCCGCATATATATAGCATGCGTGTACATTTGGCTCGACGATTTCACAACCGAAATTCAAATTTAATTCTTCAGCAACGTCACTAACAAATTCTTGTTTCGCTCCCCTCTTGATTTCTGTTTTAAAATTCACAATCTTTTATATTCCGCAAGTGAGTTCGAGGAAAATCGTCAATTTTCTGACGGCCAATAATTGAATGTCGGGCTTCACATTTTCACATTCAAAAACTATTTCCATTTCACCAAGTTCCGTTTATTCTTTGTACTCTTGAAGCATCTGTAAGGGAGAACGGGGTATGTTGGCATGCGAGATAAGTTGGCAAAAATGCATATTTCTTCATATCACTAACTTGTATAGATGTAATACTATCAGTAGTGCTAACACCATAATAGGTAGTATTTGTATGCAATGGCACCATCTCGATTCAAGTCAACAAAAAATGTTAGCACATAAATCGCATGTAATTTTCAAATACTCTTGATTTTTCTAGAATTGATCTCCAGAGTAGATGTCCAGTAAAAAATTAAATTATGCTTCAATATTTTTACAACTTTATTCTCGTATAATTGAATATACCCAATGTCGAAAACTTATTTTTCTAGATAAAAGATAACATAAAAATTGCAAATCATCTCCTGAAGACAAGAGTTTCGATTAGCTAAAAAAAATTTTAATTATCTAACAACATCGCAGTAAGGACGCGTAAGTATTACTCAATCCGCATAGGGAGATAAGTTGGTTCGATTACGCGCACCCTAACTAAATACATTATCCGCGCGTTAAACGAGCGACATGGGAATTATTAGCTTGTCGACACTTGATCTCTATCGGTTGTCCTGATTGTATTCACGGCAGGCATAAAACTCGTTATACAATATCCCATGACACTGTGTGCTTCATCTCAAAGTTTCATATTTTGAAAAATCTCGTAAAAATCAATCAACTTGCATAAATTGAAAATATCGCTCAACCATAAAGAACGAGAAAAAATCTGCGTCAAACCGCCCGCTTTCGACTGGAACCGTACTGTAGCATGGATCAACTCGACTCACGAGCTTGCAGAGAGACGAAGATGGTATCATCATCATCATCATCATCAAAGGGCGCGACGGGTGATTTTTCGCATGTTTGGGTCTTGTATTTGGTGCACGTGCTGACGCGCTTCTTTTCTCACCGCGTTAAATCGACCCGAAGATAGGCATCTACATCGCTCTATTCCGGTAAACGTTTGGGTGCATCCATTTGAGCGCATCGTGTTTTTATCTCGCACACACACACGCACACAACTTTGAAACATTTTCATCGGCAGCCGTATCATGCTTTTGAACTTTGACGGGCGCGCTGGGAATTTTTCGCTGCGAAGATTTTTCATGAGCTACGATAAGGGTAACTATGAGAAAATTGATAATGATTTCTGGCAATAAAGTCGAATCTAACTTTTGTTTAATCCTTACGTTATTTTTATAACTTTTCGTACCCTCGTCGAAAATAAATATTCCCTCGTCTTACCCAGAAACGTCCAAGAGTGTCCTGTACCTTTGTACAGCCCGATTCCTAGCTGAACAAATAGCAATGATATAACAACGCGCGTGCGCGCGCGCACACACACGTCGATCCGCGATTTGTTTGTTTATCGAAGCGGTGCCAGAAAGCCGGAGAGAGAAACGAACGAGGAAAAATCAGAAAAACGAGAAAAATCTCCGAACCCTCGCGGCAGTGCGCCCCACGCGTCGTTGCTTTCTCTTTCTCTCTTCGGCGATGGTCTTTTCCCAGGCTCACGCCCGAGCGAAGATTCACCGCGCGCATAAAGCTCTCGATGTCTCTCGAGTCGCGCCGATCAACGACGACGAACAATACAGCGGCCGTGCAAGTATATATATAAATAACGTTGCGCCCGAATGTTTACAGAAGCACGTGTTCTCCTGCCCGAAGGCTCGCCGATATTATATACGGAGGAAGAGCTGTGCCGAAGGTATCTATCTAGCTCTGTAAAGTGCCGTAAGGGAGATTCCACGCGCGCGGAAGAATCGCGAATCAAGGCGTATACGAGTGCACACACACAGACGGACAACGTTGTGCATGCGCAGGATTCGGGCCGACGGCGTATAGGTATACATTTTGCATTCTGGCAGCGGCGGAGGGGGTACACAGGGGGTGCGAATATACGCGCGACCTCACATCTGTATATATGAAGATAGAAAGAGAAGTCAGCGGACGGAAAGAGTCCGAAGAGATTATATCATATATTGACAAAGGTCGCGTGGCTCGCACGAC